GGGTTGATGTCAGTGGGGCCGCGAATGCCGCAACGACCAAGACTTCAGTCGCGCATGTCCACATCCGGTCGAACTAATAGCAGCAAGCCACAAATTCAGTTGCTGAGTTTGCCGCAGCTTGATTCCATACAGAGGACGCTGAAGATTTTGGATGTGAGGCTGCAACACGTGCAGAGCAACGTCCGCGACGACGAGAAGCAGACTCAAGATATTGATCATATCAGAAGGCTGGTGTCTGTCTGTCTGTCTGTCTGTCTGTGTGTCTGTCTGTGTTTGTGTGTCTGTCTGTGTGTTTGTTTGGTTGGTTGTGGGTTTGGTTAGTTGATTATTTTATTATTATCAATGGGCCATCTAATGCAACAAATAAACCATGAACCAGAATTTTATTAGTCGTAACACCAATTTCTAACCGACCAATCAAATCAAGCCAACCCACACACGTTAACCAATCACAAATTAGGTTAATGACCGAGAACCAATCATGTTTGACCTCAGTAGTGACCATACTGTCATCAATCCAAGATGAAGTTGGCAGTTTGAGGAATCTGGTGACGAAGCAGCAGGCAAACACCTTTCAAATCCAACCTCATCTTAAAAGCAAATCCAGCTCTAAACATAGGGAGGACAAGAAAAATTCCTCCTCTTCAACTGCCCACAACGACCCTAAATTTAAGATTTAGTCCCGCAAATTGAATTCTTAGTGTGAATTCTTATTTCTTCTTTTTCATACTCTCTTTCTCTCTCTCTTTCGTTTTCTCTCTTTCTCATTCTTTCTCTCTCTCTCTCTCTCTCTCTCTTTCTCTTTCTCTTTTTATTTTTTTCTATCTGTCATTCCTTTATTTATATATTTTTTTTCTTCCAATTGTTTTCACTTCAATCCTTGCATTTGGTTACTTCATTCATTATGTCTACCGGCAAATTAGTCCCATTTTTGCAACAACATCCTCAACAACAACAATAATAATAATAATAACAATAATAATAATAATCGCTTCGTTGTCGTAGAACGATGCAATGTTGACAATGTTGTTGTTGTTGTTGTTATGTTGTTGTTGTTGTTATTGTTGTTGTTGTTCTTGCTGTTGTTGTTCTTGTTGTTGTTGTTGTTATTTTACTACGCACCAAACGCTTTTCATTTTTTTGGTTTTTGCAATTGCGTGTTAGCAAATATTTATTATTAATAATAATTGTTATTGTAATCATTATTATCATAATTAATGAGTGAGTGAGTGAGTGAGTGAGTGAGTGAGTGAGTGAGTGAGTGAGTGAGTGAGTGAGTGAGTGAGTGAGTGAGTGAGTGAGTGAGTGAGTGAGTGAGTGAGTGAGTGAGTGAGTGAGTGAGTGAGTGAGTGAGTGAGTGAGTGAGTGAGTGAGTGAGTGAGTGAGTGGAAAAGGAATAAGAGAATGAATGAATAAATCAATCAAACATTTCTCCCAATCTATTTAAAGCAAGTTGTTAAAGTTTTATCAAAAATACCATGGCTACAATCGAACCAATTAAAACATTTTAATTAGTTAATCTAAGAAAATTCCCACGTGTTTCAAGCTAACAGTGATGGTTTGATTACCGATTAAATACGAATATCATCGAGTATTTCAAATATTACCGAATATTTCGAATATATCCGTATAGCTTAGTTTGTTAAAATATAAAATTCCATCTTTAAAAAAATATAGTGAAAATACACACCCGTAAATACCGAAACCGATAATCGTGTCAATTCGAACATTCCTACATACCGAATTAATCGGTTCTCTTGAGAAATTTAAAACCTGCTTCAAACGGCTTCATAGCTTTCATCCGGAACAACATTTTTGAGAAGATTCCGCCTGCATAATTATTATTAATTATCAATATATTAATAATATGTTAATATTATTAGTATTATTATCTATAATATTATTAATATTTAATTCTTTAATGATAAAATATCTGAATGATGTTTTGTTGTAAGGTTCTGTTGAGTTGGGTTATTCTTGTTACCTCTGTAACATTTATCCGAGGTGACTTCGTCCATTCACTTATTCATTCGTTCATTCGTGCATTCATTCATTCATTCATTCATTCATTCATTCATTCATTCACTCAATCAATCAATCGTTCATTCCATCACAACAGGCAACCAGATAAAGGTCTGTCAAATAATAACGAAACAGCTAGGCGATAATGTGAACTTGTCCGCTTACGCCCCCCAGCTGCCTAATTTGGCCGGAAAATGGTGGGAGATGAGTAGGAATGTGTACGGAGATGACGTCAAGGTCACGAGGGATGTGACGTCATTGTTTATTTTTCTGGCCAATAACAATCGATCGGTAAAGCGAGTTATAATGGCCGTCGAAGGTTTGTGAGAGTGTTGATGATGATGATGATGATGGTGATGATGATGATGGTGGTGATGATGATGGTGGTGATGATGATGATGAGAAAGATTACGATGAAATGATGGTGAAAACGAATTCATGATCAAACTGTTACCCTCCAGTTGAACCTCTGCAAATCACTGTCAGAATTGTTCGCTCCAACAAAAACTTCAACAACATCAACCACAACATCAACATCAACAACAACAACAATAACAACAACAATAACAACAACAACAATAACAATAACAACAACAAAATTACTTCATCATCAAGCGACCCATCACCACTACTATCATCACCATCACTACCATCATCATCACCATCACCACCACCACCACCATCATCAACATCATCAACGACAACATTAATAACAGTGGGCTGCTCGCTGACATTACAAATAAAATCATACAACCACATTAAAATTACATTAACACTCTTACAAAATGGGATCATTTATGGTACTAAACAGAAACTCAGTTCCGACCCTGCATTCGATCCCATGACGGTCGAGACGAAACTGGCATGGCCGAGCGGTAGCGCACTTGCCACTGATAAAAATAATAATAATGACGCTGTTAATGTTACGTGTGTGTATCGTTTGAGTGAAGACGACTGCGAAAGCTATAAGGATTCTATGACCGAGTTCATTCACTTCAATAATAAATTCGGAGGTAATTGTTGTTATTGTTGTTGTTGCTATTGTTGTTATTATTGTTAGTTGTTGTTGTTGTTGTTATGTCAATAATATTTACATAGAATTTTCACAAAAACCCAGATATAATAGCGTCAGCCAATTCATCAAAGCTGGACAGATATCATCATCATCATTGCCAGCAAAGACACCAGACCAAAGATAAAATAAACTGCAAAGTACAGAAAGCCAAAGATGGTAAAAAATACCGATGCGAATGTACCGTATATGTCGGTATTCCGAACTCAATAACGAGAACCGATGTTACCGACGATTCGAATGATAATATCGCATGTCGGCTTGATAATGATAACGATAATAGTGGCGATGATGATAATGATGATGGTGATGATGATAGTGATGATGATGATGATGATAACAATAACAGCACTATGAATGAGAATAATTTTTTATTCGGCTATAATAATAATAATATTATTAATAATAATAAATCCACCGGGTCCAAAATAACGAAAATGGAAAATTCTATAAGAAATGCCAGCAAGAAAAATTATAATTATTGTGGTTATTATAATTATTTTATATTATTGTTTATTATTATTATTATTGTTGTTTTTATCATTATTATTGTTATTATATTTTCACAAGGTCTTCCTTTCTTAGTGATCGTCATACTGCTGAAGATGGTGGTTCTCGCACCAGGAGCCTTCTGATTGGTCGATATGTTGAATGAATGAATGAATGAATGAACGAACGAATAAATGAATGAATGAATGAACAAATAAATGAATGAATGAACGCACTAATGAATGGATGAATGGATCGATGAATAAATGAATGAAGAAACTAACAAACGAATGAATGAATGAATGACAATTCAAGACGTTCGAAGACAGGGGTGGGCAAACTACAGCGAAGCTATTTTAAAAAAGGTCCTCAGACAGACATTATGGTCAAAAAATGAAGCCAGAAATCTTTAAAAAATTTATCTCCGGGTCGAAAAAATTTGCTATTCAAGTGCATATGCGGCCCTTCAAAGGTAAAATAGTTCTCAATGCGGCCCTCACAGCAAAAAGTTGGCCCACCCCCTGTTCTAAGACATTAAAATATTACTATATACATACATATTTTGTCAATGTTTTATTAACCTTAACGTTATATAACATATTATTCCCATATGAGTCATTAATAATTGTGACTACAGTTATGACCAGAGCAGAAGCAAATAAATTATTATTCTATGTTGACGTTTGTAATTATTTCTGTGTAATAATAAATAACAATAACAAAAACCAATATTGAAATAAAAATATTATTATTATTTATTATTTTAATTAATAATACAAAAAAAATAGAAAAATAAATTATGGGAAAAATGTTTTTCTTATTCATGACGTGTCTACTATTAATGGGAGCGCGGACATCAAGTTAGTAATACATATTCCTTACTCAAATGATTACGCTAATCTTTACAGTAATCTTTACAGCAAACTTTCACAGTAATTGTAAATAAATCATCCCTCACCTTAATCATTACCCCACAATCTTTTCCAAAATAGAATCTGCGGCCAATCAGCATCAAAACACGATCCTATTGGTCGGATACGACAACCAATCAGTGAGCTTGGAGCATCCGGATTGCACTAAAATGTCCGGATGGTTGGACGAGAGAGGAACTGCGGTCAACTCAACATTACCCGCTTCTCCCAGTTCACCCGTTTCCAAATACGTCTGTATCGATAAAAACACAGTTGCCGGCTCTGTCAAACTGATCTACCATGGTTCGATTTTTTTGAACTTTTTCAATTTTGATTAAAATGTGATAAAACATTTTATTTCTTCAAATAGCTGATCAATTAAATCCCATCCTAATCTCATATTAATCCCATGTTAATCGCACACAAATACTCAGCTCCGAACACCTCGCTAGCCTTCTACACGTCGAGAGAGGAGCCAGCTCGCCACATGAAAGAATTCAACCTGACATGCTCAGTGCATCTCTACCTAGAGCCAAACATGAAAACCACTCTGAAAATTTACCAAAGTACTTCCCTATTAGGAGAAAAAAGTTTCCGAAACAAAAACCCAAAAGAATTTGCGGAAATAGTCCTTGGGGTCAATTTCTTCGCCCACTTCTTCCGGGGATTTGATTTCAGGTGCGTGTGGGAGATTGAGGATGAGGAATCTGGAGCCAGCTACTCCGAAACTAAACATCTGCTTGTCCCAATACATAGTTAGAGTTATTTTTATCTAATTAATTTCACATTAGTCGCATCTTTATAAATCTCACGTCTCCACATCCGAAAATTCCTAATTCAGAATCAATAGAGAACGTGCGGCCGAACGTATCAGTAGCGTACGTCGGGAAACCAATTGAGTGCGTGTACGATGGCTATCCCAAACCTCAAGTCATATCCTGGCTTCCGGCTGCGAATTGTTCAAAAAACGTTCGTTAATTATGATTTAATGTAATAAATATCATTAGTAAATGTTACAACAAAACAGATGTCTAAAATGTATGACAATAATACCGACGCAAACGGTTCGATATTGCGAATTCTCAAAGTCGGTAGTTACGGTTACACATGTGAAACCGTCAGTTATTCGAACGGTAAAGAGTACATAGTCAGTTGGACCGGCAATATAGATATTAAATCGTATAGTGAGTTACACGTGTGTGTTTGTGTGCGAGTGTGTCGATGAGAGTGTGTGTGTGTGTGTGTATTTATTTGTGTACTTATGGCATAAGTATATGTGTATTGCATTTGCGGTACCAATTCAATTTTTTGTACTAGCAATGTGCTGAAAGCAGTTACACATCTCAACGTGAGGTGGTTTTGACTAACACTTTTTTGCCATCCTACCAGATTTAAAGATCAATCACAATATTAAAACTGTATACCAGTTCGCAAAGATCGATACATCAGTTAAGTTGGAACACGTGAACTGTCCTCCTTATTCTAGCTGGGTCACTGAGGAAAAACTCGTCAGCACACCCCTCTTCCTGAATTCCGGATTTCTAGCCGTCCTGTATGGTTGTGTTGTTAACGATTACGTTGAAGGGGTCGTTCGGCTTGTTATTTGGGGTGAGCCAAGCAAGTTGCATACATTTTTACGTCAAATACTGGATAATTAATACAAATCAATTATACGTTATCGTTTAAAATACTTAATATTATAAAAAAAATAAGAGTAAATTTTTATTTACATCTGCAAACTTTCAGAAAATTTGATGAAATTTATATCAAGAGAATATTGGAGTAGCGAGGATGGCTCGATGTTATCTTTAAGTTGTAACGCCTGTCTTTGGTTCCACAGCAATGACGTCAACATCTCGATGTACATAAAGGATAATTATGGAACCATTTTAAGCATGGAATCATTCACATCAAGCCGATTTGAAAGCGTTTTTACGAACGCGTCTGCTGTTATTGAAATTCAAGAAAACCATTTATACAGTTTCGCGTGCATCTTAAGTTTCACTGAGTCGATCGGTCAAAGAGCTCTCAATGTCTCTCTCGTGAAAAAAAAATCTTCGTCTATATATAAAAGTAGACATTTTATTAACACTACTACTGCTGCTGCTAATACTACTACTGCTACTACTACTGCTGCTGCTACTGCTATCTCTACTGCTGCTGCTGCTGCTGCTGCTACTACTACACTACTAGCAATTTTATTTGAAACGAATTCAAAAAATATTAGTCAGGTTGAACGAGACATCAAGTACAGCAACAACAACAACTTCAAAAAGAACAAAAATTATAACAAAGAAGAAACCAAAATCGACACAAACTCCACCAATTAGGAAGACGACTGTAGAGGTTGGGGACGTAGTGACGTGCATAATGGAGCTTAATCGCACCCTAGATGGCTGTTTCTGGCTGGCCGACAAGCCAGACAATCCCGGATTTGTGATTTTAAGTGGGGGACAAAATGTAACATTCCTAGTGCATGGATACTATAAGATAATGTGTGCCTGTTACTTTACTCACAATGGAAAACAGTTTAGAGCGGTCGTTTTAACTGAATTCAAAGTCTACAAGCACACATGTTAGTAACATTATCACAATTTTTGATAATAATTTGTTTGATAGACGTACTTTTTGATTGAAATGCGGTTTTGAACAAGTTTTTTTATATTAAAATTGCATCAGATGACATGCAGTATCTTAGAAATAACATTGGTTAGTTCATTTTGGAGATAATCTTTTGTAATTTAAATTATTTTATGATTAATTTAGCTGTTCAACAACAGAATTAATTAATTATTAAGTTAATTTATTTTATTTTTAAGGTTTCCGGGGCTCCAGCTTACTACTGTATCAACTTATTATCAAATATTATATTTTCAACTTGTAAGTATGGTGTAATTTAATAAAAGTTTAAAAAATTCAATTAGTTTTTATCAATTTAAATGAGACTTGCACACTTAAGAAACTAAAACTTTGTGAATATCACAAATACGTAACTGTGAGGACGACGATGTACAGCCAGGTGGGAACTGTGAAGTGAACCATGAATTTATAATTGATTTTAAAAACTAAACGCTACAAAATTTAAAAAGTTTTAAAGGTAAATCTCACAGTCTCTTAGCAACCGTTTTCAAACTTTTTTAACATTTTTAATAGTTTAATTGAATTGCTAAAAATAGCAAATAAAATATAATTTAAAAATCAAAATAAAAATGCCTATTATTGTAAAGGATTACGAATGGCAAGAAAATAACGAATTCCTATTCATCTCCGTACCTTTGAAAAGCGTCAACTCTAAGAAAGTGTCACTTTTTACTACGAATTCCTACCTAAAAGTACGAAAGTACATACGTTTACGTACACACACATATATATATATAATATTTAAATAATATTTCAATCTAGGTTCACTTTTCACCATTTTTATTTGAGTGCTTTTTGAATGGGAGAATAAATAATGAAGAGAGCAAAGTAGAGATTGGTGATGGCCTGGTTAAGTTCAAATTAGTGAAAGAAACTCAAGCAGTCTGGGGATCTCTAGAAGACCCTAATTCTGGTAGGGAAATAATTAATCATCGCTATTTTTCTAAATATTTTAAAGTATTATTATATTTATATTATGTTATGTCTGAGTCATATGTTTTTGTGTAACCTTTTTACATAAATTTTACATTTGAAAAACAAAGAATCAGAAGAGAATAGAAGAATATTGCGAGAGAAAGCGTTAGAAGAACATAGAATGGCTGAAGAGAATAAATTGAAAACGAAAGAAGAAACGATCCGAAGTATTAAAAGTTTCAATGTGAAGCAGCAAATGAAGGTCTTCTTGTCCTTGTTTTCTGTTGTTTTGTACTGATATTGGTATTTGTTGTGATGTATTGATTTTGTATCTATTAATATATGGTATTTGTATATAGTATCATTTTGTATCGTCTCATCGTTTCAGTATTTTACTAACATACAAAACAATTGAACAGTTGGAGCAAGAAAACAGAGCTTGGATTGATCATGAAAGAACGAAAGAAAAGATTAAATTTGAGGAGGAAATGAATGAATGGAAGCAACAACAACAACAACAATCTCAACAACAACTTCAACAACATCATCAACAACAACCTCAACAACATCATCAACAACAACAACATCATCAACAACAACAACATCATCAGCAACAACAACATCATCAACAACAACAACAACAGATTCAACATCTAAGAGATGACAGTATAAACAATAATAATAATAACTATAACAATAATAATATTAAGAACAATAAAAACATTAACAAAAATAATAATAATAGTAACAATAAAAACATCTTTGATGACGTCACACCGATACGACAAACAAAAACTATCAGCATCTCATTTACTCCTCGAGTTTTTCCGACTCCAACCAGAGAATCGATGGCCCCAGAAGAAGAAGAGGTTGATTAGTGGATTGATTGATCGAAAAAGCGAACGAACGAATGAATGAATGAATGAATAATGCATGAATGATTTTAATGAGTGAATTAATGGTCTAGTGATGCGTTTGTAAGCTGTCTGATTGATTAATTTAATTTTTCGTTCGTTCATTCGTTCATCTGTTATTAATTTATTTACTTATTTATTCACTCACTTGTTTATAATTCATTCATTCATTCATCCATCCATCCATCCATCCACTAATTCGTTCATTAAAGTGGTTACGTAAGCAAGCAGAAGCTAAAAGAGTCATAAATTTTGATGATAACAACTTGAAAGAAGAAGAAAAGAACCCGATATGGCTGAGAGATAAAGGAAAGTTAGCTGGTCATTCATTCATTCAATCAATCAAACCATCAATCACACATTCATTCATTCACTCATTCATTCATTTTTGATCGATTAAATTTTTTTATCTTCGGATGAAGCAAATTTTTTCAAGATGGCGATTACCAGGCAGCCATCAACGCGTACACACACGCGATCAGACTCGACTGCAAACTTCCGTCGTATCCTTGTTCTATTTAGTGTCTTTTATTGGGGGTGGAAAAGATATTTAATGTTTTTTTTTATTTATTCATTCCTTCACTGCCTATCAAACATTTAAGATTTTTCAATTTTATTGCTTATAAAGTTAGATTTCTTTAACAGCACAATAATCGTCATCATCATCTATGATATCGTCATCATCATCATCTCTGACGTCATCATCTTTAGGTTGTATTCAAACAGGGCGGCTTGCCATTTGAAGATGGGGAATAGTTTCAAATGTTTGGAAGATTCTTCTAAGGTTCCTCCTCAAATAATTGAACAGTGAAAGAATTAACGGATCATTGAATGAACGAATGAATTAGTCCATGAGCTAAATAATGATTGAATGAATGAACAAATTAATTAATGCATGAATGACGAGTGAATGAACAAATTAATGATCCGTTAAATGAATGAATGAATGAAAAAATCTTTAATTAACGACAGATAAAGGAATAAACTACTGATTGATTGACAGATCGGCTCATTCACGATCGAATGAATTAAATATTCCTTATTTGAATGAATACGATGTCCGAACGAAAAAAAAAAATTAAATTTCAGGCATTAGAAATGCTGACACCCCCCGTCGAGCAGAATAGACTCTCCCGAATTCAGGCCCACATAAGGAGGGGTACAGCATTCGTGACCTTGAAGCTTTTCGTTGAAGGTCGAATATGTTAATGAGATGATGACGTTGCGACTACCGTATTACTGAATGATTTGACGACGATGATCGGCATCCCTACAAACATCATCATCACAACCATCATCATCATCATCACAACCATCATCATCACAACCATCATCATCATCATCACAACCATCATCATCACAATCATCATCATCATCACAACCATCATCATCACAACCATCATCATCACAACCATCATCATCACAACCATCATCATCACAACCATCATCATCACAATCATCATCATCACAACCATCATCATCACAATCATCATCATCATCACAATCATCATCATCACAACCATCATCATCACAATCATCATCATCACAATCATCATCATCATCACAACCATCATCATCACAACCATCATCATCACAATCATCATCATCATCACAACCATCATCATCACAACCATCATCATCACAATCATCATCATCACAACCATCATCATCATCACAACCATCATCATCATCACAATCATCATCATCACAATCATCATCATCACAATCATCATCATCACAATCATCATCATCAGGATTGCGCGATTACGAGGCGGCATTGAAACTGGAGCCTGGGAATGACGACTTGAGAAAGGATGCCGAGTCCATTAGACGAACCATTCAATCATCATCATCATCACCACCTCCAGCATCATAATCAACGCCCACTATATTATCATTATCATCATAATTATTATCATTATTATTAGCATTTTGGTTTCTTAATATAGCCTTTAACAGTGATGTAGGTATTGTTATTATGATCATTCGCTCACGTTGTTCGTATATTTGGAGTTTAAAACACAGCAAAAACATTGAGACATTGTTAATGATATCACGGTGGCGATGATGACGATGACGACAACAACAACAGTGATTAAAATGATGGTGGTGGTGATGATGATGGTGGTGATGATAATGATGTCGATGATGATGATGATTGAAACGGTGATAATGATGATGACGACGAATATGACGATAGCATGTCGTTAACTGTTTGTTAAGATGATGTTTAAACGAAATGATAACGATGATGATGGTGATGATGGTGGTGATTAATAAAACTGTGATAATGATCAAAGTGATGATGATAGGATGGTGATAACGATGATGATGATGATGAATGTTTATTAAAACATCAGTTTCTTAGCTAGACCTGCAGAATGAGTTAAAAAATTATTTACATAATTATTTATATTTATTAATATTATAATGTAGTAATAACAATATATAACATTTCAATCGACAAACACAAAACAAACAAAAAACTAAAGACAGCCAAAAACTTCAAAAAAAACTTCAAAAAAGAAACAAAAAAATGAAGTGCTACAAAAAACCTGATTCCGGCGGCATATCACTCTTCCGCTTACTGACCACCCTCCTCCTATTCTTATTACTATAGCCATTATCATTCGATTCATGATCGTTGGTAACTCCCTGTGACGTCAGCGAGGGGCGGGGCAACATTATTGGGGCGGTAGGTAGGGGCTTGTTCGTGAAGTAGGGCATTTGGAGGGCCTGGGAACAATATTTTAAAAACATAAATATGAATAAATGTATATGGAGAGAGAGAGAGAGAGTGAGGGATAGAGAGAGAGAGAGAGAGAGAAAGAAACATAGACACATACATTAGAACAGACACATTGTGATCAGTAAGAAAGATTGAGTGTAGAGTGTGTGTGAAAGAAAGAGAACATAAAAAAGAAAGAAAGAGGGAGATAGATAGATAGAGAGAGAGAGGGAAAGAGAGAGGGGAGGTGCAGACACGTACTTGGGAGCAGGTACACCTGAAACATGGGTTGAGACTAAGCAGTTGAGACATCAGCTGCAAAAGGTCGTCTGGGGCGGCTGAGAAAATTTCTGAAAATGGCGTCGCTGGCGTGTATTTGAAGTTTATGTACTCTGGTAATTCCGTCACGTCCTGGTTCAGTGGATAGATTAAATGAATGAATGAACGAAATGAACGAATGATTGAATGAGTGATTAGAGTGTGACAAATTTGCGTATAAGAAATTTATGAACTCAATCAATTAATAATTCATTGATAGATTTCGTCAGTCAGTCAATCAACCAGTCACTCATTAAATCATTACTCCGTCCATCCATCAATCCACTAATTAACTAACTAACCGGCCAAGTTTCCAGTACAGGTGTGCCTAGAATGTTGAATATCTGATCCAACTGGCCTAAGTCAGAATCTCCAGGGAGGAATGGTTTCTGTGGTGGTTATGATGATGATGATGGCTATGATGATGATGATGGTTATGAATATGATGATGATGGTTATGATGATGATGATGGTGATGATAGATAAAAAAAACACAAACTCACACACACGCACGCGCGCACACACACGCACACAAATAAATCAACAATAGACAGCAGCAGCGACAAGCAAACAGCAAATCATAATAAGTTATAATTATGACAAATAATTAATAATAGAAATAATAATAATAACCCTCAATAGCAATTCGGCCAGTATGCAGCCGACGGACCAAACATCCACACCAGTGCCATAGTTTCGACAGCCGAACAACAACTCTGGGCACCTGTACCATCTGCGGAGAGAGGGAAAATTATGATCATAATTATTTATTGAATAATTATCTATTTATTATATAATTATTTATTTATTATATAATTATTTATTTATTATATAATTATTTATTTATTATATAATTATTTATTTATTATATAAATATTTATTTATTATATAATTATTTATTTATTATATAATTATTTATTTATTATATAATTATTTATTTATTATATAATTATTTATTTATTTCCGTCATCATTTATTTATTTCGGTTTCATCATAGGTAGCCAAACGGCAACCCCCGATCTCGGGGAAAATGTCGTCTAAATGTGTGTTGTTGTTGTTGTATAATTATTTATTTATTATATAATTATTTATTTATTATATAATAATCTTTAAATATGATAATGACCTCGTGACAACTTGGTTGGTGTAGTTCCTGGTCGGAGAGCCAAAAAATTTTGCAAGGCCAAAATCTCCAATCTTAACTACACCTATGAGTGGATGGAACAAACGAATGGAAAGTTTAATGAATGAACTAGTGAATTAGTGAATGAATGAGTAAATGAATGAATTGGTAATGGATGAATGATAGACGAATGAATGAATGAACGATAGACGAAAGAATGAATGATAGAACGAATGAAAGAATAGTTAAATGAACCTTTATCATCAATCAGCAAGTTATTTGGTTTCAGATCCTGGAGAGTAAAGAAAAATGTTAAATCAATCTATCAACTAGTTAATCAACTCATTAACTTATCAACCAAATCAATCAATCAACCAACCAACTAACCAACAAACCAATCAACCAGCCAACTAACCAACCAACAAACCGACCAACCAACCGACCAACTAACCAACCGACCAACTAACTCTATGTAGGACCCAATTAGCATGCAAGTACTCAAGTCCTTCAAACGTTTGCAGTATGTAAGATTTTATATGCGCCATTGTCAGCACTAATCTGGAGTCCTTGATTATCATCTGAATGGACGAATGAACGAACGAACGAACGAACGGATGGATGAATGAATGGATGAATGAATGGATGAATGAATGAATGAATGAATGAATGGATGAATGAATGGATGAATGAATGGATAAATGGATGGATGAGTGAATGGACAAATGAAGGAATGGATAGATAGATGATTAAATAAATGAATTAGTAAATGGATGAATAAGAATAAATAAATAATATGACATAAATAATCAAATAATAATTATAATTAAATAAATAATTATTATTAATAAATAATAAAAAAATGTTAGAAGAAAGGAATCAACAATTTTAACCTCCAGATCTGTCTCCATGTAATCAAAGACGAGGCTTATGTTAGACTTCTTACCGAAAACATCCAACAGCTGTTGGATAAACAAAAAATTATAAATAAAATTACTAAAAAAATTTTTAAATATTATAATTATTTTAATATAAAAAACATCGGCATTGACGTACTCCAATAATATTGGGATGATGAATTTCTTGTAGTAACTTGATTTCTCTCAGAGCTGTCCTATTGACACCATCATCGAGCTCATTTCTCTGGCCGACTTTAATCTAAATTAGGAAATTAAGAAGCTAGTAAATTAATGAATTAGTATAAACAAAGGTTAGTGAACTGGGAATAAAGAAGTGATTAAGTTTGTATTGTATACTAGTGATTTGATGAATGAATGGATTTGTGAATTGTTAAACTATTAAATAATGATTAGGCTGTTAGGTTAATGAGTGGGAGCAAAAGTAAATTCAAGGAAAATTAGTGAAATTGGTGACTTAGGCCAATTAACCTTTTTGACTGCTACAATTCTATTATCACTCAGACGATCTTTGGCTTTGTAAACTGTGGCAAACTACAGGATAAAACAGAACCAAAAAATAAAAACTAAAATTAATTATGTTATAAAATGAATTAAAATAAAAGTCTCATGGTTTTTATATCAGTGGTTTTTGATGCACATTATATATTTTGTTACATAATATTGAAATAAATCAACTAATTCAAAATTTTAAACTTTTAAAATAAAAGTTTGATAGATGGTTAGTACCCAAATTTAAACTATTAATTTTGTGATTTAATTTACATATAAAATATAAATAATTATAAAATAAAAATTTCACAAATTGACCAGATTTTAATTAAATTTTAATAATAATTAATTTCAATTTCTGAGAAACATACCTGGCCTTCTCCAAGAAATGCAACTTTTTCGTACCTCTTCAATTTTCTAGACATCTCAAATCAAATCGATCTCCAATTTTCGTACAAACTCAATTATTTAAAATTCAAAAATATTAATTAGTATTTTATTTTTTGACTTCTATTATCGGCGAGTTCACTTTTAAATAATAAACATTGACATAGGTAACATACATTGACAAAATATACACTGACATGGAATTGAAATATTAACTAGCCCATATTTATAGAATATATATACATACATATATGATATATTCTATATATATGAACGTATCGTAGTAAAAATGACCTTTAAAATTTTTTTCAAAGAAATAGAAAAATTTGAAGTTTCTACGCGTTATTATATTTATTCACTCATTTTATGAATTATATGAAAAAGCAATTTCAAAAAATAAACCTTCAAGAAACCTATTTTTAAAAAATGTATGGACTAAGCAAGAATTTCGTTGTAAAAATGGCAAATGAACGAAATAAAAGATAATTTGTAATACATTTAATAGTGTTGTAACAATGGTACAGGTTATGTAATCAGTAAAAATTTAACGTGCAATGTGAAACGAGATTCGTTTCGTACAAGCGTGAATGCTCTAAACACAAGGTTACATTTTGTAAACAGGACAATACAAGCTGCTCATTGAGAAGTTAAAAATGTTCTCTAAATTGATAATGATCATATAATACGGAAAAAAAAAAGAATTGTAATCTATATGTATACCTAATTTATAAGCGGTTCATTTGTAAATTTTGAAAAGTGACTAAATCGTTTGCTAACAAACAAATAAATCATTACACAGAAAAGCACTGAAACTATGAAATTTATTTTAGAGGCTTATTTGGAACAAATTATTAACCGTGAGATGTTGAGCAAACCAAGCTATTTAAGATACAAAAATATGAAATATTCATAAAAATTATCAAAAAATAAATTTTCTTGAAAGCAAAATAAAAAAAACCAGCTAACAATAGCAATAACAAAATAAGCATGCAATGAGCATATATATCAATCAAAACTAAGACAAACAGTTAACATAAATGACACTTATTGGTTGTTAAAATATGCAAATAGGCATATAAAAATTTCATGAGATAACATGATTGGCTGTTAAAAACAGATCTCCAATTTGAAAAAATATAAAATGAACAACTCTCTTAAATGAATAATGGCTTCTTGCTCCTTGGGCTTTTGTAGCCTCTTGTTGTTGTTCGAACATTACTTCTAAAAATAATTTTTTTAAATCAAATTAGTAAAATAAATGATTAACAATAATAGTTTGCACAAATAACCTTCTAGCTCTCTGATTGGATGCCGGTGTTGACCAATCATCACTCAGGTTTGCCAGAGCTTGCATGTCATTGGTCATGCTATATATTCCAGCTTTTATGCTCTCAGGACTACTCCACAAGTATCTAAAAATTGCAAAAAATGGCAAAACTAATTATGAAAAAGTGATTATTTAAAAGTAGTAAAATTAAATTTCAGAAAAATGTCAAAAATAAATTAATTGAAAATATTTTATGCCTAATGGGAAACCTTGCATGTTGTTTCTCAACAATCCCCATTTTGGGTCTCAGTGGGGGCGCCCTAATTGATGGGGAGTCAATCTCAAATGGGGAATACATCTTTACTTCATTTCTTTTCATCATAAGTCTGTCAGATCTTCTCTGAGGTGTTTGTTTGGTTGTTGTTGTTGCTGATGTTGGATCATTTTTCACAGTTGTTGATGGTGTACGTGTGATTAGTTTCTTCTTATTTCGAGTTGGCACTTTGATTTTCTAGAGTATTTTTGAGTGAATGAAGAGATGAGTTGAAAGTAGGAAAAAATATCAAATTATGAAGTAGTTGATCACTTTTATTTCCAATTAAAAAATTTATTCAGTACAAAAAAATGAAATAAATACTAGCCTGCTTAATTATGGAGTTCAGAGCTAACTTAACTGACGTTGCACGCCTCAAGACTCTTTCTTGCATTGCCCCAAAGCTTGAATTAACTCCCTGATTCAAGGATTTCATAATTTTGTTTCCAAATACAGCTCGTCTGCTTTTGCTGGGGAGCTTGTTCGAAACATTTCCAAACGGAATTCGTGTTTCCAGATTGGGATTGCATGAAGATAACTTTTCATCTTTCTGTTCTTCGTTTTCTGAATTTTCTTCAACAATTTGTTGCCAAGACAATCCGACAATTCTTGATGTTGAAATTCTAGACGTCATTTTTGCTTTATTTAACAACCGATCAATTTTTCATCGATCGACTTCATTTAGTCATGCAAAAAATGCACACGAATTCGAATTTAAAAAAGGGGACATAATTAAAAAAATTATGAAGCTCTTAATTTGATCACCAGGTATTTGTTAGTGACTGCCTTAAAGCAAAGTGACCATTTCAATTGCAAATTTAACATTATAAAAATTGACAATAATTTTTTATTTAAATAACTAAGTATTTTAATAAAATTTAATTTGTTTCTCTAGAATTTGTGATTTTACACATGGATATAAATAATTTATTTAAATTTACTCCTAACTTTATGGACTTGTAACTATTTCTGTTCGGTGGGACCTCGTGCTTTTTGAGTTTCGTTCTTCGTCCGCGCCGCAGATTTCATCAAATTTGTCAAAAAATGAAGAAATTAAAAGGCCAAGAATTGTCTCAAGTTAGTTTCAAATCTCACAAAATTACTGTTAAATTTTTCATTTCGACGCGTTTTTGAATGAATAATTTTTATTTTATGATCACCGTTACATTACATTACGATTACGATTATAATATTATTTAATTTGAATTTACGTTACGATTACATTACTTACTTCTTACACGTTACTGACATTGATTAGAAGTTAGCTTGGCAAATAATTTTCTAATTAGGTTCGGTCGCCTGTACAATCAAATTTTTTTGTATCATTGCAAACTAAAATTGTTATTAAAATATTATAATTATATAAAAAATAAACAATAATGAATAAACTATAATTTTATTTTTTTTTTGAGATCTCTATTAAAATATTAAATTATTATCTATAATTTTTAACACTGATCAATCAAATCTGAATCAAAAGGTCTGTTCTTTGTCCTAATTCTAACCTACTAACTGATGATAACATATTATAACTGCACTAGCTAACCTAACACCTTTCTATAATTAGCCATTCCTAATCTTAATTTAATTCTTATTTAAAAAATAATTGCAATTGACAACCAATTGGCTAATATAATATAATATAATGTAATAATATTTAATAATTTATTAATTCGTAATTGAAGTTAATTTTTAATTTTTATTGTTCATTCCCAGACGCCAACTGCCAACAGAAGGAAAGATGAGAACAAAAAACGAAAGAAGATAATGAATTCTGAACCTCAGCCAAAGAGGAAGAAACTACTCGAAGAAATAGATGAACAAATTAGTGAAGATGAATTTGATGTATGATCATTATTATTCATCATTTATTTAAATTTACAATTTTTTAAATATAAAGGTCATCTTTTCATTGTTAAAATGTTGATTTATTAGAAATTAAAATACAAATACATTTTTGTAAAATAACTAAAATTACTTCCTAAATTGAAATAGGCCAAATTGAAAAGCCTTCGAAAAAATATGAAGCCAAACTGCAAGATAAATAAAAATGAATCTAAAAAAAATTTGAACTTTGATGACGACGATGATGATGGTGATGAAGAAGAAGAAGACGACAATTTCAATGACAGTGAAGAAGATGATGATAACAATGATGAAGATGGTAGTGACTTATCTGATGATGATGATGGTGGTGATGATTACGATGATAATGATGATGATAATATGGAAATCACTGATGATGATGATGACGACGACGATGTTCTTCAAAAGAAATCACCTGTAAAGAAAATGGCCAAAGGAAAGATTGATAAGAAGATTGAAGGAGGTATATCTGGTTATAAAACTGGTGTCTGTATGTGTATGTGTGTATGTTTGTGTGTATATATATATATGTATGTGTGTGTGTGCGCGCCCGCGCGTGCTTGCAATTGTTTTATGATTTTCTGACATGATTATAACCTTTTCTTTATTTATTTTTTCAGAATTTTTAAAATTTTCTGCGTATAATTTTTATTCAATTGATTAGATTGTCATTATTCAAAATTGGTTTATAAATGTCCTGTAGAGATCAGATCAAAGTTAGAGAGACAGAAAGAAAAAAAGAAAGAAGGAAGTGGTGAAACGAAAAAGGACAAAAAAAGAATATTAAAACCAGATGGTCGGTTGTCTTATTTGTCTATGCTTTCAAAATTTATTAGCATCATATATTATCATTTGGTAATCATAGCCTTCAAACCTTAACTGATCTGTATAACTTCTTCTCCATCCATCTACACAGATCCAAGTATCATTGCCGGAGAACTTGCTAAACGTAAGTGAAACTGAAAGTGAACTTTAACCTCAATAATGAATTGAATAATTAAAGTACAGATGATAGATAAATATATGGTAAATTAATTTTTCCATCAACAACAAAGTGCTACGTAATGAAAGAAGCATGTTCATTAAGTTGGTTCCAACAGAGGTCGACGTGGAGGTCATCAAGAAAATGTCGCCAGACATTACCGGAGTACGGTTCCTTACTACCGGAAAAGCCAAGAAAAGGTGACAAGCCTACACACACACACACACACACACACACACACAACAATTATGTGATTGAGATATTTACAGCATCATCAATAGCTATTTATACACACACATATACATACATACATACGCAACACACACGCACGCACACACACGCACAATCGGTTTTTTACATATAAGTGCAGGCGCAAATACAAACACGTACATAAACATATTCAGGAAGGCTTTCATAGAATTTCACGACCCAGATACGAGAAACAAAAACTATGAGTCTGTAAGGAAGCAGATTAAAAAAATTAGCTCTGACATCGTCGTTGATTACGCCTGTAGTAAGAGTAAATATATACGAGGTTTGCTGGAATTGAAATATAGTACTAATATCAGTATAACTATATATGACAATATTTCTATTAATATACATATATTGGATCATATATATTATTAATGTTACCATTATTTTTATGATTAATTATAATAATAATATTATTATTATTACAGACCAAGAAAAGAAACAGCAAGAAAAAACATTTTATAGTTCTACGGACTTGTTTGTATCCGGGTTTCAGTCTAATCAAACTACGAAGGGTGAAGTTAGAAAGCTTTTCCCTGATTGTGTAAAAATTGTCGGCGAGTTCCTCGGGGCCGGTGATAATAAAACTGGTGAAGTTGATGGTGCTGATGATGAAATGAAATTACTTAAAGAGTAAGCTACTAGCTAACTGTTTGTTGTTTCTGTCTTATTATTGTTATTATTTTTGTATTAAGTAAGACCACCATTATCTTCATCATTACTACTACTACAACAGTCACGTGACAGTCTGTTTCAAGAGCGAATCAGATTGCAGGAAGGCAAAGGACAGACCAATCAAATCAAAGGAAGGCTGTGATTTGCTGGTTCAGTTTGCAAAAGCTAAGCATAAGTCGCAGAGGAGAGCCTATAAGAAAGAGTTAAAAAGGAGGAAACGGAAGGAAATTGGTTGTGATGATGATGATTTTTGTGATGATGGTGATAGTGATGATGGTTTTGATGTTGCTGGCTGTAATGTTGTTGATGTTAATACTTCTGAGGAATGTAATGTTGGTGGATGGTGATAATAATTAATTATTCTCGGAACTAAATTTCAGCTCAACAGAGGAAGGCCAACGCCGGCAACGAACAGAAGCAGCAATCCACTGATGTGAAAAAGATCAAAAAACCCAAAAAAGTAAACATAAAAAAGGCGAACTCCCCATCTAAAGAAGCTGTACCAGCAGCTGCAACACAAACTGCAGCAAGAAAGAAAAAGAATAAAAAGCCCAAGAAAGAAAGTGAAGGCCACGTGATGGAGACGACAGCTCCTCAGAAGCCTAACGTGGAAAAGAAGAAAAAAAGGAAAAAGCCCAAAAAGAAAGTCGCCAAAGATACAAACTAATTTAGCAGTACTAGCGATTTTCACGACCACTTCTATTCACATGCACACACATATATTATATATATATTATCAATTAATTAATCTCATAATAAATACATGTTTATGATGTTATCAATAATAACCATTATACTAATAATATTATCAACTGTTTTAAAGCAGTAGAACAATGCGCCACTGAGTTTACTCATGATGATGAAAACGTTTCGTACGTGCGTGCGAAAGGAAAGTATTTTATAATTATGGTCATAATTGTTATAATTATAACTATTACAGTCGTAATTAATAATTTTTATAATCTCGAATTTTTTTATATTTTCCCCGATCTCGGGGAAAATGCCGTCTAAACGTGTGTTGTAATTTTATTACTACAATTCGTCATCCTCTTCGTATTCAATTACATATCCATCTGTTTTGATTTAAAGAAATAACAATAGTGATGATAATAAAACAATAATAATAGTTGTAACCAGTAAGAAATTAACTTTTTAAATTCAAGATTTAACGAAATAAAAATTGATAAAAAGATCTATCGATTGCTAGCCATGATTAAATTTTATTACTGTTATTATCACTTTTTTGTTATTGTTCCTGTTTTCGTCAAAATTTACCAGAACGGGCACCTGGGTGGATGAAATTCGAAAGAAGTTTTTATTATTAATTGATTAACTTCAATTTCATTGAGGCCGTCCGTCGTTTAATACACGGAAGAACACTTGGAAACAAGCACATGGGATGTGTACGTAGAGAGGATGTAAAAAGAGGGAGGTATGGAGACGGAAACAGGAGGGAAGGAAAGTAACAAGAAAAACATAGAAGGTGAGTTAAACGCAGAAAGAAAAACTATATATACACTGAGTAGGTAAATGTTATATAGTAATCTCCGTTGGTTTAGCCAGTCATTAGTGCCACAAGAAAGTGAAGTAGAAAAAGAAGGGGTGAAACATAGAGAAAAAAAGACAATACGCACTACAAATAGTCAAAAGTACGAACCATCCAATGTAGCACTGACAAAGGTTCTCGTGAAGCGTGGCTTGCTCTATGAGTTGGCTAACTTGAGATGGGACGTCGATGGAGTCCGTCGTATTGAAATCTTTTCCAGTTAACTTATCCCTTACCCTGTTTATTATGGAGAGGGCCTTCTTGTTTAATTCCTCCGGGGGTGCGTCACCCTCCGCTGCAATAATTATTTCTAATTATAATAATTATTAACTTTATTATATTTTTGTTATTATATTATTTTTAATATATTTTCAACAGCCTGTTCTGTACAGCAGAAACAATAACATCAGTGACGGCACGAATGATAATATCAAAAATGATTATGGTAATAATGGCAGACCAACCCAGAGAACTTTCATGCACTCTCTTCAAGCTCGCATACGAATGTTCCATGGTAGAAAAGTCTAGAGAATAGTAATAATAATAATAACAACAACAATAATAATAAAAACAATAAAAATAATAACCTAAGTCGTTGGCCGTATTGTAAGGGCCAGCAATCGACGAGTTCTTTGGCTCCCTTATGTTAGCTGTACGTGTGTATGCGACCATCATCCTCATCATCATAATTATTTATTATTATTATTATTATTATCATCATCATCACAACCTTCCATCAGTCTCCAATTAAGCAGAGGATCGTAAACAAAGGCCTCCAGCACGGCCATCAGACTGTCCTTGTGACTCCTCAACACTCGCATGACTCTCTCGCAGGTCAACCTGTAGTTTCCCTCGATTCCAGTCACCTAAAATTAGGGATTTTGTTGAAGGCGGGGCTTAAATCAACCAATCAGTCAGTCAATCCATCAATCAGTCATCAGAACATCAATCAATGAGGTAATATTCAATCAAATAGTCGGTCGTTCAATTGCTACAAACTTCCATAGCCATTCTAATTAGCGTAAGATAGGAATTTATTCGTTGTGGGACTGAAATTAATCAATCAAACAAACAATCAACTGTGTGATCAATTGTTACCAACTTCCATAGCGTTGACGAGCATTCTCGTAAGTCTGAATGGAATTTTCTCTGGAAATTTCTCTCTGAATGTATGGAAAGAAATTGTTATTATCATTGAAAGTAAAATTTAACTCGATAGGGTGACTTCTTGTATCAATCAATCAATCATGCATTCATTCATTCAATCAATCAACGACTCACTCAATCATTCAACCAAAATCCTGAAAACCTGGTCATGGCCACTTCAAAACAGTCTCCAAAATCGATGTGCATAATTTTTCCGGAAATTCGGTCCAGCATTAAATTAGAGGGATGCCTGTCTCCCAGTCCCAGAATATATCCCACCATGGACATCACGGCCAGTGAACGTGTATAGTTCGTCCGTCGGTCGAACCATATCTACGTAAGTGTGTGTGTGTGCGTGTGTGTGTAGTAGGATGGTGCTGCTTGATTTATATAAATGCTTGCTTGATGAATAGTTGATTTTGATTTGAATGGTTGGCTGGTTGCTTGATTGGTTGATTGGCTGGTTGACTGATTGATTGGTTATATAACCCCTGACCTCTGAACTCGGACTTTTGACCCAGAGAATTTTCGCGAGGTCATCGCCGTTCGTGTTCTCCAGGGCATGTTCGAAGACTTCTATCTTCTGCATCAGCGTGAGGTGGTCGTAGTCTTGAGACATCTGATCATGATGATGATGGTAATGATGATGATGATGATGGTGGTGATGATGATGATGGTGGTGGTGGTGGTGATGACAATGATGATGATAATGGTGGTGATGATGATGATGGTGATGAAAATAAAAAATATGACAGCATGGCGAATGATAAGATAGCACCACCACCATCATCATCATCAACACCATCCTCACCACCACCATCATCACCACCATCATCGTCATCATAACCACCCGCAGCATAATCCTGTGCTCTATATTAAGTAGGATCTTCTTCCGATCCCGATAATCTCGAATCAGTGAGTGGAGGGTATCGCAATTCGGCACCCATCCAATCAGGCCTTCCAGTTGTTATTATTATTATTATATTATTATTATATTTATTATTATTATTATATTATTATTAATATTATTATTATTATTGTTATTACTATCAGCACAACGAATATGATAAGTACCTGAGTTTGTCGACAACGGTATGACGGCGTATCTGTGGATTCTGATTGGTTGACGTGTGGACGACGGGCGACCAATGAGAGGAGAGGAGAGAGTTGTAGTAGGAATGTGAACAACATAAATTATGACGACGCGGTTGAATCATCATCACCGTCATCATCATCACCATCATCAAAGTCACCATCATCATCACCATCACCTCTACCAACATCACCACCATCATCACCAACAACAACAACACCATCATCATCATCAACAACACCATCATCATCAACAAGAACATCATCATCATCATCACCGACGATAAATTCCTCTTGGGTATCTGCTGATTGGTCAGTAGGATTGAGTTGACCAGCCCGAACAGCTGCATGACCCTCTCGTCTTGCCTCAAATCTTCGTGACCTTTCAACAGGAACTGGTACTCCTGGCCGTTACTTCCTGATGATGATGACGACAATGATGTTCACACAGACACACACAGACACACACACAGAGACAGAAACACACACACACACACACACACACACACACAGAAAAACAACACACGAACCATCATACCAACATACCGTATATACACAGCTTTCTAGGCCGTTGCTTAGACGAGATGACACTTAAACTGCTGCAAACTTTTTGTATATAGACGATTGGTTGATTGGCATCGTACGTTCCCGGGACAGACAAAACCATGTCTCGGCATTCTAGAAGTTTCGGCGACACGTACTGAAGCTCTAATGACGTCAGCTAGGTGGTGGAATGTGATTGGTTGCATGGTTAGTCGGTTGGTCGGTTGGTTGGTTGGTCGGTTGGTTGGTTGAATGTGGGAGGAGTTGGTTTTGGGCTAGAGGATTGAATGTGGAAGAGGTTATATGATTAAATGTTGAAACATATGATTGAATGATTGATTGAATGATTGAATGAATGATTGATTGACTGATTGACTGACTGATTGACTGACTGATTGATTGACTGACTGATTGATTGATTGGTTGATTGATTGATTGGACCAGCCGGCCAAAGAACTAACTAACAACCTGAGGAAGTTGCTTGGTGATCTTTTTGAAAACTTGATAATACAGATCCCAGGCCTGTGTTAGTTCTTTGTTGTTCCTCGTCAGCTGGTATCGTCTGCAGCACTCGTGGGCGATATTCAAGTCGTGTCCGTACGACTGTGTGTGCGTGTGTGTGTGCGTGTGTGTGTGTGCGTAAGTAAGAATGATGATAATACTAATGATGATGATGATGATGTTAGAGATAGATGATATTAAAAACGCCATCAGAATGATCACAACGACAACAACTACATCTACAACAACAACAACGACAACTGCATCCACAACAACAACAACGACAACAACTACATCTAAAACAACAACGACAACAACTACATCTACAACAACAACGACAACAACTACATCTTCAACAACGACAACAACTACATCTACACAACAACAACAACAACGACAACAACAACCTGAATGAAAGCAATTTCTTTCTGTGTCTGCGGACCATTGACGAGCATCTGGTGCAAAGGTTCCAGGACGTTCAGCATGGCAGGTATGTTACGGTCCCCGAAGTACAACCTGATGGAGATCATTGTCGTGATGACTGAAAACAACAACAACAACAACAGCAACAACAACAACAACAACAACAAAAAAAAAATAATAATGATGATGATGATGATTTTGATAGTAAACGACCTTGATGCCTCTTCCAAGCCCTCGTGCCAAAGTTCATGCCACAAAATCGCTACCCTTATCAACTCTTCACTCACCTGACGATCGTGATGACGACGATGATGATGATGATGATGATGGCGACGACGGTTATGATAATGATGATGGTGGCCGTGATTAAAAACGTCAAAAATAATCAAAAATTGCCACAAAACACCTCGAAATTTAAGAAAAATTACAAACAAATTACGAACAAACACCATCAAAAAACCTCAACTAACCCAAAATTGGGCCCACAAAATTCTCCCTACAAAAAAACACCCAACATACACACACACGCGCGCGCGCACAAACGCACGCACACACACTCAGAAAAACATCCAAACTTACCAGCATGGCCTGTTGCACTAATACACTACTATGCTCCTTCATATTCTTCAGGACAACATTAGCAGCGTGACTGCGCGTTTGAACCTGGGACTTGCTGACCACCACCAAAGGATAGATGAGCGCCTGTGGATGCTGCCTACCGATGTCTTTTAGGAGTTGTATAACAAGACGGCCAACCAGCGGGCGAGGCGTGTCAATTCGGGCTATCAACTGAGGTATTACCTAAGTTAATTTTTTTCGTAGTAATGTGAGGTTATTCTCATTGTTATTACTGTTGTTGTTAGCATTGTTATTAGCAGTAGTAGTAGAAGTAGTGGTAGTAGTAGAAGCAGTAAAAGTAGTAGTAGTAGTAGAAGTAGTAGTAGTAGCAGTAGAGGTAGTAGCAGTAGAAGTAGTAGTAGTAGTGGTGGTGGTGGCGGTGGTAGTAGTTGATGTAGTTTAGTGGCAAAGAAACGGCACCTGGATCCAGTTGTTGATGGCAACAGTCTTCACACCTTCCACCAGGGCGCCATTCACTTCCGGAATGTTTCCGTACTCGAACCACATGGTGAGGATGCGCAGGCTGTCCTGGAGGGTGCTGCAGGCATCTGAGAGGGCAATGGATTTGAGGAAACCACGGATGCTGGCCTTGCAGTGCTCCGCCATCAAGTGTGTCGTTGATATTGTTGATGACGATGTTGTTGTCGCTGTTGTTGGTAGCGGAGATGATGGTGTAGTTGTAGCTGCTGTTGCTGCTGCTGAAGCTAAGATGTTCGCCTGTGAATGTTTCAATCAATTCAATAGTATTAATTCATGAATAATAATGAGCTAATTGGCCAGGCATACCACTGGATCGTCTGATATTGTTTCGTTGGACTTGGCTTCCTTCAGCGTAGACAGGACGTCGTAATTAGCATATGCAAATGAGTGCCAGGCTTTCACCCAATCCCTTCGTGAATAAATAAATGAATAACATCATCAAAATAACAATCAGCTAATTAATATTCACGGATTGACCTACTTATTATGTTTGGTGGCCTCATTGTAATATTTGACCACTTCTTGCTTTGCCTGTATGCTCCTCGGGTTTGTCATGAAACTATGCCATTGACCCAATTTCAGGAAACATCTGTGTGCGTGTGTGTACAGGCGCGCCCGAGATCAATCAACCAATCGGTCAATCAATCAATCAATCAATCAATCGGCCAACTAACTTAGCGGCCAGGACATTAGCATCAGATGCAGGTTGAAATTGAGAATTGGAACTCGACAAACTCTTCACAAACAATTCTAATCTCCTAAATGCCTCTGATTGCTATAGAAACGAAAAATGACGATCATCATCATCATCACCAGCATCATCATCATAACTCACTTTCTTCCCGGCACCCTCGTCCCAAAGGTACTTCAGATATGCGAAGACAACCTTGGGGTTCGACCCGATTAATTTCTCGTCAGTGAACTTGTAAGGGTCACCGCCCAGTAATGAGGTCAAAGTTCGCCCTGATTAACGACGATTTGATGGAAAGAACGTTAACTCATCAATGAAAGAATGGATGAATGAATGAAACGAGTTATTCAGAAAAAAGGTAAAAAAAATGGGTCATATAGAAAATAGGTCACAACAAAAATAGGTGAACGACCAGCCAAAGCGCTTCTGTTGTTTTTCCTGCAGAGACCAACGTACTTGAGCCAAGGTCTGACGTCATCTTGAGGGTCAAGGACCAATGATCTGATTGGTCAGATATTTGTTCGTTTGTTTGTCTAGTGAATTGTCTAAATTTGAAAGTTGGTTTAATATCAATAAATTAATAATTAACACGGTTAAATGTTCTTATACTATTCTGGATCCTAAGATTGTAACTAACGTTATTCCTGATTTAAATATCAACATGCGTAGCCATGCAATAGAAAAACTTGACTCGATAAAACTTTTAGGCGTTTGTTTACAAAGTAATTGTGGAACGATCACATATTAGATATTACATGTAAACCCAATCGATAATTAACAAGATTAAAAATAAACTTAATAAAAACGCTCCTGTTATACTTCAAAATAGTTTTATCCTGCCTTATTTATCGAACTGTAATATTATTTGGAGTAATAGCCCGTCGTATATTGTTAATCATTTATTTATTATGCAAAAATGGTTTATTAAACTATATTATAATTTAACTTTTATGGTCATTTGTTTATAAAACTTGACGTTCTAACAGGTTAAACAACTGAACATTTATTATTTGTCTATTTTTATGTTTAAATTGATCAACAACTTATTACCTAATTGTTTTCTTAAATGTTTTCATTTAAGATCTGACACTCATTCCTTGGACGGATTAAAGTATTAATTATTATTCTGTTTTTATAGGGGCTTGTCAAATTGGTGAAAGCGGTTTATATATATATATATATATATATATATATATATATATATATATATATATATATATATATATCTAAGTTACATTTAACTTGTAATTTCTGTTGTCTAACTAATTAACAATTCAATAAATTCTATTTGTATTGTACAGTGATTACGGTGGCCTTCATAAGATTATTTTATCTTATGTGGTCTCCGGGAATCAGCTGTTTGATGAATTTTTTTTTAATTTGTCTTTCAGATGGTTTGAATACAAAGTTTTCGTTCGTTCGTTTGTTTGTTTGTTGCTCTTGTTTACTCTCAATTAATTATTTACTAATAGGCTCGTTCGCTCAATTGTTCGTTTGTTCATTCATTCATTCGTTCATTAATTTATTCGTTTATTTTTTCATTCATTCAATCATTTCATCCATCCATCCAACCTGATTTGTAATATCTTCTGCCAGTCTTCCAGAATATCCTGACAGCCCTGCACAAGAAGATAGGTCAAACATAAATTTATCCACCTATACATCCTTCTATTCGTTCATTCATACATTCTTTCATTCGTTAATTAACATTCATTCATTCAGTCAATCCACTAACTAACTCTAATCCTATTCCACCAGATTTCCTTGATCATCTCCCTCTTTTCTGGGACCACCTTGTAGCTTATAACCTCGTCCAGTTCCGATAACATCTGGACGTTTACCATCACCTGAACGAACGAATGAATGAACGAATGAACGAACGAACGAACGGGTGAACAAACGGATGAATGAGCCAATGTCACATACACACCATCGTCACAAAAGATGAATGAATGAGCGAATGATAGACCGATGCATCTGATCATCAGATTCATCATCATCATCGTCTGGAAAGCAAATAAAAAAAAGGAATCTACCTCGCGTCACTTCAACATTTAAACCTACAAGATTGAAAAACGAGACGAGACGACATGAATCAAAACGAAACGAAACGAGACAGCCATTTTAAAAGTACTCTCTCACCCCGTAAGCTCTGTTGTAACTTTCTCCAACAAGGGTTGAAAGCTCCGTTATGAGGAGGTTCCTAGCTTGAGTGATCAGCTGTAATGATGATGATGATGATAACGACGATGATGATGATGTTGGTTTATTCATTCATTCATGCATTCATTCATTCATCTGTCCATCTATCAATTAATCCAACCTTGTGAGCAGCATTGAAGTTATCGTTGTGAAGGTTGATGACGGAGCGAAAGAAGAAGCTATCGTACGTGTTGTTCGGGATGAATGAAACGTATGACGTCATCTCTTCCCATTGAGCTGATTGGTTGGTTGATTAATTGATTTAATGACCGGTTGATCAGTTGGTTGGTTGGTTAATTAAATGATTAGATGAAAAGATTTGTTTGTTATATATTTGGTTATATAATCAATCAACCAACCAACCAAACAATCACTCACTCACTCACTCACTCACATAGGCCCCAGGCAGCAGTTGCAGACATGCGGGCCATGTCCTGCTTCACAGTCTCATTCACTAGAGGCCACTTTTCTGTCGTTATTTCGTGCAACTTACCCCTGGAGATGAATGAATGAAAAAATGAATAAAAAAATGAATGAAAATGAATGAAAAAATGAATCAATCAATGAATCAACCAATCTGATTAACAAATCAATAGAGGAGCTCTATAAATCTGCACTGCCATCAATCAATCATTCAATCAATTAATCAAACAAAACATTCTCCCAGGTTCTCTAGATTGAATAAACGAACGAAAAACGAACGAACTAATGAACAAGCGAACAAATGAACGAACTAATGAATGAACGAACAAACTGACGAACGAAAAAAAAAAAAACGAATAAATGAATGAAAAAATGAAAAAACCAAACCATTCTCCGAGGGCTTCAAGACAGCGAACCCTGCCAAGTAGGTAGGAAGAGTTGTCGGGGTCCCGTTCCTGTTGTTGGTCGTAGGCTATGAGGGCCCTATCCCAGTGGTGCAACTTCTCATACCACCTCTCTTGCACCCTCTATGGTCATGATGATGATGATGGTGATGATAATGGTGATGACGATAGTGTTGGTGATGATGGGGCTGTTATTAAAACCATAATCTCAAATACTAACAGCAATAAATTCATCCAGCCAATCATATTTCACCTACCATTCATCCAGCCAATCATATTTCACCTAACATTCAACCTACCAATCATATTTCACCCACCATTTAACCAGCCAATCATATTTCACCTACCATTCAACCAGCCAAGCACTCAACAAACCAGATCGCTCTTATTATGCTTCCTCACGTATTCCAACACGCCACTGGCTGCCTCCGGCTGCTGCATTTTACTGTTTATGCTGTTGGGATTGGTTGACCAGTTTATGCAAATTTCAAAAAATTATAATACAAATTTACATTGAAATAAAATTTCGTAAAATGATTCAATTAATAATCACAGAAGACCTAATTAATATTCATTAGACGACCTGATTAAAGATTCGAGAATCTGATTGGTCGGCCCTTTGTAAAACTCCGCCTCCTTGAAGTGCAGTGCCTTGGCGTAGGCTCTGCATTGGACGGCGCAATCACTCAACATGCTAAGGTCCAGCGGCAGAGGACTCTGTCAATCAAACGTAAATGTTACACACACACACACACTCACTTACACCTGCACGCGCACACACACACAAACATATGCACGCATTGATTTTATACACGCACAAACACACACACACAGAGAAGAGAGAGAGAGAGAGAGAGAGAAAGAGAGAGAGAAAGAGAGAAATACAGACACACACACGCAGATACACGTACACACACACACACACAGACAGACATTTTCACAATGTTCCATGAATTCAGCGAGGTTCAATATGGCTTGGGTGACTTCAACAGCATCTTGAAACTTGAAGGCATGCTGGAGACTGTTGATCAAACTATCCTGATTTGTTTCGTTCAGCTCCAACCAACAACTCACAAAAGCGGGATTAAACAAATCCCTGCAATGTGATTGGTCAAAATAGTCGAAGTTAAATAAACATCTGTGATTGGTCGAAAGATTTAATGACCGAAATACGATTGGTTTATTTGCAATGGATCAAAACAAACAACACAAACAACGACCATGGTATAAATAAGGAAGGTATTAATTTGAAAAAATAACAGAAAATAATTTTGAGAGGACCTGGCCAGTAAGTTGTAATCATTGGCGAGTGGGTAGAGGGCTCGGAGGGCTGGAGAGGGTGATTCTTTTAATAACTCAAGACTGAGTCTTCGTAGCCAATCCAACCATTCGTCGCGTGTTACTCTGTGACTCGTCAGCCAAGCCTGCGTGTCATTGGTCAATAGGTGCAAGAGGTGATTTGTGATTGGTCGGTAAGTTGGTGAGATTGGTTTGTGATTGGTCGATTAAAAGTTTAAGGATTGACCGAGTAGTTAATTTTTCAAAAAATAAGGTAAGGTAATTAAACAAGATCACTTTACAATCAACCATTTATTGAAACAAATCGGTCTATTCGGTCTATCAAATATCCAGTTTCCAACCAATCAATGAATCAATCAAACCAATCAATCCATTTATCCACCAACCAACCAACCAACAACCAACCAACCTTTTTTAACTGCTTGGCATCAAGTTTTAACTTGAGATCTGAATTTATAGCCTCAAGAACGTTAGAGCTGTTGCTGTGGTTGTTAGCCACACCACCACCACCACCACTACTACCACTGAGGCTGGTCGCCATGTTGTTCAGCAGCCACTGATCTGTAGTGAACCTGCTCAGCTGCCTCGTCCGCTTCAGTATTCCATCGTCGCCACGCTCCATCAGCGTCAGTAAGGTGGTCTGATTCAATCAATCAATCAATCAATCAATCAATCAACCAACCAATCAACCAACCAATCAACCAACCAACCAATCAATCAACCAACCAATCAATCAACACAACCCACCTTACAAATGCACAAATAAACGCCTTCAAATCTCTCGTGATAAATCTTCATCTTATTCACGACTGGGATTATGAGGCCCGAGTAAGTTTTGAACCTCAAATTTAATTGGAGAGCCAAATCGCTAACGAGGTCCATCAAAACGTCGTGCAGCTGGGGCGCCGTGGCCAGGGCGCGAGCCGCGGGGTGGAAAATCCTGGAAGCGTAAGCTGTCAAGTCGGAGTGATCCGTCAGAGCGCTTAACGTTTCGATGGCTATCCTGTTGTGAAGATTGGAAAGTAGGTGGGCTGTTCATTCATTCACTTGTAAGATCATTCAATTAATCGTTCATTCATTCATTCATTCATTCATCCATCCATTCATCCATTCAGTCAGTCAATCGACGAACCCCCTGACGGTCACATCCAACTTCTCGTTATCGATCATGCTGCAGATGGTCGGGAGTATGAAGTGAAGGTAGTCCTCCAAATGCTTGCCGAACACCTGCAACGCTTGTAAGAGCTGGTGGGGGTGATGATGATGAGGATGATGAGGATGATGATGATCTATTGACCCAGTAGTCACTCACTGATTCATTCATTTATCCAATTATTCACTCAGTCATTCGTCCATCTTACTGATTCATTTATTTATCCACTTATTTTCACTCACTCCTCCATCCATCCATCAATCTCCTACCCTAGAAATAACAATCCTATCCTGCTTGATGACGTCACAATCATCGCTATCCAGGATCTGTAGAATCAGTGGAACGATATTAGGGAGGTAGTTGCGAAATTCACTTTCTATGGCGACCACTAACTGCTCTAGAAGGTCCATTATAGTGCAGAATGTTGAGGCAGTAGTTGACCAAAATTCCTGTGTGTGTGTGTGTACTATGTATGTGTGTGTGTAGGAGGTTGATTGATTGAATAATTGATTGAATGAGTGAATGATTAATATCGATTGGTTAAATGGTTAAATGATTAAATGGTTGATCGATTGAAACAGCGGTGGGCAAACTTTTTGCTGTGAGGGCCGCATTAAGAACTAATTTACTTTTGAAGGGCCGCATATGTACTTAAATAGCAAATTTTTTCAAACCGGGGGAGAATTTTTTTAAGATTTGTGGTTCCTATTTTTTGGTCATAATGTCTGGCTGGTGACCTTTTTCTGGCGAACAAGGTCTCGTGGACCGCATAAAATAGTTTCGCGGGCCGCAAGCGGCCCGCCGGCCATGGTTTGCCTACCCCTTGATTGAAACATAAATCAACGTGTCTGATGACAACCAGCCAGCCAGCCAACCAGCCAGCCAGCCAGCCAACCTTGACAAGAGCAAAGACATCGAAGAGATACGGCCTTATGTTCTGCTTTACAACACCTATTATAACTCCAAGCTGTCTTAAGAGGAACTGAATAAATGAGTGAATGAGTGAGTGAATGATGAGTTAATTAATGAACGAATGAATGAATAAGTAAACGAATGAATGAATGGATGGATCAATGAAAACATGAAAAACGAATGAATAAATGTTTGAAAATCATAAAGAAAGACTCGCTTTAAAAAGCACACACATCGAAAATAACAACAGAAAATCCCCATCATAGAGAAACAGACCCCCCTCTCTACAAACCTCCCTATAGGTGCAATCCGTCGTGCCCTTGATCCCATTGGTTAATCCCGGAACGACTTGATTCAGATATGGGACGCATTTCAGTCCCATTTCTTTGAATATCGTCGAGATGGCGAGGGCGATGCATTTGTAGAACTGCCCAAGTGAAGGATTGCGCAGAAGTCGGATAAGAGTTGCTGAAGGTTTGATTGGTTGGTTGGTTGGTTGGTTGGTTGGTTGGTTGGTCGACTTGAAAAAATAAATTAACGAACGAACGAACAAACGAATAAATAACCAAACGAATGAACGAATGAGTGAACGAACGAACGAACGAATGAATGACGAACGAATGAATGAATTAATAGAATGAAAGACAACTAAAACGACAGATAATTTTATATATAATTTTATAAAATTTTATAAATTTTATTAAAAATTATTCCCAACCAATGGATACCGCAGGATAATAGTCATCCATATTTGCCATGGACATACTGACTAGAAGCTCGTTCATTGATAGGTCTGTAAATGAATGAATGGATGAATGGATGGATGAATGAATGAATTAATTAATTAATTAATTAATTAATAAACGAGTAAATGAATCATTGAATTAATCAACACAGTAAGACAACGCAAATGAATCAATATACAATAAATAATCTACGCAATCGTCCATTCCGTCCATCAATCCGTCCATGCATTCTTCATTCCTTTATCTATCCATCCATTCATCCATTCATTCATTCACTCATTCATTCATTCACTCGTCCATTCATGACATTCACTCATTTAATTATCCGACCTTGATTAGTGACGTCCTGATCGCCCTTGTTTTCAGACATGCTCAACACGGCTCCCAACTCCGTGGCAACTCCCTGACTGATCAGCCCCCTGTGCTTGTAGGGGTCCAGAGCCCCCAGGATCCCCAACACTTTTATCGCCTGGTCAGTTAGTGAATTGGTGAATTAGTGGATTAGTGTATGTGATCGAAATAGCAAAAGAGAACGGGTGAGAGAAAAGAGAGAGAGAAAGAGAGAGGGGAAAAGAGAGTGAGTGAGAGAGAGAGAGAGAGAAAGAGAGAAGCCAATGAAAAAAAGAAAAGATAAATAGAGAGAGAAAAAGAAAGATCCACCTCAGTTCTTGTAGTGATGGATTGTTCGGTCTTGAAGAATTGTAAAAGGACTTCGAGGAGTTGTGGGTATTTGAGGTAGGGTTCAACCACGCAGCCTGTACTCTCTACAATCAGTCCCAAAGTCCTCAGGGCCTCCTGGTGGTGGTGATGATGATGATGATGATGATAATGATGATGATGATCATCATCATCATTATCATCATTGTCATCATCATCACAACTCACTTCCTGTTTGGCTGTTTGCATTGTTTCTTGCATGATGCTGATGAGTATGTTGATGATGGCGTCGCTATACTCACCGATCCGCTCTCCAGATACCTGAGTGAATGAATGAATGAATGAATGAATGAATGAACGAATGAATGAAAGAATGAATGAAAGAAAGAATGAATGAAAGAAAGAATGAATGAAAGAATGAATTAATTAATGAATTAATTAATGAATGAGTCAACGAGCAAATAAACAAACGAATAAATCCCCATCATCATTAGCGTCATCACTAACATGCACCAAGTCACCGAGGGCGGCCAGCATGGCAACAACCACGGCAGACGACAAACCTTCGGAGGTTCTCAATTTCGGCAAGATGGCGTCCAGGATTGAAGTGCGGTACGATTCCAAGAAACTGGGAGTGCACCTGGAGAGGTGGGATAGCAGTTTGGCCGCAACGATCTTGCTGCCATCCTGATTGCTGTACTCCATCTCCGAAAGGAGCTGGCCATTGGTTGAATAATTAATTAATTAATTTATTAACTAATTAATTAAGCAAGTAAGTGTTTAATTGATTGAATGAAAATGAATGAATGAATAAATGAATGATTGGTTGGTTGATTGATTGATTGATTGATTGATTGATTGATTGATTGATTGATTGAAGCACAGCCAAATGAAAAACTCCAACCCGAACGAGCAACTTCCTGAGGAAGGGCATAACAAAGGAAGGATTGCTGGAGCACAATCGACCAACGGTGCAGGTGGCCACCTCCCTAATTCTTCAGGTGAGGAAATTAGGGATGTGTGTGATCAATCAATCAATCAATCAATCAATCAATCAATCAACCAGCCAATCAATCAATCAACCAATCAACCAATCAATCAATAAACCAGCCAATCAATCAATCAACCGACCGACCGACCTACCTAAAATCTTCATCATTGAGACATTGTGAAATGAATGCGAGAGAACTGGACTGAGCCAAGCAGGAGTCGAATGTGGAGCCCAAGCAGACCAGTGCACAGTGCCTAACATCGGCGTCTGATCTCGTTAATTAGTGGATGAATGGAAGAATGAATGAATGAATGAGTGAGTGAGTGAATGAACGAATGAATGAACGAACGAAAGAATGAATGAATGAACGAACGAATGAACGAACGAACGAACAAACGAACGAATATGGCACCACCTTCATCAATAACAGCAACAGAAAGCACGGATGAAACCATTTCATTGGTCAACATTTTCAAACCATCTTTCCCAACATCGTTAAGCACCTGGCTCATTAGCGTACCATGAATAATAATTATGAATATTAATTATGAATATTAAAAAGAAGAGTCATTAACATAAATTATTCATAATTAAATCTCAAATCAACCAATAAGAAACAACCGCACAAAGAAACCGAAGGATTAGAACCATTGGATCATTCAACTATATCAACAAGCAATTAAATCCAACTACAGAATTTAAAATATAACCACACACAGCCAATCAAAACCCATCTTGAAATTATACAACCAATCAAAATCCTTCATTTAATTTACACAAATGCTAGCCAGCTAATGGGAAAATACTGACTCTGACATTCGAATAGAAAGCAAAAATTTTCGTCAGAGTTTTTATTGATTCAATCCTCACTGCCTTATCTTCATTGGATAGAAAGCTTTCATGTACGCGCATGGCAAGGTCCAATAGGGAGTTATCTTTTAAAGGGTTCATGAACAAATTAATAAATTTGAATATTAAATAGAGTAGTTTTTAAATAGATCGATCAATTTGGTTGTTAGATAATTTTTAATTCAGAAAGTTTCAAAAGCGTTACAAAAATTTGAAATCAGCGACAACAACAACAAAAACAACAACAGCTGAACAACAACAACACAACAATAACAGCTGAAAAGCAACAACTGAACAACAACCACAAAAAAAAAACAACAAACAACAAAACTGAACAATCAAACCTCCAAAATCAAACTTCCTGAGCGTATGAAGTGCCATCTTGAGAATACCTACATTGGGGACCCATTCTGAAATCACCTGCCTGGTCACCTGCCTAGCCACTGGCTTCTGCCCGGAAATCATCTGGAAAAAATTCGGCGAGGTCGTTTGGGCCGACATGGAGACCCCGCACGTCTGCAGGCTACCGATGGAGGTTAGGAGGGGTACGCTGACGATGGACCCACGCAGCGACGAAATAGCAGCTGCGGTGGGGTAAGGATTTTTGTGGAGTAGGGTGGGGTGCTGTAGGGGTAGTCCGGTGAAGATGATGTAGATGAGGTTGATGACGGACTTCTGGATGTATTGGCGTAGGGGCTCTACAGTGAGAAGGCGCTTGAAAGCTCGTAGAAGTGCATCACTGTTTGGCGAGTTTGATGGTTGCTTGGTTGGCTGATTGATCGATCGGTTGATCGGTTGGTTGATTGAATGATTGGTTGGTTGGTTGATTGATTGATTGATTGATTGATTGATTGATTGATTGATTGATTGATTGATTGATTGATTGATTGATTGATTGATTGATTGATTGATTGATTGATCGGTTGGTTGATGAAGTGCTGCTCACCTCAACCCCAATTTGGCCATGGAGTCTACGTAGCCCTTGAGCTCATCGAGGACCACCAGTCCGTCCCCAGCATTCAGGCCCAGCACCAACATGCTGAAGCAGAAGAATATGCTCGCCTCCAATTCAGACGTCGTCACTATTTTGTGCTTTCTGATTTTTTGGAAATAATAATAATAATATTATAAATAATATAATATAATTTAATTATTATTATCATCATCATCATCACAATTATCATCATCATCATGACGATCATCACCACAAACTTAGCGGTTAATGCTGCTTGAATCTCCCTCAAGATGGCCTCCTTGTGGCTCTTTATTAGTGGTCCGAGGGCCAAGGCTATCTGACCAATAGCAATGAAGGCACGTGATTTGCACTCCTTGACCTTCAACATACTGAAGAGGTACTTCATAGACTCCAACAAGAAGCTGTTGATGATGATGATGAAGACGATGATGATGAGGATGAAGACGATGATGATGATGATGACGACTAGATTGCTGTCGTTGTGTAGATATCTATGTATAATAAGCACCATACAAGCACTACCATCACCATCATCACCACCATCATCATCATCACCACCATCACCATCATCACCACCATCATCATCATCATCATCACCATCATCATCATCACCACCATCACCATCATCATCACCATCATCATCACCATCATCACCATCATCATCATCACCATCATCATCATCGTCACTAACTTAGTGTAGAAGAGATTAGGATTGAAAGATGCAATCCGTGGAATGATGGAAAGAAGTGAAGAGTGGATGAATGAACTTTTACTTTGGCGCAATTTCAAAAGATATACGGTTATCTAAACGAATGAACGAACGAACGAACAAATGAATAAATGAACTAATGAATGAATTAATGAATGAATAAAAGAACAGATGAACGAATAGACAGATAGATAGATGGATAGATAGATGGAGAATAACAGACAAAGAAACCAACCCTGGTCATCTTCTCAGCCATCAACTCCTTAACGAAGACATTCTCGCATACGTCATCATCGTCGTCATCGTCGCGGTCGTCATCACCATCATCGCCAGTGACGTCATCATTACCAGCACCACCGCTTCCGGTTTTTTGATCGTTATCACCACCGCAATAACCTTCATCGCCGTGATCGTCATCATCATCGACACGGTCCTCGTCATCATCATCATCACCGTCGTCGGCATCGTCATCATCATCGGCGTCGTTCTTTGAAGAAGATGGAGCCATCATGGTGTGGATCCAGTGCTTCTTGTAACCCTCCCCATATAAGGATGCGAGGTTCTGGTGATGATGATGATGGTGACGATGATGACGATGATGATGACGATGGCGATAATACAATCAAATGACCCTTCATACCTTTGAACCCAGCCAACTATCCTTACGTTTACGACGGCGATGATGATGATGATGATGTAAAAGTTTTTGTTGTTGTTGTTGATGATGATGATGATGATGATGGTGATGGTGATGATCCATAGAACTGTTGAGTAATCGTTCTTCTCGTCTATGGTTTCTCTGGTGAATGAGTGAATGAATGAATGAATGCATGAATGAATGAACGAGAGACAACATCACCATCATCATGATAAAAACTTCATATGAATGAAGGAATGTGGGAAAAAAAAGGGTCGTCATCATCATCAGCAGCAGCAGCAGCAGCAGCAGCATCATCATCACCAAATAACAAAACAAACTTCGGCCTTGGCATTGCAACATTTCAGAAGTTCGAGAAAGATAAGCATGCTACCATGCAGCCAATCATCTTGAGTCACCTGAATGATTGAATGAACGAAAGAGTGAATGGATGAGTGAATGAACAAGTAAATGAATGGACAAGGGAATAAATGGCTTAATGGGTGAATGAAACTACGAACGAACAATTAAGTGAACGAACGAACGGATGAATGAAAAAAACCTTTTTCCTCAGCATCTCATCATACGGCTTTTCAATGTCATCAAAGCATCTCTAGAGGTCGATAGTTTAAAGAAAGTATTATGAACAAACACACAAACAAAACAACTATCAGTACAAAAGATACAACTATCAATACAGAAGATACAACTATCAATACAGAAGATACAACTATCAATACAGAAGATACAAATATCGATACAAAGGATGCAACTATCGATACAGAAGATACAACTATCGATACAGAAGATACAACTATCGATACAAAAGATACAACTACACCTCTGAAAAAAACGGAAAGAATTAAAAACCTTATAATATTCAGGTCTTCTGATGTTGTCACTCTTTAAATATTTCATCGAGGCAACATTCAGAGCACTTCCTAACGCTCTGGCCGCCGATTCCCTAATTTGTAACTGTCAATCAAAGATGATGACGACGACGATGATGACAACGACGATGATAATGATCTCGCTATAGAAACAATAACAAAATGATTCACAGTAAAACTGGCAGCTAATGTCTAACTCTAAACAACAACAACAATCCCTTCAACAACAACAACAAAAATAACAACAGCAATAATAATAATAATTACAGGTATAACTTTATTATTAATATCAGTAGCAGTGTGGTCTAACTTTAGGTTCCCGGAAAACCACGAGTATGCTGTTGATGAATTGAGGTATGACTTGGAGGAACACGGTCGAGAAGATGTGGGGGTAGACTCTCAATAACAACGTCTGTGATTGGTTGGTTGGTAGGTGGGTTGGTTGGTTGGTGGGTGGGTTGGTTGGTGGGTGGGTTGGTTGGATGGTTGGTGGGTGGGTTGGGTGGGTTGGTTGGATGGTTGGTGGGTGGGTTGGTTGGTAGGTTGGTTGATTGGTTGGTTAACTAATTGAATGATTGGTCGGTTAAATTTTTATCTGTCCAACTACTATTCATTAGAGTGATTAAAAAGTTAGTGTTACTAGACAAAAATTTGAATGTTAACTGAATGATTTAATAAATGAATGGATTGATGAATGGATGATTGAATCATTAAAATAATCAATCGACCAACCAACCAACCAACCAATCAAAATGGAAAACATGAACACAATTTTTTTGCTACCTTCATAAAACCTAATAAATCTTATTCAATTTAGTAACAACATTCCTAAGCGTTTAAAAAATGTCCTATTCACTAATCAATCAAAGCAGTAACTGATCACTGACAGCAGCATATTTTTTATTCTCCGGGCCCGAGGCCAGCCAATCAAAATAAAAATTGCACTCTGCGGCAAACATGTCGGCAGACGAGGACATGATCATCATTTGACACAGGGTATCAGTGGTAGCTCGGATTAGTGAAAAATCTTGAGTATCAATTAGTCTATGCAAGCTCGGGCTGAGTTTCAGCAGCTGTACATTGTTGTTCGTTAACTCGGCTTTCATTAACATGTCTGAGGGATTTTTTGGAAGATAATTGACAATTTTTAAATTAATTTCATAGTTAATTAAAAAAATTTATGGAATCTTTACTAAGACTCTTAGTAAATTAATTATTTTAATTAATTTGTTAACATAAAATGGAGAAGCAGTGTAACATGTTGTTCAACAATACCAATAATGAATAAATGAATTAATAACTTAAATTATTAAAACATGAATATAAATAAGAAAATAAATAATTAAAAACGTCAAAGACAAAAACTAACTGATGGCCAGCAAAGCACCCTTCTTCTCAGATGAATTTTGAAGTATATCTCTGATGGCTGCCAACATCAACTCCACGGCGTTGTTAATCTCATCTTGCACGAGAGGTTTTAGGTCATTTTGTATAAAAGTGAACAATTCTTGGCCGGCCTTTTGCCTAATTTCCTCTGACGGATTTTTCAGGTCCTTGAAAAAAGCTTCTATATTTTCTCTAACTGACATTTGCGAATATTTATGCGATATTATTCAAAAATAAATATTCATTTTTTTTATTTAAAATAAAAATATCTCGTTAAATAATAACATTTAAAAATAAAACGTGTTTTTGAATGACATTTGATAATTTTTGGAAATTTGGTTTTTAAATTAGATTGCGTAAATGTTTTGGCATTCGACTTCTGTTATAAAAAAAACAGACAAGTATGGAAAGTCAAAACTCAACTTTTTTCACAAAAAAATACGAACCCACAACGTAAAAAATCGACTGAAACTAAAGACGGTGACCGATTTATTGCTAAAAATAATATTTTTTAACAATTATAACATACTCAAGAAGGTACAAACGCGAAATAGACAATTCGACGCTAACGATGTAAGCACTGTACAAAAATTCAGATACAGAAGACCAGCTCTACAAACACACCATAAAAACCCAACAACATAACAGCATAACTAGGATAAAGAAGAAATAAAAAACACAAAAACTAAAAAAAAAACAAAAATTATAAAAAAAGTCAATCATCTTTTCTTCTTGGTTTTCTTCTTATTCTTCTTATTCAAAGTTTTCAATTTATTCACGGACAGTCCGGATTTAGATTTCTTAGTGTCCAGGTGCTCCTCTACGAGTTTACCCAAGTGGCCCTGTTCGGCCAACATCGTTAGAAACGTGCAGATGAACTCGTCGTAGTTGTGCGTGCGCCGGCGGTCGTCAATCTAATTCACGTGGTTTTCACAATTTATCTAACTTTATAATATGAATAATTATCATTTATTATAGTTATTATAATAAATTGTTATAAATTATTATTATTATATATAATTAAAATGAATTATGTTACTCGGTATTTTTTCTTTTTTTCTATCTCGTCTTTGACTGCATTCTTGTAAGTTTCTATCTCCTCTTCGATTCTCTTCAGTACCGATAACAATTCCTGATAACGATGTTGTTGTTGAAGTCGATGATGATGATGATGTTGATGTTGTTGTTGATGATGTTGTTGTTGTTGTTGATGATGTTGATGTTGTTGTTGATGATGTTATTGTTGTCGATCAATCATAGTGATGATGACGATGATGTTGTTGATGATAGATAATCATGATTAAAATTGCGATCAATACATACGTGATGAAGATGGCGATGATTGATGGCTACAAACATTTCAGTGGCGTTGAAGAGGACGAAGATAATGATAGATTAGATATCTCATTAGATAAGGTTTTAAGATGATAGATAAGACACCTTATTAAGTAAGGTTTTAAGATGATAGATAAGACACCTTATTTGGTAAGATTTTAAGATGATAGATTAGATACATTATTGGGCATGGTTTTAAAATGATAGATTAGATATCTCATTAGATGAGGTTTTAAGATGATAGATTAGATACCTTATTGGGTGAGATATTAAGATGATAGATTAGATACCTTATTGGATAAGGTTTTATCTGCGGCAGATCTTCTGCCATCGTGTTCTGCTATTATGTCTTCCAAAGAGCTTTTATCTTCCACCAGAGACAAACAAATCAGCCTGTCCTCCATTTTTATGTTCTCATCGATGACAACATCGAGTTGTTGTTGTTGTTGTTGCTCTGGAGACAAAAGTTCTAGAGGTCAGTGGTTGTTTGTTTGATTGATTGATTGAATGGTTGTGTGTAGCGCATTGCTTCGTCGGTTGATTAAGTACAAATAAGTATAGTCAAAATGATTGAATGAAGATAGATCGTGATTGATTAATCGACTGATTGATTGATTGATTGATTAATTGAATGATTAATTGATTAATCGGCTGATTGATTGGTTGATTGATTGATGATTGATTAATTGATTGATTTAATGAAAAATCTCAGCAAAACCAAACGCAATATCAGAAAAATGAAATGTAAAAACCAATAAACTCTAGAGACCTTTCTTAATACAAGTGACAAAACGATCACTACTACTACCGGCACTATTATTATTATTATTGTTGTTGTTATTGTTGTTGGCACAAGCAGTGTCAACATCCATGGTGACATCATCATTGGAGATCAGCGAATCCATCGAAACCACACAGCTATTATTATTATTATTATTATTATTATTATTATTAGTAGTAGTAGTAGTAGTAGTAGTAGTAGTAGTAGTAGTAGTAGTAGTAGTAGTAGTAGTAAGAGTAGAAGTAGTAGTAGTAGTAGTAGTATTGTTGTTGTCGTTAAGTTCACTTTTACTCAATGTTGTTGTTGAAGTATCAGCTGTTGTCGCCGTTGTTGTTGTTGCTACTGCGGTTTTACATTTCCTGTCTGATGATAGCTTGGAAGTTGAGTTGGACCTCTCTTTGACCTGTTGATAATCTAGTAGATAGAGAAATAATAACGATAGAGAGGGTGATGCTAATGGAGCAGTCAGAACTAATCCACTAATAGAAGAGCTAACCATTTTGGGGTTTTCCGTCGTTATTTTTAGCGGCATCCCTCCTCGCTGACCTGGTCATCATCATCGTCGTAGAGACCGGCGTCTCGAGTTTGATTTTCTTCTGAGGTTTCTCGTCAGATGACAAAGATCCAGATATCGATGAGGAAGACGATGCTAACGCTGCTGCTGCTGCTGCTGTAGCTGCTGCTGATGATGATGAGAATGAGAGTGCTGCTGACGAAGCTGCTTTCATCCTCTGCAAAAGGATAGTGGATGGATGGATGGACGGATGGATGGATGAATGGATCGATAGATTTTTATTTATCAATTATTTGTTCATCTATTCATTCACTTGTTCATCAATTTAAATCAGCCAACCAATTGAATTAAATCAACAAACCGTTCAAATCAATTCATCCAATCAAATCAACCAGCCAATCAAACAAGGTCAACCAACAATTTAAGTCAGCCAGTCAATCATATTATAACAACCATCTAGTAAAATCTAATCTAATCAGATTAGATCAACCAATCAATCAAACAAAAAAAACAACCAATCAGACCAAAGCAAACCTTATCCAGAACACTACAGAGCGTTTTCTGATTGGCACTTAGGGTATTCAGCTTCTGTTGATACAGCATTTCCTTATCAGGCACAACAGCCATCAAATTGAAACGAATGTCGGTGGTTGGCTCTCTGCTTATGTGGTGGGAGGAGTTATTTACTAATTTGCATATTTTTTTTGTTTTGTCTGTAAATTATGCAAATTTAATTTTTTTAGTTGCAAATTTATATGAATTTATTCAAATTTAGACTTACATGCCAGCAGCAATGCCTAATCTCTCAGTGATCACCCTCCTAAACATCTCCGTCCAATCCTCACCGGCCCCTAATTTGCATAATTTATGCAAACACATTAAAAAATTAATCAATTTTAATAAAAAAAACTCCGTTATGTCATAATTACTATTATTACAGCTGCTGCTACTACTACAACTATTAATACTGAAACAAAAACAATAATACTGACAATAATAAAAATAGTAATAACAACAATAACAATAATAAAAATAATAATAATAATAATACTATTACCATGGTCAATAGGGTAAGGTTTGAGCCCATCTAACTCAAATAGGTGTCCATTTATTGGAACAAAACTGACGTAGTGGAACGTTTCTTGGGTTCTACCCCCGGATACGGCGGACTGTTTTTCAGGGATGTGACTGGGCTCCCTCCTGGTGATGATTGTTATTGTAACAATTGTGGTGGCATTAGGATGGGGTTGATAGTGATTTCAATGGTGATGGTGGTGACTGTGAGGGTGACTTCTACAGTATCATTAATATTATAGTAATTGCTAATTTTGTGATTATTATTAACGCTATAATAATAATTATTATTATAATTATTATTTTTAATATTATTATATATTATTATAAATAATATTATTTGAACCTGGCATGGCTATTGTGGGCTTTGGACAAATCGGGCATATTTCCAATGGCCAATCCTTTATCCTGCAATAAATAATAAGAATAGCAAGCAATACTACTACTACTAATAATAATAATAATAATAATAAAAACAATAATAATGACAAAAAATTTAAAAAACTCTCTAACCTCTGGGGTCATATTGCTGGTGAATTTTTTCAACTGCGTCAACATGGATCCTAACTTTACTTTATTTTCGCAGTTTAGGAGAACACTGAGTAGAGCATGAGTCGCACAAGAGTTAGGTATTACCTGCTGAGCGAAGAACATAGAATTGATGACCTTATCATCAAAGACGGCCGATTCCTCTTCTTGGGACAATTTTCTCCTAGCCCTTCGTTCTTCCATCCATCGAAACAAAAATATAAATCCATAAATTGGCCTAAAAAATTTGCAGTTTTTTTTATCAGAATGACATTTTTGTAAATATTTTAATTTAAATTTGCTTTTTCCTTAGGCCTTACCCTTCAAATGGTTTCTGCAGATCATATATTTCCTCTACTTGGACCCCCTCAACACCTGGTTATAAGAAATTTTATGATTAACATTATTATTTCTATCAATTAGTAAAAAATAAGATAAATTATTATAGTATTTATAATTTTGAAATTCATAATTTAAAGTTAAAAAAGTCCTAACCAAAATCTTCAACAAGAAGTGTGAACAGACCTTTAGAAAAAACAAAAAAAATTTTGCATTAATTAAAAATGTAATATGATTCGAATAAAAAATGTATTTTGGGAACACTAATTTCATTTGATACATTGGTGTAAGACAGCGTAAATTAATAAGTTATTTATTAATACTGTGGTAATCAGTAATTTCAAATCATTAAGATTAAATAAAATTAAAGATTAAACAAGGAGCTCGACATATAAAAAAATTAATTTACCTGGATCGCTTTCTAGTTCAAGCCATCCGTTCATTTTTCATAACTTTATTTTTGTGTTAAATTTGTACTTTTTAAACGAAAAAAGGCGATTTTATTTAAATTTAAACGTACCCTTAAAAATTCATACCGTGGAAGTTCAATTTTAAAATTTTTAAGAACCAGCCACAGACATACAAGAATAGTATTTTATTATGTCCGAAACTTTTAATTAGAATAAATATAACGGCCTTCGCTCATTTTTGACGGTCGAGCAAGGAGCTTACTTCCGGAGGAGAATTGAAGGGTAATTTTTTATCGCCCAAGTCTAAAATTACGATCGTTTATTTACTAATTTCGGAATATTGCTTTTATTTAAAATGTTTTGAAAGGTGATACTAGATGCTGTTTTAGGATAGATATTGCTGTATGACGGTTTTTGCATTTTAAATTAAAAAAATTTTTTGTAAACCACTCTTCTAACACTTGACTCGTTAACGCACTTGACTCGTTAACGATTAACTGTAACCGGTAAGGGTAAACAACATTAACGACGACTAATTAGTAATTAAATTACTAAACTCTAATAATTAAGCTAAAACTAAACTACTAATTCTAATTACTAATTAAAATAAATAACAGATAACACTAACGAACATTAACAGATTAGACTACTAGAGACTACCAACCACTACACTACTACATACTACAACTACTACACTAACAGCACTTGTTCCTAAAATCCTAAATCCTATTGCTTGATTGGTTGTAAAATTTTTACTTACAATGCTTAGGCCTGGGATTAAAGAATATATTTTTTAAAATAACTAATATTCAATGATTTTTGCTAGTTATTCTATTATGTGGATAATTTCATATAATTAGAATAATTTGTCCTGCTTGGATTATTGGCTTACAAAATTGCATGGATTATATGATATATAATATATAATAAGCTATATGAAATATTTACTTGACTTAATATGCTTAAAACATTGTAGTAATTCTCTTTAATTTTATTAAATAAAATTATGATTTTATTAAATAAAATTATGTATTATTAAATTATTGTTGTTAATTTGAATATAAAAATTATACTTTTGGTCCTGTGAAATCCGGTGGTTTTTTACTGAAGCCGAAGGTAGGCTTAGTAGGATTGAACTAAACTTATTAAAGTCACCCTTTTTTACACTATTCGATCATGTTAAAAATTTGTTTGCTCATGAAATAAACGACCTAAATAGATCAAAATTGTTATTTGAACAACTATCTTCATTATATTCAATGAATATTTTACATTCTGCTGGTGCTCATAGAAATTAGGGTTGCTGAAATAATACGTTGGTTTACTGCAGTGGCTTACTGGGTCTCATACAACAGTGTCATGGCGGTTTTCTTTACATATAATGCTTTAAATAAGTCAATATATTCATTTCACAATTATTTTTGTCAATATAAATAAAGAAATTGCTTTTGTCTGGTAAAATACAGTGGCCAAGTAAAGCCGTATGTTGGCTTAATCGGATTTTTTTTCATATTTAAAATACTATGAGATCAATCAATTAATCAATCAACCAACCATTCATTCAATCAACTAATCAACCAACCAACCAATCAATGAATCATATTTGAAAAATATTTGCAAGGCTTGTTCAAACTCGAACAAACACTTAACTGTACAGATCAATCAACCAACCATTCATTCAATCAACTAATCAACCAACCAATCAATGAACCATATTTGAAAAATATTTGCAAGGCTTGTTCAAACTCGAACAAACACTTAACTGCACAGATCTACAAACAATTTCGAGATTTTAGTAAAGAAAGAAAAACACAATAGTTGCTTTTATTAAATCAAGAAATATCCAAAAACTATATAACCAAATAAAAAAACTAGAAACCAGTCAACATTTAATAAATAATTAAATAAATAAATAGACATTATTAAAAAGATTGTTCAAATAGGTAAAACTTAAGGCGACGACGAGAATAAAATGTAGTTTTGTTGGTGTGGGGCTGTGAAGCGAAAACAAACACATCACAAAAAACTAGTAAAAAGTCGCAAGAATGGTAGTCAGTCACCTACCTACAATTAAATTACTCTCAGGGCCCTAGCTTACTTATAATCATTAACTCAACTCACCTACCTACAAATATGTTTTTCTACGTTTTTGGAATTTTACATGTTTTAGGTATTTTATTTTACATATTTCAGCGTTTTTATTTTACTTGAAACTTTTTAACTAATGTTAAGCCCTAGCCTACCTACGATTGTTCAACTCATCTCAATCCCTAACTTACCTACGAATTAAATTAAGTCTGGTAAAGAAAATAGAAAGTTGAAGAAAAACATAACAACAGCGACACCGAATGAATGGATGTTGTGTATGTGTGTGTGTTTTATTGATGTGTGTGTGTAAATGTGCGGGCGTGTACTCTCCAAAAACTTCTTCACTCACTACGGACGAACCTCCATTGCACCGACCATCATCTGACACGCATCGATGGAATGAATTTGACCGGATACTGAAAAACACTAAATTAAAAAAAAATAATTCTTTAAAGTAAAAAACAAGCCATTGAAAAAAAAGGCAACTTATCTTATCTACCTACTTCTCAGACTACTTCTCCATCACTTGCGAAGTTCAGAGCGGATCTCAAGACCCATCTGTTTTCAAAATTCATTGAGGAGCGCTGTTGAACATCGCGGAAATAGCGCTTTATAAGCTAATTGATTGATTGATTAATTGAGATGACAAATTCGAGTACTTTCAATGGTACGATGGGACAAGAACAAATTTCTTTTAATATTATCTTCAACGATCGATCGGAACGATCATCACGAGACCACCATCTGAAACATGCTGACGCCCACCACAGCCCACCTCTCATCATTCTGTAAAAAGATATTTTTATTAGCTTAGTAGTAAATCAAGGAACAAAGGAACGAACTAATAAATGATGAATTGAATGATTTAACGAATGAATAGAATGAATCAATTAGTGGAGGAATAATTTGAAAAATAGTGATAAAATGAATGAGAAAAATTAAAAAAAAACTAAGTCATACTTCAAAAATCGTCGTTGTTGTTTTCTTCAAATTGTCATCGGAACGATCATCATGAGACCAATATGTGAAACGTGCTGACGCCCACCACAGCCCACCTCTCATCATTCTGTAAAGTTATTTTTATTAGCTTAGTAGTAAATCAAGGAACAAAGGAACGAACGAATAAATGATGAACTGAATGATTAAATAATTAGTTAAAAGAATGAATGAATGAATAGAACGAATTAACGTCAATTAATGGAAGAATAATTTGAAAGATTGAGGAAAAAAATGAATGAATGAGAAAAATAAAAAAAACGAAACTAAACCTTACTTCAAAAATCGTCGTTACTTCAATCCATTGCACCAACCGCACCGACCACCACATTCAGATCGGCACACAAGATTTCATCCGAACTTCTGAGCGTCAGTCGAACAGCCAACGCGCTGATTCTTCCTACACCACACCATCATACGTAAATCATCATGAGACCACCATCTGAAACGTGCTGACTCCCACCACTGCCCACCTCTCATCATTCTGTAGACAATTTTTTTATTAGCGTAGTAGTAAATGAATGTTAGAATCTTAGAAGCAAAAAATTATAAAATGGAAATAATGGCAAATAAATAATAACTGAAAATAATAAAGAGATTAAAATGTAAAAAAAAAACTTACCGTCGTCCATTCGACAAAGACAGAATGTTGAATGCTTTCCGGTTCCTACGTTGTCCTCCAAAACTGGTGCCAGTCCTCCTCGAGATTGTTGTTGAAACACAGCCAGTGTTGATGGAGAAAAATAAAGAGTAGATTCTCATCAGAAAGCTTAGCGATGCTTGCATCTCAAATTGCTTAATAAAAATAATCCTATCTACCTATTCAATTACCTTAACTAATCTATATTAAATTGTTAATGGTACGATAGTCGAAAGTCCCCCTTCATTCTCCCTCCTTGCACAGAGGTTCACCGACAGCCAGGGCACCGGATAGTAAACCATTGCCGTGCGGATAGTAGACTATTGCTGTGCGGATAGTAAACCATTTGCCGTCCGGAAGCCGTGCGGGTAGTAGACTATGGCCATGCCGCATAGTAAATCATTACCGTGCAGATAGTAAACCATTGCCGTCCGGATAGTAAACCATTGCCGGTTCACCACTGGCCACCAAGGCTTACCTCTGACAAGGGACTTCAAAATTCAGAGTCTATCGGCTATCGTACCCTCAACTTACCTATTCATTACAATTAAGCCCTAGCTTACCTAAAATTACAAAACTCAAGAGCCCAATTCATTGGCCTTTCGGCACCCACCCCACCACCTACGTAATGCCTTGGGCTCCAACTTAGTAATAATAATATAAAACTTAAACCCTAAATCTATTAATGAGTATGTGTTACAACGTAGCCTTAACTTACCTATTCATTACATTATGGCCTTAACTTACTTAAAATTAAAAAAACTCAAGAGCCCAATTCATTGGCCTTTCGGCACCCACCCCACCACCTACGTAATGCCTTGGGTTCCAACATAATAATAATAATAATATAAAACTTATAATTAACCTACCTATCGAAACACTTACAGCGTTTCAATTTACATTACAAGATTGTTCCTAGAATTACATTATTGCCCTTAACTACCTATGAAATTAAATTACTCTCAACCTTAGTAATAATAAATTAGAATGTGCATTGAAAATAAAATTACGCTCAAATACTAATATATGTGTTTATCTATGTGTTTGTGTGTGTGTGTAATACGCTAATGCGTGTAATGTAGATGCAAGAAAAAATAGAAGTGATAAACTTACGCGCCTACCTATTCAACTACATTAGTGTTGGATGCTTCCTATCTATCCTACCTACAATTAAAATTATGCCTATCTAACCTACCTATATAGCTACTTAATGTAATTGTGTGTGTGTGTGTGTGCGTGTAAGCATTCTTACTTATTTTTAAATTACAGAGAAAAAAAAATAAAACGTATCCCAGCCAGGCGTGAATTCTTTGCCTCTGAATGAATGAACGTAGCCTGACATCTTCCATGATGAACTCCTCTGGAAGCTTCAGCCTGAATGAAATGAAAAAATCTTTATTTAATTAATTTAAATGAAAATAGAGAAACGAGCCGCGGTGAAACCCGCCAGCCGGAAAAGCCAGCCAATTGGCAAAAAGAGAAACCGCAAAGAAACCGTAAAACGTACCCCAGCCATGCGTGCATTCTTTGACACTGAATGAACGAACGTAGCGTAACATCACAACTATTCTGATCTTCCACGATGAACTCCTCCGGAAGCTTCAACCTGAATGAATGAACCTGAAAGAACCTAAATGAATGGACAAATCTTATTTATTTAATTAATTTAAATGAAAATAGAGAAACGCAAAGAAGCCGACCGGTCGGCAAAGAAAAGAACCTCAAAGAAGAGGTAACTCTATATAACTCTATATAACTCTATATAACTCTATATAACTCTATATAACTCTATATAACTCTATATAACTCTATATAACTCTATATAACTCTATATAACTCTATATAACTCTATATAACTCTATATAACTCTATATAACTCTATATAACTCTATATAACTCTATATAACTCTATATAACTCTATATAACTCTATATAACTCTATATAACTCTATATAACTCTATATAACTCTATATAACTCTATATAACTCTATATAACTCTATATAACTCTATATAACTCTATATAACTCTATATAACTCTATATAACTCTATATAACTCTATATAACTCTATATAACTCTATATAACTCTATATAACTCTATATAACTCTATATAACTCTATATAACTCTATATAACTCTATATAACTCTATATAACTCTATATAACTCTATATAACTCTATATAACTCTATATAACTCTATATAACCATACATACCACCACATTCAATCAATAAAAATCCCACTAAAACCAGGAACCACCGCGTACCTGTTATATGTATGATGTGAAACAAATAAAAAAAAACAAAGCAAAAAACACACCACCAAGTTGAATAAAAGAATAGAAGTCCCTAACCTACTTATGTAACTAAATTACCTTATGCCCTAGCCTACCTATATGATAAATTAATTTTTACCTCACCTACCTATGTTTCATTAACTTAACTTAAGACTCATGAAGAAAGAGAAAAAGGAGTAAAACAGAACATAAAATACTACCACAAAAACAAACATGATGTATGTATGTATGAACAACCGCTAAAGAACCCACCTAAAATATAAAAAATACAACATGCAATCACACAAACCACAGGCATGCAAACTCTATATAACTCTATATAATAAAATAAATAAAAAAATAAAATAAAATAAATGAGATCAGGCAGACTGCTTCATGCGAGGCAGAATGCCTGATCTGATTTTCACGTTTTTTCAGCTCCTATTTATACTCGTTTCAACCATACACTTTCACCATTTCAATCATTCACATCAGTAAAAAACTTATTTAATATATGTACTACAGTATTATACAGTCTTAACCACAATGCCAACAGTACTAAATTGACGTCATCGAACGAACGCCTTCGAAATTTTCTGATTGGCTGGTTGAATCTGCTATATTGCTTTTTATATAAAACATATAATCTTATTAATTATTTGTATACATGGATTCTAGTAACTTTATATATATATATATATAAATTCATTATAATTGCAACAGTAATCAATGCTACATATGTACGCCGCAGTTCAAAATTTTCGGGGAGAATTCAAAATAGTTTGAGATCACACCTTGCTTAACATCCGATTCCAAGCCGAGCTAAGCTGAGCCATTATGCATAGATTTATAAGCGCTTTTATAATAAAATTATGCTCACTTTATATATATAGTATATAAATTTCTTATAAACGCAACAGTCGTAATCAGTGCTACATATGTGCGCAAATTTTTCTGGGAGAATTCCAAATAGTTTAAGACCACACCTTGCTTAACATCCAATTCCAAGCCGAGTCGAGCCAAGCTGAGCCAATATGCATAGAGTTATAAGCGCTTTTATATTAAAATTTTGCTCGCATTATATAGACTATATAGTATATAAATTCATTATAAACGCAACAGTAATCAGTGCTACATATGTGCGCACGCAGTTCAAATTTTTCTGGAGGAATTCCAAATAGTTTGAGACCACACCTTGCTTAACATCCAATTCCAAGCCAGCCGAGCCAAGCTGAGCTAATATGCATAGATTTATAAGCTCTTTTATATTAAAATTTTGCTCGCTTTGTATATATATAGTATATAAATTCATTATAAACGCAACAGTAATCAGTGCTACATATGTGCGCACGCAGTTCAAATTTATAATTTATTATAAATTTTATTTGATGTTTTTTAATTAGTCAGGTCACAATCATCATCATCATCGATATCGCAATGAAATCAAATTGAGAATTTTTTATATTAAAAAAAGTATCTTTATTTATTTTATGATATTATTTTGTTCAATAAGATACTGTTTGATACATATAACTAGAATAAATATAACGGCCTTCGCTCACTTTCAACGGTTGAACAAGGAGCTCACTTCTGGAGGGGAGATGGAAGGTGAGGTTCGAGTCAAATGTTACGGTAGTATATTTACTAATTACGGAATATTGCTTTTATTTAAAATGTTAAAATTTTATTTTTTTAAATTGTTATTCAATATGGTAATTAATTACTTTTATTTGATATAAATTTAAACAAATAAAATCGACATTACCGAAAATAATTAAAAGTTGCAAAAATTGAGATTCTTTGCATATCCCTGCTTCAACTCATGAGAAAGTGTTGTTTAATGGTAAATAGGCCTCCCCTTGGTCCGAAACATATATAATATGGCTCAAGACTATTGAATCCCAAAGTTAAACATTTAAAACATATATATATATAATTTAATTTAATTAATAATTGAATAAGTGAATACTTTGAAACCGAGAGTTTTCTTTTGCTTAGACATCAATTTAAATATTTCAGATGAAGCGCCGCACAAGTTTTAAAATTTTATATTAAAAAGTTATAAAAGTAAACTTTTTGCATTGCTTCAAAAACGTTTCGTAATTTATTTACTGTTCTGTTCTTTTCATTTCAAATATTTTAATTTGATTAGTTTTTTGTCAATTTTTTAATTTTTTAATTTTTTTATCAGGTCATAAAGTAAAGATTTAAATTAAAGAAACCCTGTGTTCTGCCTCCTATAAGTCTACAAGTTGTAGAGTCTACAACACCCAACCACACTGGCCAGACGAACAAAGCATTGAATAGCATATCAATATTATATTATGTAATTATAATATATATATCAACTGACACACTACAGCACCATCATGTACAAGTGCATGCTGATGCAATTGGTTCTTATCCGAAATCTTCCACAACAAATCTTCACCAAAAAACTTCATCCTTCTTATTTGACAGTTTCTTCTGCTCTTTCTGCAAAGAGTTTTTATAGATTTCAACATTCGAAGATTTTAAATCCATCAGCATCATTAAATGAATTTAACATTTATAATGGTACATCACATATACTCAACATTAATAACAACATTAATATCAGTAGGCAGTTTCATACAAATCCAGCATTATGTTCTGGCCAAAAGTTGTGTATCTCATACAAATGTAAAGTTTGTAATAGCAGATCTTCAAAAATATTCTCCAAGCATTCATACGAAAAGGGCATTGTCATTGTTAAGTGCCCTGGTTGCCAGAGTTTACATCTGATAGCTGATAATCTTGGCTGGTTCAAAGATTTTGAGTAAATATTAGCTATATACTGTTTATGTATATCTATGTTTGTGTGTGTGTCTGTGTGTGTGTGTGTGTGTGTCTGTGTGTGTGTGTGTCTGTGTGTGTGTAATCTGTTTTATTCTATTTTAATTATATTTCAATTGATATAATTTAAAAACTTTTTTTTAATTTAGTGTTTTACTTTTTACTCAAAAGTAAATTTACTTTTGATTTGCATGTGCATGTTTGGTTTTGATACTTTCTTCTATAACGTCAACCAGTTGCATTGTAATTTTTCTACTCAACATTAAAATGATTGTCTCCAGGTTCAAAAACGTTGAAGAATTCCTGGCTGCAAGAGGCGAGGAAGTGAAAAGGGTTACAGAGAACAGTGGTGATTTGCTGTTTTTCGATGATGACGGCATTGAAGATAATGACGTCAACAAAGCATTGGTGGGTGCTGGAGAGAAATTTGATAAGGAAAACGTGTGATTGACGCATTGTAAATGTGTTTTAACTATTGCAGTTTTGTCATGTAAATAAAGAATGTTTGACTTGTTCCTATTTGAAAGTCTTAATTTATCATACGTTGACGATTTACGTTCTATAATTTCGAAAAGCTGTTTTTAACTTTATTCAATTCGTTTAAAGTGAAAAGACTTATTAATTCAAAACCGTTGTTAATTTATAATGCTAAGAAGGCTGCATCTTCATGAGTCTGTACCCCTGAGGTTTGGAGAAATCGAAATACAATTCTTTAGGATTTGTCGGGTTGTACGTATCGAAGATTTCGAGGAACCGTGGAAGCACGTTTGACGGGAAGATATCCAACTTGAGGTGGCATTTTATGGCTTGGTTTCTCGTCACCATCGAAGCTATGATACTCGCTCGCTGCTTCTTTCGGGTCTCCGCTATCTAGTTTTTACAAATTTTAGTAAACTATAACTTTGAAAAAAAAATTTAAGAGATTATGATAGCTAAAATGTCGTCTACCTACCTACCTTCTTAGAAAGCTGAGTGAATTTAACAGGTGTAAAGTTGTATAAATCAGTTTTAAGGACTTTGCATTGTTCCATTTTTGAAAAATTTGGTCTCCCGGCCGGGATTTTCAGGTGGTGAGATTGAAATTCGCTAAGGATTCTTTCCTCTAAAAGTTATAAATATATTTGTAAGTGTTCCTTATGTTATTTTTCGAAAATTTAAAATGTAAAAAATGCTCCTGAAATACTTTTTTTCAACGCTAGAGCTACAGAAAAGTTCTTGTACTTGTCGAGCAATTTAATAATTCTCTGCCTGCGGCTTGGGCTGCAGCATATCGGGTCATAAATTCCGACTTGTCCTGTTCAAATCAATCAAATTATCAATCAATTGCTTTTTCAATTAGTAATTCAACTAATTCCTAAGTGTTTAAATTGATTTTGAACTGACAACAAACCGAAAAGATCCCTAACAACTGGGATCCACTGGACATCAGGCAGAGCACTTAAGAGGCATCCATTCGTAGAATATATGTCCAGAATTGTCTGTTTCGTGTTGTTTTACCACGTTATAATTAGTAAATTAATAATCATTATTGTAATAGTGATAATAATTACAACTTATATTTCAAAGTTGGTTGATATTGGCACTAACAGTCATCAAAATATCGCTTATGTAATGTTCGTCCAGCTTGTTCATCTTAATGTGGTGTATGAACGGATTGAAATTTATATTTCTAGGCTGAATGAAATAAAAAAATAGCTATTTAATTGAATAATTGATGAATAAAGTGTATTTCTGTACAAAATGTAGCTTAAACTCAACACCACCTTGCACTTTTTTTGAACGGACTTATCATGTTTGCAGAGGTTGGCCGCCTGTTTGTAATACTTGAGTGATTTGTAATAAGGTGAGCATTCAAAATTTGGCAACTTTTTGAATTGTTCATTCAAGTTATCGTAGATACACTTGCTGAGTCGATCGAAGCAAACGATTTTGCATTCGAAAAAGTGTTGAACTTCCGGAGGGATTCCATCTAAGGTGATGTTTAGGCAGACGCAAGTGGCGGCTACCGTGAAGTAAACCAGTACGCTGTACAGGATGCTCTGAATTTCTGTTATTTCTAATTTTTAAGAAAAATTTATTATTGATTTTTTTTTGTTACGAAATAAAAATTTGTTTGGTGTAACCCGATTTCTGATCAGAAATCCCAGGCCTCGAGGTAAGCTGTTTTGTAATGTAGTTTGTGATCATATTTTTACGTGCAAACTGCAAATTTCACTTAATATATAGAACTCTTATAGATAATGGAAAAAACTTTTTTGATGAGGTCTAGGCATGCCAAACTGTAAATAAACTCGTCGAAATCGATGTTTCTAAAGTCAGTTTTGCACTGGTGAATGTATCTGAGGTCGTCGAGATCAACGCTCGTTATGCCAATATCCAATTCTTCGATGAGTTTGTACACTTTTGCATTGCTGTTAACAATCGGAGGCGTCTCAATTATGTCGAATATCTAAAATTTGTGGCAAATTTTTTCAACTTTTAACTTTAAAAATCGTTTTCTATTGAAAGATTCTAAAAAATTCATCTAAAAATGATCACATACTTTCATAAAAATGTTAAATTTTTTTTCAGGTAACTCAATGAACCACGAAGGCGGCTTATACTTTTTATTATTGTGCATATACCTTTCTAGCATTTCTGCATGCTTGGCTTTGTCAGTAGTACCGTAATCTTTAAATGAAAAAACAATTTTTGCCATTATTTCAAGTTTTATAGAAAAAATTGACTGATGAATTATTTAATGAATAATCAAAATTAATTCACCGGCCAAAAAATTAACTTTAAAGGGAGCGGTACTAGGATGAAAGTAGGCCCTGGTGAGGGCAGTATTTTTTGCCCTTCTTATGGCATCACTAATGTCGCTAAATTTACCTAATTCTTTGTCACTTTTATCAGTAGACCTGAATTTTTATAAATAGAAAAGTCATGTTTTTCATATAATATCATTTATTTTAGAATTTATAAATGATTGTTCAATTGAAAAATAGTTTCTTTAATTGAAAAACTTGAATAAGATTTGGGCATGATATGATTTAGTGTATTTTAATTGTTTTTATTATTAGTTATAATTATTTTTATTATTATAACCAGAGATAATTCTTGATCTTCTTCCTCCTGTCTTTATCCTCCTTGGTTTTGCTGATGCCAGCACACTCACAATCGATGTCGTCTATATCGTCAGTCATTTTATAATTTATTTATTTTTTTGTTTTGAAAATGACTTAAAACAAAATAAATGAACAAATATTAATAAATAAAGCTCAAACGGGCATATGACGTTTACAAAGATATGAAAAACCTGAGGAACAGAATTATCATTAATTTGCGAGTTTTATTTAATAATCTATGCTATAATGTTTTCTGAACGATAAATAAGCAGTCATGAAATTTAAATTTCTTCAAATTAGACTTATAATTTACTAATTTGTACATTTTATACCAATTTTAGGCAAATTTTTCACTTTGAAATAAAAACCTTATCTGTAAATATAGATCTCAAACCTTAAATAACTTCTAGTTTAATTCTTATTCTATTCTATATATTTAAACTTCTAATGCTCTCTAACTAAAAAAAACTAAATCCAAATCCGAAGAAAAGCTTTTAAAAATAAATCGTAAATTAAAATGGCTGGTAACAGAGCAAGTTTACTGGCGGAGATGTGGAAAAACTTTAAAAAATCAATAGTGATTTTTCGGACAAAAGATAAGTACATTGGGGCTGATGAATTTGGGAACAAATATTATGAAAGAGAAGCCGGTAATAGTTTTTTTAGTATTGTTTATTTTATCAATTATTTTAAAAATGTGAAAAATGATGATGACTATTTTTAAAACTAATGCGTTTTTATTTATAAATTCATATTATTAAAATATCAGTAGTTAGAAATTTAATTCTACTAGTAACTAATATTAACTTAAACTAAACTAAACCCTTTTTCATCTCACCTGATCCTAATCCAAATTTTTATTTAATTGAAAATTGTTTTTTCAAAGTGTAGATACAACCATAGGTATAAAAAGACAAAGAAAGGTTATACCCATAGACCCAGACCAAACAATTGTGCCTAAATTACCTGTAGAATGGATGAGTTAGTGTGTAGATTAGGGATGGTTGGTTGTTTATATGATTGAATGATTAATTGATTTTTATTTGTTTTCTATTTGTTTTTAAACATTTTAATTTTTATTTTTTTGTCTCAAGCATGGTTACAAAATAGAAGATTGGATCCACCAACAGAACAAGTGAATGAATTAATTGATGATGGCTGAATGATTAAATAAAAGAATGAAAACATGGATAGATCAATGAATTGATGAATCTATGAATGAATGAATTAGTGATGAATGGATGGATAAACAAATGAATGAACAGATGAATGAATAAATAAATAAATATGAACTTTTTAAAATTTTCATGCCAGGAAATTGAAGAGAATAAATTAAATACAATGAAAGTTCTAGCTAGAGCAGCTAAACTGCAACAGCAAAAAGTATGTATGTATGTATGTATGTATGTATGTATGTATGTATGTATGTATGTATGTATGTATGTATGTTAAAACCAAATCATTGACGAATGACACCAAAAGCCAAGCGTCTGACTAAATTTGATTTTATTTGCTATAATGTCACTCAACCCCGTCGGCATTCAACTCCACATTTTCCAACACACAGACGCGCAAAAACCGCTGCAGAATGCACGAGATATTATTCATAGCAAAAAAATATTCTCTACTATTGCCTGACATAATACTGATATTTTTACAAATCCGATTGAAAAACCCGGAGGTGTTACGGTTCATGGGGCCGAGGACCTCGATACAAATCGGTAAAAACTCCATCGAGGGGAGAGCTCCGTCGTACTTTTTGATCTTCTTTTTGATGCCCTGGTTGCAGCCAAGCCGCTTTCTTTGCTAGTAAGCTGCACGTAGCGCTCAGCAAAGGTGCCCGGAACGGTAACGTCCCACGCCAAGCACCTGTCGGCTCTCCAAGGGATCAAGGTACACCCGTCAGGATGGTTCCTTGAGAACCGGGATTGAAGCCTTGGAGAAGAGCCGACAAATGTAATCGTTTAGCGCTGAGTGACGTAGTTGACGGCCCCCACCCAGGCGACAAACCAAACCGTGGTGCCCAAACTCGTCCGCCCCAGCGCCACATCGGCACGTGTATTTATTCTGAATGACCAGGCCAAGTCTGAAGCCAATGGCAAATCTCACAGACTCGTCGTCAAGCCTGGTGCCCACAGAGGTGTTAGGCCACGATCTCAACCACCCACAGCTGGCAACGCTGGACATGGCCAACAAACGAGCGGTGGAAAAGTCGTCGCCGCATGAAGACAACAAATTTTGAAAGATTTTTTTATATTCTTCGTTCAAAATTTGGACGTGCGTACGGTCCCCCGGGGCGGACACTGGGGGAAGAATATCGCGGCAACGAAAAAACCGGTGGAGCAGGGAAGACTGCAGGTCGAGAGTGGCAGCGCCAGAAGAATTATAAACAACGGGAGCCAGCTGAACCACGCTAAGCAACCCCAGCCCACCAAATCGCACCGGCAGCTGAGCCTGGGACCAACCACTGTCAGTCACTTGAACATTGCAAATCGACGACAGGGCGGTGCGCAGGGCTCCGTCAAATTCGCCCAATTTAGAAGGGTCAATGTGTTTAGATGTACGCAGGAAGTACATCAATTACGCAGGAAGTATGTATGTATGTATGTATGTATGTATGTATGTATGTATGTATGTATGTATGTATGTATGCATGCATGTATTTATGCATGTATTTATGCATGTATTTATGCATGTATGTATGCATGTATGTATTGTACATCATTTTTAGGTTCTAGATGCAGGCAATAATAATGATGCTAAAACAGGCAAATCAACTCTAGAACAGATTAATGAAAGTATGATTATAATAAATATTATAAATATTTATTAATATTAATGAAGTTATTATTGTTATTATTTACCTTACTTCTCAGCGAAACAGTTCCCAATTTACGAAGAATACGAAAAGGTTCCTGGTGAGAAAAAATAACTATACAGAGAAAGGATGAAGATTGAAAAGATTATGAATGTTGCAAAAATTAAGAAGTTTATAAAATTTATGCAAAGATTACGCTTAAGAGGAGATTAAGAAGAATTTGAAATACATAAAGATTGATTAATGGTTAAACTTAGTTGTCTTTCTCTCTCATACATTCAAATTATTTCTTATTGGTCTGTGTGTGCGTATGTGTGTGTTTGTGTGCGCGCGTGTGTGTGTGTGTAATTTATTTAGCGGATGACTTCCTGGAATAAAATTGCCGTAAATATATGTTTGCGCTCTTCTGTTCGCATGTTTGTACGCATATGTTGATGCGTGTTTTTGTATACATGTGTGTCTCGGTGTGTTGTGCGTGTGTGTGTGTATCTGTCTGTCTGTGTGTCCGTGTTTGATCCGTATCTATTTATAAATAGGTGAATAATTCAGTGTGGCATGCGTGTATTCAGTGACAGGTTGCCGATTTCGGTAATGGGGTCCCGTCGGTATTACGTCGGTTATTGTTTATAGTACCGGGTTTTTTTTAATGTCGGAATTTAGTCGGTTATTGTTTACGTCCGCTTTTACATCGGTTATTTATACCGGATTTTTGGTGACGGTAAGTCAGTTTTTATTTAGACGGTTTTTTATTGATATTTTTGTTACAAAAATCATTTTGGCGTATGTATGTGCGTGTGTGCTATGCGCACACGTGTATGTACTTTTTTCAGGAAGTCATTTACAATGACGGTGGGAAGAAAATGCTGAAAAAACATTTGAAGATAAGTTCATCTGGAGAATGAAATATACTGCGAAGGAGAGCATAGCAACAAATAAAAATAACAATAGGCACCGGTGGGCAGTTGTTGATCCTATCATTCCATCAAAAAAGGAACCGGAAATAATTAGAATGTCGCCAACAACTGCAATAATAATAATCACCATAATAACATGGTAGCACTGTACAAGATGTTTAAAACATATTTAATAGGACGTTCACAGGCATGTATGTATGAAAATAGCTTTATGTCTGTAGCTAACTTGGTGGGGGTAACCATCTAAGAAAAATAGATTTCCTATTTTACGTATTATCTACATGAATGCATGTATGTATGTATCATGTATGTATATAACTAGCTTTACGTAAACATGTTTTTGGGTGTGTGTGTGGTGTGTGTGTGTGTACGTAAACCACGGCCAGCATAACCGATTGTTATAGGTTCAAATCCTGACTTTTCTGTGCACAGGTTAATAGTTTTTATGAGTATGTATGTATATGTATGTGTGTATATGTATGTGTGTATATGTATGTGTGTATATGTATGTGTGTATATGTATGTGTGTATATGTATGTGTGTATATGTATGTGTGTATATGTATGTGTGTATATGTATGTGTGTATATGTATGTGTGTATATGTATGTGTGTATATGTATGTGTGTATATGTATGTGTGTATATGTATGTGTGTATATGTATGTGTGTATATGTATGTGTGTATATGTATGTGTGTATGTATGTGTATATATATGTATGTGTGTATGTATGTATGTGTGTGTGTATGTATGTATGTATATATGTATGTGTGTATGTACGTGTGTGTGTATGTATGTATGTAGGCGTATTTCTTTGTATATTACACTGAATTATGAAAGTCTTGAGATTCAAACACGTATGTCAATAAATATGTAGATACAGAAGGAACATAGGCATACATACACTCACGTTAATGCACACGTTAATGCACAGACAAACAAACGCTCATACAAACATACGTACAGCGGGCAGCAATTCTGCATTACTGTTGCTTCGCTTGTTCTTTGGATTTGTCCCATTAAGCTGGCTGAAGCACATCAAAATGTACACACCTCCATCCATCCATCCATACATACATACAGATACATACTTACATATCATACATACGTACATACGTACATACATACATACATACTTACATACATACATACATACATACATACATACATACGTACGTACATACATACATACGTACGTATATATCATACATGCATACAACATATTGCGTACGAATTTGCTTGTACGCTATTATTTATATCTTATAGTGTGTACACATACATACATACATATATTTATACATACTTTTAAACACACACACACACAGATATATATATATATATATGTAAATGTTTTTTTAATTCACTTATTTAATCTATGTGTGTAGAAGGACCGTATTTAGTTTTGAACAAGTGATTTGATGGTATATGTATATATATTTATATTAATTTAATTATAACTACATATGTTAGTGTTGCTAAAATATTTGGAATAAATATAGCTTGATGTATGTGTGTGTTAAAGTTTTTACACTAAATAATAATATTAATAATTAATAATAATAAATAATAATAATAAATGATCAATTATCTTTTTAAAAATATATATAATGGTTAACATGTGCATTACATCCTACGAGCAGATTTCATTAATTAGTTAAAAAAATTTTTGAAAATTCTAATTAACTTTTAAAAATATTAATACGACAAATAATAATTTTTAAAGTAACAATATTATTATTGAATAATAATAATAATAATAACGTATATATAAATATGTGTGTTTATGTTTAAGTTGACAGTTTGAAATCAGTGTTGTTACCATTAAATTATTATTGTTAATACCCAGTTTTGTCGTAATAAATTTTATTTTAATTTTATTATTATTAATTGATTTTGTTATTATTATTATTATTGTTGTTGTTGTTGTTATCAAGGAAATGCCATAATGTCATCAACGTAGCAGCCTTCATTATCGTCATCATCCTCTTCATCAAATCGTTATAAAAAGATTATAAATAATGACAATGCCTGAGGCGGAAGAAGAAGATCAACATCAACAACAACATCAACAGCAACATCAACAACAACAACATCAACAACAACATCAACAACAACATCATCAACAACATCAACAACAACATCGACAACAACATCATCAACAACAACATCATCAACAATATCAACAACAACATCAACAACATCAACAACAACAACATCAACAACAACAACATCAACAACAACAACATCAACAACAACATTATCATCGTCTTCAACATCCAAATATGGCTAAAATCTTAATGCTATTAGTGCGTCTGCTCTTTAAATCATCGCCATCATCATCAGTGACGACATTATCCTCACTATCATCATCACTGTTCCTGCTAATGATATTGGTATCATCATCATCCTCGTTGTTGTCATCATCATCATCATCATCGATTTCTGTAGATGGTGTAATTAGAGAAGCGAAGTACAATGAAGTAGGTGTTGATGATGATGGTGATGATAATGATAATGATAATGATGGTGATGATGATGAGGAGGAAGATGGTGGTGATGATGATGATGATTATTATTATTATTATGATGATCGGGCTAGTGATGATGATGATGATGATTGGCTTGGTGATGATGATGATCGGGTTGATGCTGATGATGATGCCATCATTGTTCACTTTGATGCTGTTGTATATATTGTCGGTAAGTGATATATTGGAAAATATTTTGTTATCTTTTCCCCAAAGAATTCGCTAACAAAGCCACACCACCAACAACACCACAACAAGCAACGTCAACAACAACATCCACAACAACAACAACCATACTCCGACTACCTCATACCAAACAACAACAATGACGATAATAACAACGAAAACAACAACAACAACGAAAACAACAACAACAAAGACAACAAACTGACAAAGATAAATAAAAACAAGATGGCCGTCGTGGCCAACGATGACATCATCATTACGAAACCTGTGGACTGCAGTGATGACGTCAGCGTGGAGTGCGAGGAGGATCAGCTGATGCAAAATGACGAAAGACTTATCTACCCGGTCCCGTCATCAAGAAATAGGAAAAAGAATTTTAGGTTTGGGTTTTTTGCTGGTTTTTCCTGATCGGTTGGGATCGGTTGATTGGATGAGGTCGCTCATTCATTCATTTCATTCAATCAATCATTTGTTCATTCATTCATTCATTTATTCAATCAATCATTCATTCAATCAATCATTCATTCGTTCGTTCATTTAGAGAGACAACAGCATCAGTTGTTGACGTGCCAGAAAGTTCCGGAAACTTGGAAGACGACGATGATGGCGATGACGACGAAGAAGATGGCGATGAAGAAGATGAGGAGGAGGAGGAAGAGGAAGAAGACGGTGAAGAGGAAGATGAGGAAGAGGAAGATGACGATGCAGATGACGAAGCCGTCGGTACTTCTGAAAATGACGAACGCAACGCCAACATAAACATGAACGGCAATCGAGGTGGCGGAGTTGGTAGAACCGATGGCGTCACAAAAGCTTCAACCAATCAGATCAGACCCGCAGGTCAGAAGAATAGCACTAAATCCAAACCAAACAGCCCCAATGAGAACAGACCTCACAGACGTCCCAGCGCCACACCCACCACGACGTCATCATCGTCGGTGGTTGCTCTCCCGGCCAGCACAGCCAACGCGGCCACGAAGAAGCCCCCCATGTCACCCCCATTTACCCACCCCCTCCCACACACTTCCAACGGGTACGTCTACAGCCACAAGCCACAATACTACCCAATGAACAGCCAGCAGAACCCCGGCGATTTCTCCTCCTTGTATCCGGACAAAAAAGAAAGGAACGGTCCGAATCAAACGGCCATCAACATGAACATCATACTAATCGCAGGAATTGCGGCCGGGATCGTCGTCCTTCTATTCATTTTGGTCGTAGCCGCCTGCAAGTTTTACGCTTCTTCTAGTGGTGCGGCAGCGGCTAAAGCTTTAAACGACTACCAAAGGGCTGCAGGAAAATCGGCCTACGCTTACGAAGCGTGCAACACGGGAGCCAAGTGTAGTTCGCCGCTATTGGCGCCTGTTTCTCAGCAGTCGCTACCAGCTGTTAACGCTCTAGCTCAAGCTGATACAAGCGGGGCTGTCGTTGGGGCGCCCAACTGCGCTATCAGTGGTGTCGTTGTACTTTCTGGTGCTGGTGGGCAAGTAGTGTTTCTAAGCCCGCCAAGAAAGATGTAAAAAGAAGGTATGTATGAATGAGTGTATGGTTCATGGGAGGATGCAATGCAAAGATGTTTGAATGAATGAATGCATTATTGGATGGATGAACCGAATGCGTCAAAGTTGAAAAGTTGATGAACGAATTCAAACATATAGTCATGAATTCATTGAATTAAATAAAGAACGAACAAATGGATGAACAAATCTTTACTGACAACTGAATGAATGAGAGAATGAATCAGCAAATGAATGAAAGAATGACTGAGTGAAGAAGTGAATGATTTATTTAATTTATGCGGATAAATTGATATTTTTAACGCTCCAAATGACATTAAATAACAGAAAATTGTACAAAAATATATACGCGAATATGTGTGTATTTACGTAATTATTCATTTATTAGTTATTGAAGAAGTCTTCTTTATTTATTTTCTTTTTGTAAAGTTAGAAAAAATTTATTCAAATAATTTTTAAGAACGATTTTATGAACAATTATTTAATTATTTTAGTCACGAACACACAGATACACAAACAAAAACAGACACACACACACAAACACACACACACACACAAACACACACACACACACATATATATATATATACATATATACATATATATATATATACCAGGGGTGGGTAAACTTTTTGCTGTGAGGTCCGCTTTGAGAACTCTTTTACCTTTGAAGGGCCGCATAAGTATTTAAATAGCAAATTTTTTCGACCCGGGAGAGGGAGGAGAGTTTTTTTTTAAGATTTTTGGCTCTTTTTTTGGTCATAATGTCCGGTTGACGACTTTTTTGGGCGAACAAGACCTCCCGCGGGCCGCATAGAATAGCTTCGCGGGCCGTAGTTTGCCCACCCCCGATATATACAATTGTGAATATTAAAAAAGTATTTTATAATATATATATATATATATATATATATTTGTTGATATATATATATATATATATATATATATATATTTGTAATAATAATTGTAATTTGTTGATATATATATATATATATATATATATATATATATTTGTAATAATAATTTCATTTGTTGTTCACATCTTGTTTATAATGATGAACATAAAGAACATTTTCATTCATATTTTGAAATGATTTCGATGAAGTTGATAATGATGATGATGATGATATTAATGATGACGATGATGGTGGTGGTGATAGAGTTGTGGTGATAGAGTTGTGGTGATATAATCAAAATGAATACAATAAGCCGTATGTATTCATGTTTAATCGTTTAGTTACCTGAATATTTGTATTATTTCATATATTTGCAATATTTCGAGGTGTTTGTTAGAATAAAAATATTATTAATATTAATATTCACTACCAGTATATAAATATGTATAAAATTTAATTGTCCCTTTGTGCATATGAGGAAAATCATCTTGTTTTCTTTGTTAATTTTACTGATTAATTCAACAAAAATTACAGACAAATTCCGTAGAATATAAAAATTTATAAGATAAATTTATATATTTTCATTTAGATGAGCTAATTTTTCATTATTTTGAAAGAAAAATGATGGTGTTTTATTCTAGTTATACGGTTTTCTAGATGTTTTAAATACAAACATTTCTGAGCTCTATGTTAGTCATATATTTACACACATATATACATGTAATAATATATATTTGATTAAAATATAGTTAATGACGTCAAATATTACCCTATTGTATCTTTGCCGTTTTAAAAAATAAATATTGCTATATTATCTATGCGGACATTTAAACGCCGATAATAAAAAAATTAAAAGTACCGCGAACAATCTTTTTTAAAATTTAGCAAAATGATTCAAAATTTAATTTTATATAACGGTGTCAAATTAAAAAATATTTCTCTAATTGGTAAAAGATTTTTGAAATTTAAAGAATCCGTGACTTCAAAATTGAATCAAAATGTAATTACCGACTGCAACAGCAACACTGCCTTCAATTTCATTCGAAGGTTTTCGTCAGAAATCAAAGAAAATGAGAGAAGTTTAAATTTTAAACATTTTTTACGTAATTCCCCAATCGAGAGTTCTACCAAATTAGCAAGAAACAGTTGTAAAGAGCAAGAGAATGATGCTGATTACTACAATGATGGTTGTTGTTACTTCCCTGAAGAAGATTGTGTTGGTGGGGATGAAGTTGGAGATAACAAAAAAGGTGTATAGATCAGTCAGTTTTGCGTATATGTGCGTTAAAGTGTGTTTGTTCATTTTATGTATTAGCAATATTAAATATTCAAATTTAAATTAATAAAAAAAAAATAATTAAATTTTCAAATATTAAATACCTCTTCAATGATTAAAAAGCAAACTTTGATAAAATTCTTGATGAATTTTTCAATGAAATATTAAAAAATTGATAAATTATGAATTTTTTTATCTATGACAGTTTTTATTGAGGTCTATGGCTGCCAAATGAACAATAATGATGCAGAAATTGTTAATTCAATTTTAACAAAAAGTGGCTATAAAATTATTGATGATATTTCTCAGGTTTTTATTTATTTATTTATAAAATGATAATTAATGTTATCAATATTATTCTTAATTATTACTTTGTAATTGTCAGTTATAGTCAAATCTATCAAACTAATTTCTAAAAATTTCCATTCAGTAAATTCACATAAATAGTTCATGACACTAATAAAAACTCAAAGCACAAATCCCCAGTCACTAACTACACTAACTACCTATCAGAGTGATGTGGTACTACTAATGACCTGTTCAATTAGAGAGGGAGCTGAGCAGAAGATATGGAGACGTGTCGAATATCTCAACAACATCAAAAGATCTCGAATAAGAGGGCATAGAAATTTCAAGATTGGTATATTAGGTAAATATAATTGTTGTTTTATTGAAATAATAAGGAGAATATTATTGACAATGGTATGCCCTTTCTATTATAAAACCAATCAAAATTTCTCTTTAATTAGGCTGCATGGCTGAGAGACTGAAACAGAAGATACTAGAAAAAAATGATAGCATAAATTTAATATGTGGACCAGATGCCTACAGATCACTACCGAAATTGCTGGCCGATGTTGAATCAGGAGGATTAGCTGGTTAGTTTTTTAGGGATGTGCTGATTTCGCTATTGTTTTTAATATTATTGTTGTTGTAATTGTTTTTAAGCGAATGTTCAACTCTCATTGGATGAGACATATGCAGATATCCAACCAGTCAGAAGAGAGCCTAATTCAGTTACTGCATTTGTGTTAGTGTAGTGAAAATTTATTTTGGAGGAAGAATTTTTAATAAAAAGAGCTTTATTGTTCGTCATCATTATCATCATCAACAACAACATCATCATCATCACAGATCGATAATGAGAGGCTGCAACAACATGTGTACATACTGCGTTGTCCCATTCACGAGGGGCCGAGAAAAAAGTAGGCCAATGACCTCAATTTTAGAAGAAGTGAAACGATTGGTTGATCAGGTTTGTTCCCATTTCTCTGATTGGTTGGTTGATTTGATGAATTAATCAATTGACAAATTGAATGAGAGATTTTGACCAATCAAATGCGTTGATTTCTGCTGTTTTCTTCTGTAGGGCGTCAAAGATATAACTCTTCTGGGGCAAAACGTGAACAGTTATAGAGATACAACGGCGCCAAAATCTTTCACATCATTGGCTATTGAGCCCATTAGGACGGGGTTTAAAACTGTTTACAAGCAAGCTACCAGCCAATCACAGGCCTGCTATAGATTTGTTGATCTGTTGGATCGAATTTCATTGGTCGACAAAGAAGTTAGGGTGAGATTCACCTCACCTCACCCCAAAGACTTCCCTAATGAGGTTTACTAGACAAGATGATGATGATGATGATGCATGTTATGTTAATCATGGCGATAATATCATCGAGGAAATCTTCGTCACTCACATCACAGGTGATACAACTAATCTCCTCAAGACCAAATATATGTCGCCAACTTCACATTCCGGCCCAAAGCGGAAGTGACGCGGTTCTCGAGAGGATGATGAGAGGATATGACGTCGAAACGTACAGGAAGTTGATTGAGGATGTTAGAAAATGATACCTGGTTGGTTGGCTGGCTGGTTGGTTGGTTGGCTGGCTGGTTGGTTGGTTGGTTGGTTGGTTGGTTGGTTGGTTGGTTGGTTGGCTGGTTGGTTGGCTGGCTGGTTGGTATTCATGGCTGGTTGCATGAATAGGGATTGTTTGATTAATAGGCTGATTTATTATTCTCTATACCATGATCCTAATTCATTTCTAAATCACTAATCCTTATCACCTCTAGTCCTGGTTATGACATTAAACTGACCCTCACTGCCTTGTGAGTGATGTTGGATCATCAAAGGCTAGGCCCACCGCTTATAACTGTGGTTGCGTAAGGAAGGGCGTCCTGCGTAAAAATTAGCCAAATAAATTACTTATGATGGAATGGCGTCGAGGGGTATTTCGGTTTCATCATAGGTAGCCAAACGGCAACCCCCGATCTCAGGGAAAATGTCGTCAAAACGTGTGTTGTTGTTGTTGTTGTTTAATCCTTATCACCCCCCGATCTGTACTTTGTATTTTGGTCTCCAACTGATTAGTTCTTGAAGAAAAAATTTTTTTAAATTTGCCAGATGTCAGTCTGTCCAGTGATTTCATTGCTGGTTTTTGCGGTGAGTCCGAGAGGGATCACGAATTGACGCTACAACTGATGAGCGATGTTAAGTACAACATGGCTTACTGCTTTCCTTACAGTATCAGAGAGGTTTCAGTTTTTGTTCTTTGTTTTTTTCATAGATATCTAATTATTTTTGATGGTGTTTCTGTTATAATCGTTGTTACTATTGTTACTATTATCATTACCATCAACAACAACATCATCATCATCATCACATGACACAGAAAACTGGAGCCTACCGACGTCTATCAGATGATGTACCTAGTGAGGTCAAGAAGATTCGGATGATACAATTGGTCGATTGTTTCAGGTCAAACGCTGACCTTATTAACAGGGCTATGATTGGCTCACATCAGCTGGTTCTCGTTGAGGGAGTGAGTAAATGAACGAATGAATGAATGATAGATTGAACGAATGAAGGAATCATGAATGTATAAGTGTGTGAATATTGTTAATGTTAATAATAGGTAGGATAATGATAGGAATTTGTTTAATCCGCAAGATTCATTTCATCTTTCTTTTGTCATCTTCCTCATCATCGTCGTCGTTGTCATCATCATCATCGTCATCGTCGGTATCATTATCATCATCATCATTTTTATCATTATCACAACCGACAGACGTCTAGACGTAAGAAGGACCAGTTGTACGGTAGGAACGACGGCAACACCAAGGTCATCCTCGATAACAATAAAGATAATAATAATTGCATAAATTATGATAATGAGGAGGAAATCTCTGAGCCAATCAGAGTGGGCGATTACGTTCTGGTCGAGGTCGGATTTGTTGATTTCATTGCAATGGTTTGAAGTGTGTTGATTCAATGAAGTTTCAATTAGCGTGATGTGATATTTTGCATTTCTCCTATTATTATTATTATTATTATTATTATTATTATTATTATTATTATTACTCCAACAACCAGATTACGTCATCTTCATCGCAAGTTTTAAAGGGCAGACCACTGTGCAAAACTTCATTGGCCGATAATGCTAATAAAAATAGTAATAATAAAAATAATAATAGTAATAATAATACTAGTAATAATAATAATAATAATCATCATCATCATCGTGTCATCAACCAAAAAATATAACGTATCATCACGCTCGTTGTAAAATGATGGTTGTTTTTCAATCTTAATTGCAAAATGTATATATATATATATAGAATATATATATTAATAATATATATATATATATATATATATATATATATATATTTATATATATATATATATATATGCAAAAATGAATATAATAATGATAGCCAGAGTAAATTTTTTTAAATGCTAAAGCTGTCGCAACCAAATTGGCTTCTGTTGTTAATATTTTATAAGAGGTGAATTATTATCATTATTATATATATTATTATTTGTTATTTTTATTAGTTAGTATTATTTATTATTATTATTATTATTTGTTATTTTTATTAGTTAGTATTATTTATTATTATTATTATTATTTGTTATTTTTATTAGTTAGTATTATTTATTATTATTATTATCAGTGTATTCGGGGCTCGTATTCCTACTCCCACCATTGTTATTGGTTTAAAAAGTGTAAAAAATATAACAAGTAAACATATATATATATAAATATGTATATATATATAGCGAGAGAGAGAAAGAGACAGGGAGAAAAGAGAGACAGACTTTAAATTGATTAACGCCAACAATTCGGTAGAATTCATATATGCTGTATAAAATATGGTCTCCTTCCAACATATACATATATATATATATATATATATATATATATATATATATATATATATATATATATATATATATATATGATGGGATGTAAAAACTATGGAGAAATGGAAAGATAAACGGAGAAAAATAAAATAAAAAAGTTCAAAGTGAAGGCAATTATGTATGCACGAAATGCTAAATAAAAAATGAGTATAATTGTGTGTACGTGTGTGTGTGTGTTTGTACGTGTGTGTGTATGTTAATGATGGCTCGAGAAGAAATAATTATATATATAAGGTTAACTAAATTCTTTATAAACGTGTTTTATGTATATATACATACGTATTATATACACAAATATGTATGTGTGGTGTGTTTCTATTATTATAATTATTTATATTGTTATTATTATCAGTTATTATTATTATTGCAGATATATAGATTATGCGGTAAAATAGAATGTAAAGTATGAATAAGTTTGCCAAATCATGTCGGTTGATCGGTCAATTCAATCTGTCTTTTGCATATTATTATTAAATGTGGATATATAAATATAATTTTATTATTATTATTACAAATATATATATATATATATTTGATTATAATATGATTTATTATCATAATTTTTATTATAAATAAAACTGAGGTAGGTAGATAATGCAGTGAGTTTGCTTAGAAGGTAACATCACGCCACATCGTCATCACCACCAGACACTCCAAAGTAGTCACCATCATCACCACCAGAGACACAACATCATCATCTTTACAAAAACTGAGGAGCAATTTGTTTTTGTAACGGTGACGAGACTAAAGATGTGGTAGAAACTGATTTGAACCTGAGAGGACAAACTCGACTTAAAACGCCGCGAAATCGCCTTCCAAAGGCTGAATAAATCAAAAAGTTGACACTGGATTTGACGATCATTAGCGCTTCACTCAGCTGCGATATCAGCTGCAGGCGGTTTCGGCTGCAGAGTCCTAGCTTAAAATTTCTTTCCAATATCGACAATATTCGACCGATTAGCTCCGGCGATTCGCAGACGAGGAAAACGATTATGACTACGACTAGAACGGTTGTAGCGTTTAATTCGCTGGCTGAAAGTTTAGCTGCCGCTGTTAACTTGTGGCGGTTATGTGGATGTGGATTTAGTAAAGATGACAGTCGGGAAGTGAGATTTGGTTTTTGAGGTCTTTGATTCGGAGTTGGTGTGTTGTGGTGGTTTTTCTGATGGTGACGTTGACGATAATGATGGTGATGATGATCATGGGAGTTTTGGTGATGATGATGATGATGTTGGTTGTTCGTTGTTGTTGTTGTTGTTGGTTGTTTATGAAGTTGCTGTACAAGTAGACAGGGGCTTACTTTTTTGGAGCTTTTTACTGGAACGTTGTTGTTACTGATGTTGTTGTTGTTTTTGTAGTAGTTGTTGTTATCGTTGTTACAGATAATGATAATGTTGTTGTTTGTTATGGTGTTGTCCTTAACTTTTAAACCCTGATACAAATCGTCAGCAGTCTTAAAGTCGTTATTATCATTGTTATAATTGTTGCTATTGTCGTTGTGGATGTTGTTGGCGGTAGTTTTTTCATCAATTTTGTCATTGAAATTTGGTAGAATTTCGTCATTTATATAGCGCATTTTATTGTTGATTTTGTTGTTGTCGTAAAATAATTGCCACGAGTTAAATTTGTCCGTTTTAAACGTCTTATCTTCGGCGATGACGTCATATGTATCTTTGTTGTTGTGGTTTTTGTTGTTGTTGTCATTGTTGGCGATATCTTTGTTGCTGATGACTTGTTTATTAGTGTCCGGGCTAACGTTATTTAAATCCTGTTTACCATCGTCATCTTCATCATTATCTTCATTACCATTTTTATCATTGATATTATTGATAGAGTTGTTGTCGTTCTTGTCGCTACTGCTATTACTACTACTACTTTCCTGGTTGTAGTAGCAGTCGTTGTCATTATTTACTTTGTTCGACAGCTGTTTGTCAATCTCGTATTTTCTGACGCGGGCAAGTCTTTGAGAAAAAATGCTTTCCATTAATTAATTATTTTCTTGCATTCGTTCATTCATTCATTCGTTCATTCATTCATTCATTCATTCTTTCTTTCGTTCATTAATTCATTCGTTCATTCAATCTTTTATCCGTCCACCACCAACCTTATGATATGCACGAGGTAGCAGTTAATAGCGATGATGATAGTGAGGGGCACCAGGTACAGAAAGAGCACATGCATACCGTCTGTGTACAGGTTATGGTACAAGGGCGTATTAAATGACGCTCTGTACGTAGAAAATACATACTGCTTGCAAGTTGGCGCTACAAAATTAAGTTGAGTTTCATCAGAGCTAAAAATAGCTTTGGAATTTTGGTCTGGGAGATCCCTGAGTGATGTATTTAAGATTTCCGGTTTTCCGATGCTGTTGCTGCCCTTTGTCTGGACTTTTGAGTTGGTTTCAGTTTCGATTTTGAGTTTTGACGATGATGACGGAAAAAAATCTGCGATGTTGTTGTCGTTGTTGTTGTATGGAATTAGTCGGCTAAAATTGCTGTCGTCGTCTTTATCGCTACTACTACTGCTTCTGCTACTGCTGCTATTGCTACTACTACTGCTACTATAATCAGCAGTTTTTTCATAATTTTCATTAACATCATCAGCCTTTTTATAAACACTATCATTATAAATGCCACCGTTACCCTCGTTCACACCATCACTATTGTTACTGTCATCATCATCATCATCGTCGTCATCATCATTATCATCAACATCGTCGTCGTCAATTTTTAAGATTTTGTTAGCGTTGAGGTTAGAATTAAAAAAAACTGTGCCATAAAAATTATTGTCATCATCATCAACAACAACAACATCATCATCAACAACAACAACATCATCATCAACAACAACAACATCATCATCAACAGCAACATTATCATCGCCATCATCAACAGCAACATCATCATCATCATCCTGTCGGCTGTGCGCGTTTAATATAGAACTATTCTCATCTCTGAATGAAAAAGCATCCCGTGACGTCATCGTCGAAGTGGACGCGTTTTGTTTTTCGAATTTATTATTATTATTATTAGTTGTAGTAGTGGTAGTAGTAGTAGTGTTTGTGGCAGTAGTAGTGGTAGTAGTAACAGTTTTGTTGTTATTGTTATTGTCGTAATCGTCGCTACTAATATTATAAATGTTGATGATGTTGTTGTTGTTGATGTTGTTGTTGTTGATGTTGTTGTTGTTGTTGTTGTTGTTGTTGTTGTAGATGTTGTCAAAATCATAGCTGATGGACTCGCTGCCTTTTATAGCATTGATCATTTTGTTATTGTTGTTATTACTTACATCAAACACACTAGTAAAATTACCAACTAAACTAATACTGCTACTACCAATACTACTACTATTACTACTACTACTACTACTGCTGCTGCTGTTGCTGCTACTACTACTACTGCTGCTGCTGCTGCTACTACTACTGTATGGCAAAACATTACATCTTTTAGGAATAATGAAAACTTTGCTTTCAAAATAATGTGGAAGGTTGAATGAGATGGACACGATGAATATGATGACGGAGAATCGGATTCGATTCTGCGAGTTGAAATAAATCAGTGCCTTCGCTTGCAGTCGAACCCAGGCAAATCGATCCACAGCCACTAGAACGGTCAGCCATATTATTGCCGTCTGGACGGTTTTCAGAGTAGGATAGATGAAAAGCTGTTGAGTGTCAGTGTGGTAATGATGGTGATGATGATGACTGAAATGGTGATGGTGATGATGACAATGCAGATTAATGAGGCGATTGTGATGAAGATAAAGAGAATAGGTATAGGCCCCATTTTTTCAAAAAAATAAAAATTTTTAATAATTTTTTAATGAAAACATTGACGCAAGATTTACAGAAATAATAATTAAGATAACAATTTGGACCTGCATATTATAGTAAATCCAATCAGACGATGATGACGTCATGAATATCGGTATCACATATCGAACCGGATACCGAAACATTGCCACAATTAGGTAGAGCAGATCGGCCAGTGCGAGAACCTGTAATAAAAATAGGGATGTCCGTCTTTGTTTGTCAGTTCTCAAAACCGCTATTGATAGGACGTTGCCGATTATGCCGAATATTATCAGCGGTCCAAACGCGTAGAGTTCGATTTGCTTGCTGTCTGTTGAGGTCATCGTCGTGCTGATGTTATTGTTATTATTGTTATTATTGTTGTTATTGTTGTTGTTGTTGAATTGAATTTTTTCATTAATTTTCAATCCAGTTTCCAAAAATTTTTTAGACGATTTTGTGTAAGTATACCTGGGTTTTAATGTGTGTGCATTAATAACATTATAATGTGTTCATGAATTCATTAATTCACCTATTCATTCATTCATTCACTCATTCGTTCATTCATTCGTTCATTCATTTATCCGTCAATCCATCCAGCAATATATTACCATCCAACCTTTCAAAATATTACATCCATGTAAACAAACTGCCAAAGATTTAACTTTCTATGTTTGCGAGCAATAAAAAGCCTTTTTATACAATGTACATCTGTATGTATAAAATGTATGTATGTATGTAAGTAAGTATGTATGTATGTATGTATGTATGTATGTATGTATGTATGTATGTATGTATGTATGTATGTATGTATGATGTGCATGCATTGTTTGAACTAATGTACTAAAGGTGTATTGGCGAATATTATTCAAGTCGCAGTATTGATGATGGAGATGAAGAGAACGCTGATGATGACGACGATGAAGATGAAGTTGACGAAGATGAAGATGACGACGACGATGATGATGACGATATTTCAGAAGCACCTACGTCCGTATATTCAAACAGCCGACCAGCCAGCAAGCGCGCATCGATCCGTGTCATATTGTAGTAGTAGTAGTTCTAGTAGTAGTGGTAGCTGTAGTAGTAGTAGTAGTAGTAGTCGTCGTCGTCGTTGGTAGTAGTAGTAATAATGAGTAGTGTGTTTTTACGATTTTGTCAAAAATTATATTTGTTTTCCAATAGAAAAGATGACGCTGATGATGATGATGACAACGATGTTGATGATGATGACGATGTTGTTGTTGATGATGGTGATGATGATGACGATGACGACAATGATTATGATGGTGAAAATTGCTCGCTAATTTCACAAAAAAACTCTCTAATAAATAAAACCCCAAGATAATAAAGATAAAAAATGTAAGAAAACAAAATAAATAACACGCCAATCCGATCAACAACATTCATTCCTTCATTCATTCAATCGTTCCTTCATTCATTCATTCGTTCATTCATTCTTTCTTTCTTTCATTCATTCATTCATTAATTCCTTTACTTTTCTTATTTAACTTTTCTCTGCGTTTCTTTTTTTCTCTGTCCCTTTCTTACTATCTCTCTCTCTCTCTCTCTCTTCTCTCTCTCTCTCTCTTTCTTTTCCTGCCCTATTTTTAATCCGTCCGTACAACTCCTCAGGCGCTCACGTGATTATTGTTGCAAGATGCATTCTCCTGATGACGTCATTCGGATGGAGCTGCTATTTATAGAAAGATGGATTGAAAAGAAGAATGAATGAAAAAAAGAGAAAGACAACAAATGAGGAAAAAGAGAGAGAGAAAGAGAGAAAGAGGAATGTTGTATCCTTTGTAATTTTTTGTCCCAGAGTCGTAAAAATATTCACTGTGTTGTTGTACATCTTCATGCTTGCAAGCATGTGATCATCCTTTACCTTGTTACAAATTTCAAACACAAGATTTTCCGTTCCTTCTTTCTCTCATTCATTTATTCATTATTCTTTCATTCCTTTAGTCACTCACTCGTTCATTTATTCATTTAGACATACGCATAGACAAACACACACACGGATACATAACACGAAACATTGTACGGTCTAAAATACATTTAGGATTACATATTTAAACTGCATAAACTAATTACCGGAAACTTCAATTTCCGGCAGCCTTGGGTCACGCAAAGGTCACGTGTCATTCTTTCATTGGTCGTTCGTTCTACTTTTCACTCATTCATTTACTCATCCAATCTTTCTTTCAACCACTCGTTCATTTGTTCATTCAGTTGTTTGTTTTTCTCTACTGGCCGAACACTATTCATTCAATCATCCAATTATTCACCCCTTATATATTCCTCACATTTCCTCTCTCTCTCTCTCTCTTTCTCTCTCTTTCTCTCTCATTCTCTCTCTCTCTCTCTCTCTCTCTCTCTATATATATATATATATATATATATATATTATATATATATATATATATATATTCATATTCATTCCTATCTTCGTCGTCGTCATCATCATCGCGAGCGATAGTATCAATACTATCGTTAACAGATCAATATTGTGTACAAATGTATGCAAACATCGATACATTCATATGTACGTACACCCATACGTATATGCGTACATGCACACCAACTTGGGTGTTCTGCTTGATGGCAAATCGTCAATGAAGGACCACTTCGAAGAAATGTGTGCCTCGAGTGTTCTCTACCTCAGAAGCCTGCATGGAGTCAAGGATGGAATCACCAGATAGATCAACATTGAACACTCTTGTCCAGGTCTTTATTACATCTCGTTTAGATTAGTGCAACAGCCTGTTTTACAAACTACCAGACACATGAATCACAATTCTTCAGTCAGTACAAAACATAGCTGCGAAACTTGCTATTGGTGGGTGGCCTATGATTTGATCATGCGACACCGATCTCGAACGAGGTTCACCCTCTGCCCATTAAATGAAAGAATAGTCTTCAAGATTAAAGTTTTTACGTTCAAATCATTGAATGGTACGTCACCAGAATATATGACGATTAAATTCGCCAAAAAACAAGCTACATCGACTTTTCATCTCACGTCGGGTGATTTTAAATTGCAATCTGCGTCAGTCACACGCTTCAAGAGACATCGTTTGGAGTAGTCTTACACAGGCGTTCAGAAGGTCTCTGGACTTTCATTGGAATCATTTAAGAAAGAATTGAAAACATTTTTATTTTCTGTTTTACTGTGAAAATTGTGACTTTTTTAATTTTTTTTTATTCATATGGTCAGGTACGTTTTCTTCTTTAATGTTAGTGCTAACCAATCGCTCTTAAAAATAATAATAATACATACATACATACACACACATACATGCATACACACACATACACACATACATACACACACATACATATACATACATACACACACATACATACATGCAGCCATTATCTTTATCATCGTTACCATCTTCATCTTATTGATCAGAATCTTAGTGTTCATCATCATCATCTCCATCCTCATCAAAGACAACAAAAACATCAGCATTAACTACATGGCAGTGAGTGGAAGAATTTTGTTTAATTCAATAGTTTTGGATTTGGAAAAATATTCAATTCATTCATTTATTAGTTTGTTCATTCATTCATTTGTTCCTTCGTTCGATTATTCAGTCAGTCACTCGTTCATTCGTTCGCATAATCGATTAATGTTCATTGTTCTTCTAGAACACTAAACAGCAGCAAACAGACAGACAAACAAACAACAACCACAAAAAACAAAAGCAAGTGAATGACAGGAAAACACTGCTATTGATTTGGGAATAATTTTTTTAAAACAACGAATCAAACCTAAAAATCAAATAAGTTGACAGTAAAAATTTAAATAGATTTTAATTTAATGGATCAATATGTATGTATGTTGGTAAATATGTGTTTGTATGTACGTACGTATGTAAGTATGTATGTATGTATGTGTTTGTATGTATTAGTGCATGTATGTATGCGTATATTACGAACATAAATACATTAAACACAAAAGAGAGTTTAAAATATGAAATGACTAAAGTCTGTTTTATAAAATGTTTATAAAATATGTACAGCTCATATAAAAACAGACATACATACACATACATACAAACAAACAAACCAGCATACATACATATATAGATAATAACGACAAATATACATGCAAAAATATAAATGTTAATACTGAATAAATACATAGCTTTATATACTATATAACACAAACACGTACATACAAACATACATGCATATATATATATATATATATATATATATATATATATATATATATATATATATATATATATATATATACACACACAATATAACACTTGAATACATACACATCAGCAAAGAAATTTTTTTGTGAACAGTTAATGTTAAAAACATTGGTTTATGAACTAAAACATGATAACTCTAAGGTATCAAAAATAAAATGTTTAACCAACCAATCAATCAATCAGTCAATCAATCAGTCAGTCAATCAATCAATCAATCAATCAACAAACCAATCAACCAACATACATTTCAATCAACCAATCACAATCATTCAGCAGGCTCGATCAACATGACAAGAGACATCAGGGAAATTCCAAATATAAGCATCAGCACTTTTAGCAGAGGGCTTGGCCTTTTTCTGTAGGTAAAAAACTCATGGGGCAGCAACTCGAAAAAAACTACGTATATGAAGGAACCACAGGCCAGGCCCTGGAGTGACCCTATTATCGCCCCCGCTGTTCCTTTGTTGAATGAGACCATCTCAATTCCTAACCTGGTTCAGGGTGAAAAGAAGTAAGATTAGTGAAGAATTTAATTAAGTAATGGACAATTTAGTGAAATAAGTGAACATTCTGTGAAATTATTCAAAGAGTATTTAAATTAGTGAAAAATTGTTGAAATTGGTGAATGTACATTTTTGCTGATATAGCTTCTATCTGTTGTGTTGAAATAATTAGTTTTAACTTATAACAAAATATTGTCATTCACTCGCAAACAAAAACATACAAACACACACGCAAGCACACGCGCACACAGACACAGATACACACACACAAACCAACTCACCCAACGACAGCGCCAACAGGAGAAGCTAAGCAAAACACCACCAGCGAGAAGAATTTAGTGCATGTGTTCAGTGCACTTTGTGACATATTCAAACCGAAACTGAAAGCAACAACACATTTGTGAATGGCTATAGCTATAAATAGCTGGAAAATTGAAGCTATTTTTGGCTCAAGCCCCAGAGCTAGCCCCTCAAAGATGGAGTGAACTGACAGGGCAATGGCCAACATGACATAACGAACGTTTGAGTGGGCGCGAGGATCGGTAGAAATTTCCGCCTGTTCGATTTCAGTTTCTTCTAATTCGGCCTGGTTTTCTATTTCTTCATCCAAAGTTGTCGTGGCTAACAAAGTCGTTTTTTCCGTCAGGTTTTCTGATTCTGAACTGTTCCTAGTTTGAGGATGTTGTCTGCTGACTTCCTGGTGGTCGTGGTGTTGATGCTGGGGTGAATGAAGGGAGAGAGATTGTGAGAAGCGATCTGAGAGCAATGGCTTGTCTTCGATGTCGATGTTGTCGTAGCCATCATTCACATTGACACTGATCATGTTATCGTCATTCGACGGATGAGAAGCAAAAGATGACGAGGCCAGATTGATGGTGCTATCATTGAGATCACTACGACGACGGTGATGATGGTGATGGTGGGGGTGGTGGTGTGGAGGGCGGAAGTCTTCATGATGATGTTGGAAAGAACCATCGAAATCTGCCACAACGAGTGGAAGAATGGTCGAAGCAGTTGACGACACCAAAGAATCAGGGCCACCATGATGATGGTGATGAACGAAAGGGTTCGAACTATCCTTCTTGAATAATGTGGCAATCTGGGAGTTGGAATTTAATCATGTGAAGTTAATAAGCAATAAACTTTTCAGTTGTTTATCAACTGCTGATTAACAACATGACCAACAAGCAATAAACAAATCATGAAAAAAAATCCCCAAAAACCAACCTGTTCGAGAATCATCAACAACAGAAATCCGACCACAACACAGAACTGTGCAAGGGGGAAATTGATGTCGATCCTGTAGTCAGTCACAAACTGTTCTATGTTCTCCTCCACTTCTGGCAACAAGTCTAGCAGGCAGACCCCAAGGAATACACCGGATGCAAAGCAGTTCATTAGGCTGACGGAATTTTTACGAAATCTTCTTTTTCGGCGGCGTTTTTTAAACTCTTCCCTGTAAGAAATTATGAATTAAATCAGGTGCGAAACAAAATTTAATGATTAAATAAAAAAAATTACAAATAAATTCATATAAAAAATTAAATAATACTTTTAAAACAATTAAAATTCAAATTGCTAAACTTTAAAAAACTAAGAAATTATTAATAAAATTATTTGAAAAACCTGGTCAACGGCAGTGCAACTCTATCGAATTTATTTGACAAAAAAATGACAACTTGGGGCAAGAAGCAAAAAATAGTAGTGATGACGAAGAGGGCGATCAGGATGATGATCTTGATGTTTCGCGTGCCGAATTCCGTCAGGGCTTTCGCTGCCTCAACCACCATTGTTATCACTTATTTTTTTTTTACACAATAAAAGTAAAACTATCAAAACTTATCGTTTTAAATTTGGTAAATCCAACTTCAAAAATATAAATTTTAATACAAATAAAACGATAAAATAGATTTTAATTTCGGTGTCACTTAGCAGGCAAGATGAAATCGGACACTATAATACAAAAGATTTCAAACCGCACACATATGATTTTGTCACATGATGTTATTTTGGTTTTTTTTGGGTTAAAAGTTAATCTACGATAACTTTTAATGGATATATTTTGTGGAGTTTAATTTTTAGAATTTGCATTATGCTTACCTTGATGGATATCATCATTTGATCAATTCTACTTTATGTATTTTAATCACTGATATGTGTATTCATACATGTGATTTACGATCAGATAGAAATTTCATTAATTAAAATTTCTAATAAAACATATTTCAAAGGTTAAAATAGCAAGAAAATCAATTAATATCAATCAATAACACAGTAAACCAATAGATACAAATTTATGATGTAACTTACACAAACACATAAACATATATTTTATATATATATATAAGGGACAAAATATAAATGATTGAATCGATCATTAACAACCAACGATTCCATTGCGATTTGTGAGCAGTTTGTAGAAAAACTGTTAAAAAACATGTTAAAAAACTACACACACATACATACAGATGCAAAAACACACAGAGAGACACGTACACATGCATACAAAACATTCTTTACAAATCCATCAGCCAACAGACAACAATTTATTGTAACTCTGGATTGTCGTTTTTATCATTAACTTGGCTTGTTCGTATTTTTTAAACGGACCTGCATTCAAAAATGTTGCACTATTGTATTGCTTATCCAAGTTTTCAAGTAAGTCTCGCCTTTCCCGATATTTTTTCTTCAATAATTTGATCTCTTCGTCCAAATTTTTTATGCTTGCCTCTGTTTCAACGCTGCCTTGTGCTGCTTTTGTCAAGAAACATTGAGGTATATGTTACGAAAGAATGATGTACTTATAGAAATTATTAAAATGAGTTGTTACGAGTAAATTATATTGCAAAAATTAAAATATGTGATATAGTTGTGGAAGTGAAAATATAAAACAAACGTACATTTTTTAGAATTCAGATTCGACTCTTGGGCGTTGGCGAAAGTGGCAGATGATTTCAGCAGGTTATTCAGAGCTCCAGCTTTTTTTAAGTTAACGCAACCATTACAAGATACATTACCAGATACATTACCAGTAGGGGTACCAGCACTACTACTGCAGTTACAATCAATTCCAGATACGCATTGCCTCAAATCGGAAATGGCTTTTTCTGTCATTTCGAGATGGGCTTGGTATCGTTTCGTTACCGAATCTTTTTTATGGTCCGTGTAAGTTTTACTGAGCTCTTCAAGTATTCTCGTTACGTTGTTTAGGTTAACGATGAGATTGTCCCGTTCTGTGGTTAGTCTTTTTTGTTCAGTGATTTGGCTGTTGGCTGCTGGGATTGACTTGCTGTTTGTTAGTTTGCCTGTTTGTTGGGTGTTTATCGATTTTGAAAAAATTATTATTACTATCGTTATATTAATAATAATAAATTATATTATTGTCTATAATATCGTAATGATCATCAATATCATCCTCATTGTAAAAACCAAATCAAGAAAGTTTCGATGGAAATCATCGGTTTCATTTCCAAGTCCTTCCGTTAATTCCTATATTCTCTCATTCTTTTATTTCTCCATTCTTACATTCTGTTACAGTTCATTTATTTTTCTTTCGTTTCATTTGTTTTTTCTTTGTTCATATATTCATTGCTGGCTGGTATACTTTTTAAAATCTTCATGCATTCAATCGTTTGTTCGTTCGGTCATTCATTCATCCATTCATTTGAATTCAAATGTACAATCATCTTCCTTCATTATTCATCACCATCGTCATCATCAGCATTATTATCATTATAAATATTTAATTATTATACAAACAAGGCAAATGACATACGTAGCCTACCTAAAGCTTTCAACATTCTTCCAACGCTATTAAACCATTTTAAATGAAAAATTTTAGCGACAAATTAATCAAATAATATTAGATAGAACATTAAACGAAATTATACTATAAAATATAAGTGAAATAACTATTACTACTAATACTAAATGAGTAAATATGTTATAGCAATGTTTTTGTTTACATGATTACCAAGAGTTTACAAGCAAATAAACGCTTTGCATATAAACACACACACACGCGCATGCTTACAGACAGACATACATATATACATACATACATATATAGTAATCATTTATGTCGTCACTCATTCGTTGATTCATTACATATGCAACTTGTACAAGCAATTGAATAGCTAAGGTGCAAAAAGAGATGCACAATGTGATAAAGATGTGATGTGATAAAACCGATATCCAGAGAAACGAGTTCGTAACCGATTACATTATATTGGCATCGATTATATTATGAAATAAGTTTATAACCGATTGTAACATACATGTGTGTAACCGACACATACATATTACCATTATGTGTTTACAAGTACATGTAAAATATTCTACATGTACGTAAAATTTGTTAATGTATTACCGTATTTAACACTCACTGACTCAGTACCGATCGATTATTTACGGATATTATTAGTTACATTTCGATTTTTACAAAGTTACTAAATGATAAATCATGAATAATTGAACTCTGATCATTATCGTTTTTAAACCGTTACTATAAAACATTTAAGATTACATTTTTAAATAAAAAATAAATAACAAAAAAATAAAATATATACTACTCCAATGTATGAAAAATAAAATATATATTATCATCCTGATATCACTGACAGATACAGTGGGTTTCTAACAGTACCATCAATCAAATTACCTTGAAAATACTTCCAACATCAATTTAATTTGGCAGACAAAATAGGTTTATAAAAGTACCATCTCCATCTAATTAACATAAATCACTCTAACATCAATCTAATTTGCAGAGAAAGAGAGAGAGAGAGTATATATAAGAACCTAAAAGAACCACCCATCAACCAATATAAAAGGATCTGAACTACATACATCTAAACTGCAGTTAGGTATTTGTAGTTTATAGGAATGTAACATCATTCTATTGGGTGATGTATCAGTTCCATCTGAGTAAGTGAAGTCGCCTAAAATTGAGTGGCCGATGCTCTGGCAGTGTACTCTTAACTGGTGTCTACGACCTTAAAGATTAATTAATAATTTTTTATTATATATATTTTATGGTTCAAATTAATAATTAGTATAACTATAAATAAAAAAATGTTAATAAAATTAACAATTTTAAACATTTTTAATTAAAAATTCATTTTTAATCATACTACAACAACAATATACACCTGTTCTTAATGTCAGTAAAACTTTTGAAATAGGCTCTGACTTTCCATAGTAACCCAATTCCAATAATTTTAGAGATGTGACTGCTTTTTTAGGATTAGTGCAAAAAGGGGATGTGCTAATACACATTTTGTGGTTGCTGTTGGCCGTCGTAGAATCCTCTCCTATTGCAATGTCTATTTCTATTTCAGGTTTGGTCACATGACCACGCAACTAAAAACAAAAATTATATTTGTTTAATTTAATTGAGGAAGAAAATGAATGAACAACATATAAAAAAATAAATTCAAGTAAAATTAAAAAGTGAACAATTTAAATGTTAAAACAAGAAAAAATTTAAATTTAAAAGTAAAACTAATTGAACATTAACTAAAGCCAAATATTGTTTAGTGACAGAGCGCTGTTGAAATGATTTTGAAGCTTTCATTGCAGCCTGCTTGTTGAGAGCCACACACAAACAACCACTGGTTGCATAGTCGAGTCTGTGGACAAATCTGATATTTTGTGATTCAGTTTTTTTATGGATTTTATAATGATGTCTATATATTTATATAAAAACTAATTGTAAAGATTTAGCTAATTAGGAAAACAGTTATTTGGAATGTAAATTTAAGGTTGAAAATTCTAAAAAAATCACTTATTAGATAAATAGTAAACAAACAAACAAATAAACCAAAAATTTAATTTATTAATTCAATATCTGCAATTCATAATTAAATAAAAATAAAAAGTTTGATATTTTTATGATTTTTTTATATTTACAAACTTATTACAACCGAAATCCATAAGATAAAGCCTTGTCGACTTTCTCAGGAAACATGTCGGCCAGCATGGTGGCGGCAGTGACATCTGACGAATCATCGCTATTAATTTTGAGGTCCGGTAGCTTGTCAATTATGATGAAATCATTACAAACATGTAAAACTGGCAGACGTGATAGCGAATGTTGGGGACTGGTGTTGTTGTTTGTTTCAGTCATTTGCTAAGACTAAAAAAATTATATAAATATATAAATTATATAAATAAATATAATTAGCGTTAAAATAAAACATCTCAGAAGACTTTTGTACAGTTTTAAATTTGCTTTTAACTTCATAACAAAAACTAAAAGTGAAACAATTTTAAAACATTTAAGCAGTAAAATGCAGTCTACTGAAATGCCAAACTTCAACAAAAAAATTTAACAAAAAATTGATCAAACTAAATTCCAACATATAAATACTATTATACCGTTTAATAAAAAAACTTTTTTCTATAATAATAACTCATCTTTGAAAATAAAATTCACGATTTTTAACAAGAATAACCACGAAAGTTTACATTAAAAATTAAACCCTATAAAATCGATAATGCCGTTGCTGTTATTAGTATTAATCATGGATATATCCATGGTATTAATCTCATTGTTGATACTTTAATTATTATTATTACATTTATTATTATTATTCATATTATTTATTCAAATAACCATAACAAAGGATCATAAGAAATAACATCAACAACTACAACAACAATAACAATATGTCATTCATACGTGTGAAACAATTTCATCACCTAAAAATACACACACAATTAAACACACACGCAACAAAACACACAAACACAAACTATGAACTAAAAATAACCCACCGGAAAATCCCAGTTTTCTATTTCCAAAAAATGATGTTTCTTTGTGGCTGGGGAAAAACGTAAAATGCCGTCTATAAATAGCTCCTTATACACACTTACAAACACAAATACGTATATACTTATATATAAGGAATTATATATATAATATATATATATATATATATATATATATATATATTATCACATTTTGATTTATTTACATGTTAATTATTATTCAGTGTAAAAAAAACTTTTTCAATTTGAATAATAAATATTGAAATAAGTACGATATAAATGACACACACACACACACACACACACACACACACACACACACACACACACACACACACACACACACACACACACACCACACACACACACACACACACAGACATACACACAAACACACACAGACATACACACAAACACACACAGACATACACACACTCACATAGATACACGCACACACACGCATATTTGAATGCATATATTTGGTGATATATTGCTGATATTGCGTAAGTATATATGGTACTGAGTTTATACATGTGCATACATACATACATACATACATACAACATACATACATACATACGTACATACATACATACATACATACATACATACATACATACATACATACATACATACATACATACATACATACATACATACATACACGATCATTTAATTGGGTGAAGATTCATCATTGCGTTAAAAGTTTACAGTGTATTAAAATTTAAGCGCATCATTACCACTACCACTACTACTACTACTACTACTACTACTACTACTACTGCTACTACTACTACTACTACTACTACTACTACTACTACTACTAATGCTGCTGCTGCTACTCCTACAACAGCAACAACAACAACTACTACTAATAACAATATTACTAAATAATTCTATTAGTAAACAACAACAATAATAGTAATAACAATAATAATACCATTATATTGTTAACGGTTTATTCATTGAACAAATATTTTGCTTGGTGTTGTTATCTGGATCCCACCTATGGCTTATATAGTTTCATATGGAATGTGGATTGCATGTCGTAAAAATCGTCAATATTAAAAGTTAGTTGTTGTTGTTGATGTTGTTGTTATAGTTGTTACTGCTATTAACATTGTTGCTGTTGCTGTTGTTGATGTTGCTGTTGATGCTGTTGTTGTTGTTGTTGTTGTTGTTGGATTCTGATCTTGAAGCTATTAACCATCAGACATCGAAAAAGCATTGAATTAACATTACTATTTTGAAATTACCAATTTTACAACTACTACTACTACTACTACTACTACTACTACTACTACTACTACTACTACTACTACTGCTACTACTACTACCACTTCATAATAATAATAATAATAATTATAATAATAATAATAATAATAATAAACAGTAACAACTTTAATTATAATGGCAATTACAACAATGGCCATCATTCACGACGCAGCGATAACATTAAGTAGCCTTTTAATGTTAAGTATGTTAAGTATGATTAAATCCAGGTTAAATAATAATAATATTAATAATAATAGTAATAGTAGTAGTAATGTGAACATATTTTATTTATCCAATCGACACAATGAAACTATAACATATTAAGATAATAAATTGTAACTAAAATGTTAAAATGAATAGAATAAAAAATAATCAATAGAATAAAATAATCAAATGTACGATCCACCCATCCTCATTGCCAATGGCAAGTGCATGGGTGTAAGTTATATTTTAAATAGCATTAGGCAACGTTTCTGTCACAAAAAATTCCATATGACGAGCTGATAACACTGTTTATTAATTTAAGGTTAAACGGTATTGACCATGTAAATTTAAATATTGATAGATTAAAATTATTACATAAACCAATTGGCGACAATTCAAATGTATTAATTATTATAGAACATAATAATAATTATAATAATAATAATAATAAATTGTTATTGTTGTTGTTGGCATGAATTATTGCTGTTTTAAAAAGCACAAGAGCGTTCAGTGTTTTTAGCAATATGAATGGTTGTGTTGTAGACGCGGTTATGTTATTATTATCACCAATGAATATGGCTTAATGCAGGTTATATTGATTGCTACTTTTTCTTTCTCTCTCTCTCTCTTTCTCTCTCTCTCTCTCTCTCTCTTCCCCCCTCTCTCTCTTTCCTTCCTTCTCTTTTATTTCATTCTCCATCACTCACTCTATCTATCTGTCTATATATAACAATTAATACGCCATTCATCCAGCGTCTTATTTGTAGCGTTTATATATCTGCCCCTTCCTTCATTCTCTCTCTCTCTCTCTCTCTCTCTCTCTCTTCCTCTTTCTCTCTCTCACTCTCCGAATTTAAGTTTGAAACAATTTGTAAGTACGATGATAAAGAACAAATAGATAAATTAATTAATGACGACGACGACGACAATAACGATAGTGAAGTTGCGGCTACTGCTATTGACGACGGTGACGACGATGATGGTATGGTGATTTATTGGATGATGGTGGTGGTTATATTTGTGAAGTGCGTGCTAGCAATGGAGGGTTTTTATTTTTGTATTATTCTGTTGTGTTTTGTTCTGAGAAAGAAAGAAAGGGAGAGAGAGAAAGAGAGCTAGAGAGAGAGAGAGAGAGAGAGAAAGAGAGAGAGAGAGATACAAAATTTAAAAGCACACCCACTCACCGCACAGGGCATAACAAGGACAATAAATATAATAAATAGAACATGCACACACACACGCGCATATATATATACATATTCATATATTTAAATAACAAGTGGGTTATTTATTTTTAGATCACTGGTTTTTCCATGGTTCGCACTATCGCAATGTTTTTTTCGGATTTTCTGACAAATGAGATGTCTGTTTAAATGTTTTGAATGTCTGTATACATACATATATATATATATATATATATATATATATATATATATATATATATATATATATATATGTATATATATATATGTATATATGTATGATGCACATATATATAGTCGAGTTTTTCGTGCTTGCATTTGAAAGGGTTATGATTTTTTGACTTGATTATATTAATTTATTGTTGTACCGGTGGTAAAATCCGATGATTAACATGTTTGTATGCTTTAAAATTTACATAATTTATGCTGTAAAAGTTATGAATAAATTAATATAGAATTAGTTATCATATGTTAATAAATTAGGCTGGGCGAGGATTGATTCGCCTATGTATGATATTAAAGGTTTTATAAATTAATTAATTTCAATTGCTTCAATTATGAAAAAATAACAACAACGACAACAACAACATCAACAAAAACAACAATATCAACAGTAATGATAACATTAGAAATAATAACAACAACAGAACATGTAAGCGAACACAAATCAAATTTTTAAACTGTCATATCTTGGGATAAAAATTATTTTAATATATTGCTGTCATTATCGCAATTATTATTAATAATATTAGTAGCAGTAGTAGTGTAGTGGTAGTAGTAGTAGTAGTAGTAGTAGTCGAAGTAGTAGTAGTAGTAGTAGTAGTAGTAGTAGTAGTAGTAGTAGTAGTGGTAGTAATAGTAGTAGTAGTCGAAGAAGCAGTAATGTTTTAAAATTTTTGTCTTCTGATATAAATGGTTTAAAAATTTAGCCTATCGTATTCGTTGAAAAAATTGATGTATCGAAAAATCAATAATAACTACAACAACAACAATAATAAATAATATTAATCATAATTATAATTATATATACATAAATCAAAACGCTTTTTTCAGGTAACAGCTGGTTGATATATGACATCAGTGTAACATAGCAAAAAGTATACTGATTGTTAATTAAACAACAACAACAACAACATTATCATCAACAACAACATCATTATCAACATCATCATCATCATTGTTATCATTGTTATTGTTAAAAAAAATAGTCAACAACAACCAACAACAACGACAACATAAATTTTCACTTTCCGAAAGACTAACTCACAGTGAAACAACTTCGGAACGTCTCCCCAAAAAAGACACCAAATAAACCAACAAGAGACACCAAAAAAAGGCACCAAATAAACCAACCAACACCTAACAAATGTCTCCTAACCCAAAAAAACTGCGCCTACGTGATTGGCTAATCCAGCAAGCCAATAAGAACGAGGGAGCGTCATACTATGACGACAGAGATAGAAATCTTATTAAAATTCCTTGGGTGCACGGATCGAAGAAACATTGGGACTCTAACGTTCACTGCCGGATCTTTAAGCTGTGGGCTGAGTATTCCGGTCGGTTTATTGTTATTATTATTATTAAGTTATTATTATTATTATTATTTATTAATTTTATTCGGTCTGACCCTTTTCATAGAAGTTTAATTAATTTCGTAGTATCGTCCGTCATCTTACGCAATTTATTGTGATAGGAACACGGTTTGAAGATAATTTAATGCTGATTCTATAATATTTCTCTTTGTGCCCATTTAAAATGTATGGCGAGCATTGTAGAATATCTATATGATTTTACATTATAAGTTTTATTATTTTAACTTTATTATAATTACAATGTACGTTTTAAGATGAAAATAAGATGATGTTTCCATTATTTGACGTTAATTAAAAATTCATGGCCGATTTCATTTATTAATTAATTAAAAGACTCTGTAATTAGATCGACCTATGCCATTTATTGTGATAGGAACACTTCATAACCAATTTGAATACATCACCGCTTTGCACTTGTCCTAGACAATGAGCATTGTGCTTTTTATTGAATATAATTACATTCTAAATTACATTTTTCTTTCATTTTAACGACTTTGGTTGAAAATGAAATAGTTTCCAGTATTGTTGTTGTTTATTGCTGTTGTTGTTGCTATCAAAGATGACGACGAAGACGTTGATGATGATGAATGATGATGATGGTGATGATGATGATGTTTTAAATGATCAGGCAACAGCAAAAAAGATCCAAAAATATGGAAATCCAACTTCCGCTGCGCCCTCAATAGTTTGAGTGACGTCAAAGAGGTGAAAGAGTTGAGCCGAATTCAAAATGGCGTCGAAGGCTACAAAGTTTACAAAATCATAAAAGGTAGGAAAAGTAGTAACCATAATAATAATAATAATAATGCGTAAAGTCAATAATTAGTTAATTAATAGAGAATAGTCATGATTAAAATAAAATTAAATTAAAATAAAATTTAAATAAAATCAAAATCATCATAGTTAGTCATCATAGTCAGTCAACTTTTTAATAATAATAATAATAATAACAATAAAAATAATAATAATAAAGTTTAAATAAATATATAATTAATTATCTTTGACACGCAGAAAAGTACAAAACGTTGAAAAAATACCAAAGAAAATATGGATCATCACCATCGTCATCATCATCATCGTCTTCATCATCATCATTATCGTCATCATCATCGTCATCATCATCATCATCGTCGTCGTCACTTATGACGTCATCGTTGCCGTTTTGGCCGGTGGTATCTTCCCATTTTCCATCGCCTCCTATCTCTCCAGGTTAGGTCATTATTATTATTATTATTATTGTTGTAATTATTGTTGTTGTTGTTTTTATTATTGTTATTGTTGTTGTTGCTATAATAGTCATTGCTGTCCTTATTACAGATCAAACCACGCAACAAAAACAACAACAAGAAGATATTTTATTGGATACGTGTTCCACACTTATCAACAACAACAACATCAACAACAACAACAACATAGGCATAGACAACTTCGACAGCATAGACATCGATGACGTATACCATGACATCATCACAATGAAACCTGGCGACTATGTTGATATACAAAACATCATCAACAACAACATCAACAACAACATCAACAACAACATCAACAACATCAACAACAACAACGATGACACCACCATCGACGATACTGATAATGATCTTGAATTTTACGGAAAATACATTCAAATAATCCCAGAAAAATTATATTATAGTCATAACAACAACAACAACAACAATAAATGTTTTCTAAACGACCATGAGAACATTTACTTCAATGGCGACATTGTTAATGATGTAGATTTTCTAACCAATATAATTAATAATAATAATATCAACAACAACAATAATAATGGTAATCAAATTATAATTAATATTAGCAATATTAATTATAATATTCCATCACACGTCTTAGAAGTCAGTGTAGATGATATAGTTAAGCCGGTGGTTTATAAGAAGAAAAACAAAGTCAAATGATAATAATAATAATAACTAACAATTAATGATAATGATAATAATAATAACAATAATTAACAATTAATAATAATAATAAATTTGTTTTTTATTATTGTTACTATTTTGTAATGAAATATTTTTGACTCATTGATGACTGACTGATTCCAATGTGTGATGATTTGTTGACTTTATTTTCATCATTCATTCATTTGTTCCAACGATGAATCAATTTTGCTTTTAAACGAACGGTTTCACACACACACACACAGACACACACACGTACACACACACACACACACGTGCACACTTACTAATATTTACAATAATATTTTTGAAAGAATTAATGTTGCGGATGGTGATAAAACATTTTATTCCATTAAAACACTATCTATCCGTAATAAATATTAAAAGTTCAATAAATCAGATCAAATAAATAAAACTATTAAAAGATCAATTAAATAATTAACCAATTAATCAATCACTTGACTTAATAATAATAATAAGCGACTGTTTCTCCAAATAAAATAAAAACTTCAAAATTGAAATATAGCTCGTCCGTACAAAATCAAATCACATAATTAAATGAGTAAGCATTTTTTCGTCTTCTTTAGAACCATCTCATCAGTTTCTATGTCGGTTTCTATTAGCAGTTTGTTTAACGGGATTTCTTTTAGCTGGACGTCTAGATATTCTCGCAAACCCCATGGATGTCGTTAGCTGTCTGTCTCTCTCTCTCACACACACACAGGCTGCAGATTAGTTTGTTGCCGTCATATGTTGTACATATTCTTGGTGTTTTTAAGAACCTCTTGTAGCACCTCATCCAGAGGACATTGCTTGATCTTGGCCACCATCACTGCTACTGTAATCGCCATGCCAGGATGGGATTGCTGCATGTTGCAGTGAGACATCTAGATGGAGAGCATGAAAAATATCTTTTAATATTAAATCATAATAGGATGTAAATTACTACTAATCTACTAAAAACAATACTACATCTAAATGTAACTGAAAGATAGTTATAGCTTCAAAATACTTACCATCTGAGGAACAAAATATGGAGCGTCGGTTTCTATTAGCAGTTTGTTTAACGGGATTTCTTTTATGACAGCTCTCAAAGTCGGGTATTTCCTAAAATTAGTGACAGCCGGAGTGAGGCCGATGTAGCTGCTGGGGAAAATGTTCAGCCAATTTTTGGCTTCCTCAGCCGTTCCAGTGAAGCAGTGTCTATGAATTTTAAATGGCTGGCAGCAGGCTTTATACATAACATCGATCGTATCTTCCTCTGCATCTCTACTGTGTATCACCATCGGCCGGTTGTTCATCATCGCGATATCAATCAGCTCGCTGAAGACTTCTTTCTGTCTGTCTTTGCTATTTCGAAAGCATAATTGTGAGTAGTCGAGGCCCATCTCGCCTACCGCCTTAATTCTCTTGTCCGATAGCAAATAACGCAACCTCTGACTCTTGAATTTGTTAAATGAAAATGCATCTTTCGGGTGGCAGCCAATTGTTGGCCACACGTTGCCTAACTTTAGCAGAGGCTCCAAAACGTCACGAGAAAAATTTGGACTCGACCATTCGTTAGGGTAACAGAACACTGCCACACAACCCGCATAATTTTTAGCGAAGGTTCCTTTATTGGTTTTCACAAAGTCAGCAAAATTTGTAAAGTTTTCGATTCTTTTTGACATGAGGTCTATATGGCAATGTGAATCTATGAAAGGTGTCGTGCTCAGCTCGAGGTTCTTGAAGTTGCTTTCTGCTGTTGTTCTGTCCTTTTCAGTAGCAAACAGTGCTTTTTTCATTAGGTAATTTCGAGGTCTTTGGTCAGAGTTTTGGGCTGTTGGTATGAAATTCGAAGATGCTGCTGATGGTTTCTTGCTAAGGTTTTCATTTGATCTCCTAGAATCAGAATTATTGCTGCCACTGTTGTAACTTCTCCTCATCGCTTCATAATCATCGTCGTCGTCATCATAGTAGTCGTCGCTTATATTTTTCTGTCTGTTCCTACTACTACTACTACTTTTATCATAATCTTCGTCGTCATAATTTCTGCTGTTTCTGTAATGCCTTCTGTTGTCCCCGCTTCTGCTATTGTATCCCACATCCTCCTCATTGTTTCTGTTGTATCTTCTGTTGCTGATACTACTTCTACCATCATCATCATCGTCATAGTTTCTGTATTTGTTTTTGTATTGTGTGTTTTTGCCAATACTTTTGCTACTGTAATCCATATCATCACAGCTGTTTCTATTGTATCTTCTACTGCTACCACTATTGTTGTTGTCATTTTTATCACTGAAACCACCATCATCATCATCTTCATCATCATCATAATTTCTATAGCCTTTGTATTGCCTATTGTGGTCACTTCCTCTGTTATTGTAATCCACATTGTCATCGTAGTTATTTCTTTTGTTGTATCTCCTGATACTATAGCAATCCTCGTCTTCATCATCATAGTTTCTGCTGCTGTTGTATTGTCTTCCACCACTACTGTTGTTTCTATTGTTGGGTTTGTCGTTGTAATTATTGCTTCTGCAGCTATCTTGCTTGTTATCAAAACTATTTAGGTTGAATCCAGGTAGGTACCTAATGTCCTGACAAATGAAAATCTTTTTTTTATTGGTTTTTTGGTCTGATGTTATGGTGTTGTTGTCTTTGTTGTTGTTGACATTACTGTTGTTGAGGTCTGCAAGTTTGTTGACTGGCTGTGCTTTGTCATCTTTCATTTGATTCTTATCATCTGGAATATTCACTTCATGTCTTCCACCACTTCTATTGTTGTTGTCGTTGTAATCTTTTTCATCATCACACCTGTTGTTAAACTTTCTATTACTGTTTCTGTCACCACAATTGTTGTCATTTCCACTCATCTTTCTACATTCTTCATCTCTTGTGTGCTTATTGTTAGTAGCATTATTGCTTCTGCAGCTATCTTGCTTGTTATCAAAACTATTTAGGTTGAATCCAGGTAGGTACCTTATGTCCTGACAAATGAAAATCTTTTTTTTATTGGTTTTTTGGTCTGATGTGATGGTGTTGCTGGTTGTAGTGTCTTTGTTGTTGTTGACATTACTGTTGTTGAGGTCTGCAAGTTTGTTGACTGGCTGTACCTTGTCATCTTTCATTTGATTCTTATCATCTGGAATATTCACTTTATGTCTATCATCGTCATTATCCTGACAAGCAGATGAATGATCAGTATCCTCCTTGCTAAACCCGGCTTCCTTCACGTTCACATCAACGACATATGACGTCTGTATATTGACAGGGGAGTCTTCTTCACTTAACCCCACCTCTTCTAAATCCATTAATGAAGCCCACGACCTCAATTTCTTTGCCGGAGCTTCTTCTTTGTCATTACCAATCAGTTTTCTCTTTTCCATTGCCACGGTTGCAAAATTAGCATCTACTACACCTACTGCAACAAGTGCATGTGATGTTACTGATACCGGCGTATTATAAACCTCCGAATCGCTTTTTAATTCCAGTTTTTCGGTTAAATTTTTGTTGTCCATAGTTGAACTCAAACTAGGCAGTACTTGGGCCGACAAATCTGGCAATGAAGTCAACGTGTTTACGTTAATTTTGTTGCTTCTCTCATCCGAATTTGTAATAATCGAATTCACTTTTAAATTCTCTAAACCATCGCCTTGGTTACAGTTGGCGTCAATTTTTGAATTTAAAGTTCCAATCTCCGAACTCGTACTAGCATTAGTTGCCGGATTTTCGAGACCATCGACTACAATTTTATCATTGTTTGGCTTGGTTTTGTTATCCTTGTTACGATCTTTCTTGCAGTCATTCAACGCCAGCGCGAATAACCTGTTGGACAGCATCGCTACTCTTCTCCTGCTGCTATTGTTAGTAGTAGCATTATCAACTTTATTGATTTTGTTGTCCATTTTTTATTTCTATATTTAAATAAAATTGCAAACTACTTAAATATAAATACGTTTTCGTATTGATGATCGACGATTACCAATAAGATGATTGGTGATTTATTAGTATAGTTGATGATCTATCAGTAAACCTCGAAATCTAGAACACTGACGGCTAGAACTGGAGACACATTGATCGAAAACTGACTCATGCAATAGGCCATCTCAAATTTGGCTCACTTATATACCCTTTTAATACAAAGAAACCTAATATTCACACCATAGATTGGAATAGTAAACTGAAGTAATAAATATAACAAAGAATATTTTACAATTTAACATCTAATTGTAATCATTGATCCTCAATTATTCCATTTCGTTAATTATTATTTATTAACCCTTATTAAATAAGTTACTACACAAAATTAATTGGCCTAATTCACTTTGGTCGTAATCGTAAAGGGATAATAAAATTTTACCAGGTTAAATTATATTAAATTATAACTTTTCATTACCATGTTTGCAGTTGTAAAATTTTACGACTCTTTTACGATTGTAAAACTCAACTTTGAGTTTTACGATTTTACGATTGTAAAACTCAAAGGAAAATTCTGTGGTACATTGGTCATTGATTTTCAAAAATTTAAATTGAAAATAACTAAAGAAATCATTTATTTTGTTTTAAAAACCATTTAAAAACACATCTGCGAAAGAGTTTAATTTTACAGTTCCATATATTCCAATAGTTACAAACTAAATATACAGTATAAGCTAATGAACAAAGAAAAATTCCCTGTTGGTGACTTTCAAAAAGGAGTAGAATAATTTTTAAACACTAACACCTTCATGACGATTTTAACATACACACCCAAACAAACATACGCACGCATGCACACACACGTAAGCGGGGCCTAGCTCAATTTGATCAGTGAAGATGACGAAGAATTGATGCCGGGATTTGAATTATTGGCAGTAGCAGCAGTGTCCAAACTTATTGGCTGCTGTATCATCAGGCCGCCATTTTTCTCTTTCTCCTTCCTTTTCTTCTTCTCTTTTTTCCTTTTCTTCCGTTCCTCATCTGTTTTTTTATTCTTTTTAATCTTTTTGTATTCAGAACCAGAGCCACCATCTAGATTGTTGCCTGAACATGTTTTTTAGTGAAAACTTAAAAAAAAAAATGATTTTTAATATTTGAGAGTAACATAATAATTGAGCAAAATGAAATTTGTAACAAAACTATCAACATCAATTTATGTCAATATGAATATCTAGTTTATATTTTATTCACCATACAGAGTGCAGCTCTTTATGTAAATCTACAAGAAATGAACGTGTCAAAGTTGAACAGGGATGTGACTGGACCCCTAAAGATAGGTGAAAGTCTAAAAAGAGAGATGTACCAACCTTGACTTTCAGGGATGCCAGTTTCTTTTCCCTCTCTTTTGCTCTTTTTATGCTTTTTCCTTGGTTGGACAGCCTGGTGCATCAGTCGGTACTGCTCTGGAAGCTGATAAAATTAACATAATTTATAGATAGTTTATACAATTTGTGTTGATTTATTCATAAATCTATTTATTCATAAATCTATTTATTCATACAGTTATTTATTTATTTATTAACAATTTTATTCACTGACGTATGGATAATGAAAATGAAAATTTTTTTATTAAATTAATTTGAGAGAGTCATATTTAAATTTGTATTCTAACAGGTCCGGAATAGAGTTTGAATCCCTTCAATGCATTCCCCGATAAAGGAATTAATTCTTTTCCGACTATTGGCGGTTTTTCCATCAATAATCTCAAAGAACTAAATTTTATGAAAAAATATTAATTAACCGATAAATTAACTAAATAAATGAGATGGTTTCATTTATTAAATTAATTTTATTATTACAGATTACACTTATAATTTTGAGTAATATAAATAATTATTTATATCAATAATATAATTTAAAATAAATTTAAAAATTAGTGTTGTTACCTATTATCAACAGACCCAGGCTGATCGATGTTACCAGGTAAATTAGGTAGAAAAGCACTGAGCTCTTCTTTAACCTTTCGACTACTGAACTTGTTATAAGAATGTTCTAGACCATGATATGCCATTAGATTAGTTAGGCCGGTTAGGTCACTGGGTTCTGGTGAAAACATTATTGTAAATTATGCATGAGTTAAACATCATCTATTCAAATATTATTTAATTATCTAAACAGTTTTTTCAAGATTTATGAGGAAGAAGTTAATTTTAAAATTTCTTACTTAAAAAATTAAAATAATAAAACATTTGAAAACCAAACACGAACCTGGTGGATCTCTCATGAGATAGAATGTACCACCCTGAAACACGGACGGCTTCTTACCTAACGTGATCGTGGTCTTCAACGTTCCAGTTGTGTCCTGACGAGGATATGCCGGAGATCGCGAACCGCGAGGACTCGATTTCGGAGAATTTTGACGACTGATATCGGACATTTTCAAATATTTTGTATAACAAAAAAAATTTAAAGAAAAAATATCATTTAAAACTTTAACGTAACTAAAAATTTAATGAATTTATCTTAATCAAACATCAATTTGCTGTACTTCGGTTTACATCGTATTTTCACTGACATTTTTTATTATGTAAATTAACTTTTAAAAGTAAACAAGAAATGTGCCTTGTAAAAAAATTAAATACAACAAGATCAAGACCATATAATTAGAAATTCGTTGCGAAATCGTTGGAGGAAATGGTGTCAAAAGTAGTTATTTTACTGCATGGTAGTTAATCAGTCGGTATAAAGGTTATATTCAAATCCTATCAAATAAATTTGACAAAATATCATACACAGGCAAAACTAAATAAAGAAATAGATAGATATATACACGTAGTTATAACACATTTATAATGTTGTATTTACACATTCAAATTGTACAATTGTGTTATGGTGTAGTCTCAAATTATTTTGAATTCTCTCAGAAAATTTTAAACGTTTTACTACACTATATATACTAGTTATTTTTATCAACAATTTAAAAATTTTATCAATAATTAAAAAAAAATTTCAAATTGATTTCATTGCGATATCGATAATGATTTTTGTGACCTGACTGATTAAAAAGCATCAACGAAAGTTAAAATAGGATGGAGAATTTGTTATATTGGGATATTCGTTTAAAAAGCGAGCAAAATTTTAATATAAAAGCGCTTATAAATCTATGCATATTGGCTCAGCTTGGCTTGGCTCGGCTTCGAATCGGATGTTAAGCAAGGTGTGGTCTCAAACTATTTTGAATTCTCCCCGAAAAATTTGAACTGCGTGCGTACATATATAGTAATGGCTTCTGTTGTTTTTTATAATGAATTTATAAAATGTATAAATATAGCGAGCAAAATATTAACATAAAAGCGCTTATAAATCTATGCATATTGGCTCAGCTTGGCTTGGCTCGGCTTCGAATCGGATGTTAAGCAAGGTGTGGTCTCAAACTATTTTGAATTCTCCCCGAAAAATTTGAACTGCATGCGTACATATATAGTAATGGCTACTGTTGTTTTTTATAATGAATTTATAAAATGTATAAATATAGCGAGCAAAATATTAACATAAAAGCGCTTATAAATCTATGCATATTGGCTCAGCTTGGCTTGGCTCGGCTTCGAATCGGATGTTAAGCAAGGTGTGGTCTCACACTATTTTGAATTCTCCCAGAAAAATTTGAACTGCATGCGTACATATGTAGTAATGGCTACTGTTGTTTTTTTATAATGAATTTATGCATATTGGCTCAGCTTGGCTTGGCTCGGCTTGGAATCGGATGTTAAGCAAGGTGTGGTCTCAAACTATTTTGAATTCTCCCAGAAAAATTTGAACTGCGTGCATATATAGCACTGATTACTGCTGCTTTTATAATGAATTTTTATTATATATATATATATATATATATATAAAGTGACTGGAATCCATGTACACAAATAATTAAATTATATTATATTAGATTATATGTTTATATGAAAAGCAATATAGCATATTCAACCAGCCAACCAGAAAGTTTCGAAGGCGTTCGTTCGATGACTTCAATTTAGTACGGTTAGCATTGTGGTTAAGACTGTATAGTAGTGCAGTATATACATTAAACAAGTTTTTACTGATGCGAATGATTGAAATGATGAGAATGTATGGTTGAAACGAGTATAAATAGAGGAGCTGAGACAACATGAAATCAGATCAGCATTCTGCCTCGCATGAAGCAGTCTGTCTGATCTCATTTATTTTATTTTTAAAATTTTTTTATTTTTATTTATTTTATTATATAGAGTTATATAGAGTTATATAGATTTATATAGAGTTTGCATGTTTGTAGGTGGTTTGAATGTTTGTAGGTGGTATTTTTTTAATTTTAGGTGGGTTCTTTAACGGTTGCTCATACATACATACATACATCATGTTTGTTTGTGTGGTAGAATTTTATGTTCTGTTTTACTCCTTTTTCTCTTTCTTCATGAGTCTTGAGTTAAGTTAATGAAGCATAGGTAGGTGAGGTAAAAATTAATTTATTATATAGGTAGGCTAGGGCATAAGGTAATTTAGTTACATAGGTAGGTTAGGGACTCCTATTCTTTTACTCTACCTGGTGGTGTGATTTTTGTTTTGTGTTTTTTTTTGTTTTGTTTCACATCATACATTCAGCAGGTACGCGGTGGTTCCTGGTTTTAGTGGATTTTTATTGATTGAATGTGGTAGTATGCATGGTTATATAGGGTTATATAGGGTTATATAGAGTTATATAGAGTTATATAGAGTTATATAGAGTTATATAGAGTTATATAGAGTTATATAGAGTTATATAGAGTTATATAGAGTTATATAGAGCATAAATCCTATATAGATACCTTTCTTTGCTCCTCTTTTCTCTTTTCTTTGCCGACCGGTCGGTTTCTTTGCGGTTATTTTCATTTAAATTGAATAAATAAGATTTAGGTTAGGTTTTTCAGGTTCATTTATCCAGGTTGAAGCTTCCAGAGGAGTTCATCGTGGACGATCAGAATGGTTGTGATGTCACGCTACGTTCGTTCATTCGTTGGCAAAGAATGCACGCTCTGCTGGGATACGTTTTACGGTTTCTTTGCGGTTTTTTTTTGCCAGTTGACTGGCTTTTCCGGCGGGTTTCGCCGCGGCTCGTTTTTCTATTTTCATTTAAATTAGTCAAATAAGATTTTTCCATTTCATCCATTTTATTCAGGTTGAAGCTTCCAAAGGAATTCATCGTGGAAGATATCAGGATACGTTCGTTCATTCAGTGGCAAAGAAGATACGTCTGGCTGGGATACGTTTTATTCTTTTTTCTCTGTTTTTCTCTGTAATTTAACATTAAGTAAGAATGCTCACACGCACACGCACATACACACAATTACATTAAGTAGCTATATAGGTAGGTTAGATAGGAATAATTTTAATTGTAGGTAGGATAGATAGGAAGCATCCAACACTAATGTAGTTGAATAAGTAGGCAGCGTAAGTTTATCGCTTCTATTTTTTCTCGCACCCGCATTACACGCATCAGCGTATTATACACACACACACACACAAATACATACTTAAACACATATTAGTATTTGAGCGTTATTTTATTTTCATTACACATTTTAATTTATTATTACTAAGGTTGAGAGTAATTTAATTTCATAGGTAGTTAAAAGCAATAATTTAATTCTAGGAACAATCTTGTAATTTAAATTAAATAAACGCTGTAAGTGTATCGAGAGGTAAGTTAGTTATTAAGTTTTACATTATTATTATTAGGTTGGAGCCCAAGGCATTACGTAGGTGGTGGGGTGGGTGCCGAAAGGCCAATGAATTGGGCTCTTGAGTTTTGTAATTTTAGGTAAGCTAGGGCCATTATGTAATGAATAGGTAAGTTAAGGCTACGTTGTAACACACACTCATTAATAGATTTAGGGTTTAAGTTTTATATTATTACTAAGTTGGAGCCCAAGGCATTACGTAGGTGGTGGGGTGGGTGCCGATTGGCAAATGAATTGGGCTCTTGAGTTTTTTTGTAATTTTAGGTAAGCTAGGGCTCAATTGTAATTAATAGGTAAGTTGAGGGTACGATAGCCGATAGACTCTGAATTTTGAAGTCTGTTGTCAGAGGTAAGCCTTGGTGGCCAGTGGTGAACCGGCAATGGTTTACTATCCGGACGGCAATGGTTTACTATCTGCACGGTAATGATTTACCATGCGGCACGGCCATAGTCTACTACCCGCACGGCTTCCGGACGGCAAATGGTTTACTATCCGCACGACAATAGTCTACTATCCGCACGGCAATGGTTTTCTATCCAGTGCCCTGGCTGTCGGTGAACCTCTGTGCAAGGAGGAAGAATGAAGGGTGACTTTCGACTATCGTACCATTAACAATTTAATATAGATTAGTTAAGGTAATTGAATAGGTAGATAGGATTATTTTTATTAAGCAATTTGAGATGCAGGCACCGCTAAGCTTTCTGATGAGAATCTACTCTTTCTCTATCTTTCTCCATCAACACGGGCTGTGTTTCAACAACAATCTCGAGGAGGATTGGCACCAGTTTTGGAGGACAACGTAGGAACCGGACCGCATTCAACATTCTGCTTTTGTTGAATGGACGACGGTAAGTTTTTTTTACATTTTACTTGCTTTATTATTTTAAAATTTTATTTATTTGACATTATTTTCATTTTATAATTTAATTTTTTTTGCTTCTAAGATTCTAACATTCATTTACTACTACGCAAATAAAAACATTTTGTTTACAGAATGATGTGAGGTGGGCAGTGGTGGGAGTCAGCACGTTTTAGATGGTGGTCTCATGATGATTTACATATGATGATGGTGGTGAGGAAGAATCAGCTCGTTGGCTGTTCGACTGACACTCTGAAGTTCGGATGGTATTTTGTGTGCCGACCAGATGGTGGTGGTCGGTGCAATGTAAAGTACAGTAACGACGATTTTTGAAGTAAGGTTTAGTTTCGTTTTTTATTTTTCTCATTCGTTCATTTTATCACTCAACCTTTTAAATTATTCTTCTATTAATTGATTCGTTAATTCATTCTATTCATTAATTGAATCATTGATTTATTAATTAATTCATTCATTCACTCATTCGTTCAACCAATTATTCAATTATTCAGTTAATCATTTATTCGACCTTGATTTACTAATACGCTATTAAAAAAATGTTTACAGAATGATGAGAGGTGGGCTGTGGTGGGCATCAGCACGTTTCAGATGGAGGTTTCATGATGATCGTTCCGATGACAATTCGAAGATAACAACAACGACGGTTTTTAAAGTATGATTTAGTTTCTTTTTTTTATTTTTCTCATTCATTGATTCATTCATTTTATCACTATTTTTCAAATTATTCCTCAGTTAATTTATTCATTGATTCATTCTATTCATTCATTAAATCATTGGTTGATTAATTAATTAGTTAATTTATTCATTCAACCAATCGTTCAATCATTCAGTTAATCATTTATTCGTTCGTTCCTTTGTTTCTTGATTTACTACTTTGCTAATTAATAAAAACTTGTCTACAGAATGATGAGAGGTGGGCTGTGGTGGGCGTCAGCACGTTTCAGAAGGTGGTCTCATGATGATCGTTCCGATGACAAATCGAAGATAACGTTAAAGGTAAATTTGTTTTTGTCTCATTGTACCTTTGAAAGTACTCGAATTTGAACAAAGATTGAGTGTTATCTCAAAAAGATAAGTTGCCTATTTTTTCCAATTGCTTGTTTTTTATTTTAGTGAATTAACTTTTTTTCAATTTATTTTTCAGTATCCGGTCAAATTCATTCCATCGATGCGTGTCAGATGATGGTCGGTGCAATGGAGGTTCGTCGGTAGTGAGTGAAGTTTCTGGAGAGTGCGCGCCCGCACATTTACATACACACACACATCAATACAACACATACATACACAACATCCATTCATTCGGTGTCGTTGTTGCTATGTTTCTCTTCAACTCTATATTTTCTTTACCGTGAACCGGACTTTAATTTAATTCATAGGTAAGTTAGGGACTGAGATGAGTTAAACAACTGTAGGTAGGCTAAGGCTTAACATTAGTTAAAAAGCTTCAAGTAAAATAAAAACGCTAAAATATGTTAAATAAAATACTTGAAACATCTAAAACGAGAAATACAAATTTGTAGGTAAGTGAGTTGAGTCAATGTTTATAAGTAAGCTAGGGCCCTGAGAGTAATTTTATTATAGGTAGGTGACTGACTTATTCTTGCGACTTCTTACTAGTTTTGTGTGATGTGTTTGTTTTCGCTTCACAACACCACATCAACAAAACTACATTTCATTCTCGTCGTCGCCTTAAATTGTACCTTTCTGAACAATCTTTTTAATGATGTCTATTTATTTATTCATTAAATGTTGACTGGTTTCTAGTTTTTTTTTAAAATTGGTTATATAATTTTTGGATATTTCTTGATTTACTTTGTATATATGCATGTATAAATTATTTCTGTTTATGTTGATTTAGTCATTATGATATGTTGTGAACTGTTCTTACTAAATGTTCATGTTACGTGGTTTATTATCCTTCGAGAACTTCTGAGGAGTGTGTATGATAATAATAATAATGGATAATAATTATTTTTATCGGTCGATATTTTGTTATATTTGTTTATTTGAAATAGGAATTTTTAAAAAAAAATTGACATTTTAAAATTTTAATTAACCGTCACTTTTCATTTTTGAATGAATTCAAATAAAAGCAACTACTGTGTTTTTCTTTCTTTACTAAAATCTCGAAATTGTTTGTAGATCTGTACGGTTAACTGTTTGTTCGAGTTTGAACAGGCCTTGCAAATTTTTTTTATTTATTTTTGTTTATTTGGTTCATTCAATTTAGTTGATTGATTGATCGGTTGATTGATCGGTTGGTTGATTGATTGACTGACAGACAGACTGACTGACTGACTGGCTGGCTGGCTGTCTGACTGACTGACCGACCGACCGACTGACTGATTGTTTGATTGATTTATCTCATAGTATTGTATACATGAGACAAAATCCGATTAAGCCAACCTACGGCTTCAGTAAGCCACTGTTTTTCACCTGACAAAAGCAATTTCTATATTTATACTGACAAAAATAATTGTGATATGAATATATTGATTTATTTAAAGCATTATATGTACAAAAAAGTGCTATCGTAAGAGTTCTATGAAACCCTGTAAGCCACTGCTGTAAACCAACGTATGATTGCAGCAGCCAGTTTCTTATGAGCACCAGCAGAACGTAAAATATTCATTGAATATAATGAAGATAGTTGTTCAAATAGTAATTTTGATTTATTTAGGCCGTTTATTTCATAAGCAAACCAATTTTTAACATGATCGAATAGTGTAAAAAAAGGGTGACTATAGTTCAATCCTACTAAGCCAACCTTCGGCTTCAGTAAGCCACCGGATTTCACCGGACCAAAAGCAATTTTTATATTCAAATTAACAAAAATAATTTAATCATTATTAAAATTAAATAGAATTACTACAATGTTTTAAGCATATTAAATCAAGTAAATATTTCATTTAGCTTGCTCGTTAAAATCCATGCAATTTCGTAAGCCAACAATCCAAGCACGACAAATAGCCCGACCGATAGATCGAATTGATCGATTAGTCCTATTATTCTAGTTATGTGGTTTGGAGCAAGGGAAGACATTACTGAAAATAATTAAAAGTTGAAAAAATTGAGGCTCTTTGCATATCCCTGCTTCAACCCATAAGGTGTTGTATGCTGGTAAATAGGCCTCCCCTTGATCAAGACTAAATGGTCCAATTTGGCTGATTGGCTTTGCAGATTAAATAAATGTCTCAAATACAACATTTATCTCAAGTATATGCGTATAAAGACTTGGTATTTTAGACAGTGTTGTATTTTGTAGGGATGTGTTGTAGTTCTTACCATCAAAGAATGTGTTGTGTGTGGTTTGTGTGTTATTAGGAATAAGTACCTTTTAATTCTATTTTTATTATTTTTACATTTTTATTTATAATATTTTTACTGTCAGCGCTCACAAATAATAAAATTAAAAAATATAATAAATATGAGAAATTGTTATTAAATTGGTATATAGGTTACTATCCATCTATCAATCAGTTAGTTAATCAGTCAACCAATCAACCAGCCTATATATCAATCAACCAATCGGTCAATCGACCAATCCAATGTCACCAGACTACACGCTACACAATGATTTTCAATTAAACATTTCAAAAGAGCTTTTTAGTTCGAAATAAATAAACATTCAATTTGAAAGACAAATAAAAGAGAACGATGTAACAAAACTGAAAATGCTCAAGAACATTATTTTGTAAAATTGTGAACGCGAATACACAGACAGACAGACTGACAGACAGACAGACAGACAGACACAGACAAACAAACAATCAAAATCACGTTTACAATAGCAGTTCTACTACTCGCTTCAAAATAAATATATGACAATAAATTACAATTTTTAGTAAAGTAGATTCCCGCTAAAACTACTGCCACCATCGTTACTTCCATCACCATCTCGATCCTTCGTTATCTTGAATGATTTACTTTCTTTCAGTTTACTTCCGACGTCGTTATCACTGATATCTAGTTCTTTTGCTGCCTTGAACGATTTTGAATCTTTTATTTTGCTTCGACCCCACGTGTTTTTGACGGCCGCCGGAACGTTATGAGACGCAGGGGCAAAACCCCTAGGTTGCGTGTGCAGTTTTGGAGGGCTCATTAAGATATTTCTTCCTATTGGTCCGGCTTTCACGCCTCTTTCTGGTCCGACAGCTAATAGATTTGCAGAACTTGAAAGACTCGTAATGACGTCATCGCTAGGGGCGCTTTGATCTGATAGGCTTCTATCTGATCGTGATGATGACGACCCGGACGGAGTAGCTAAAAATAGAAACGATTTAATTATAAATTCGATTTCGACTGTTTCAAGTTATAAAAATTAAATTTAACGGGAAATAATTTTGGCGTCAGGGAAATTTTAAAAAATGGCCTCCACTCACGCGTCATCTCAAAATCATTTTTCTCAAGTTTTGATGCGTCGTTGTTGTTGTGAGGAGGGCACGTGATCCTGTTGTCGTCACTTTTGTTGCTGTTGAGTTTCGATGATGATGATGGTGATGATGATTTTGTTGGCTGCGGTGCTGATAACGATGCTGCTACAGGTTGTAATGGTGATGATGAATCAGATGTTGATACTGATAACGATGATGTTGCTGGCGGTGATGATGATGATGGTGATGATGTTGTTGGCGGTGATGATGATGATGATACGGGTAATGGCGGCTGGGGTCTTGAAACTAAGGAGCTCATATTTTTCGGACTTTGCACCGAATCATTAGGCAGGAACATGTACTCATAGAGGACGTCAGTTAAGCTATCATCCAATAAATGGCCGTCATCTTCAAAGTAGCCATGATTTGTCGCGAATTTGCCTGACTGTGTTAGTGTTGGTAATGTTGTTGATGATATCGTCGGAATTATTGTATTTTTGTTGTTGGGCTGAATTACTGTTTCTTTGTTGTTGGGGTCCACTTTTTGACGTTTCTTCTTCCGCTTCCAGAAGATTAGGGCCAAAATTAGGCAGAGAAGACAGAGGAGAAGTAAGAGAAGAAAGCCCAAGATTAGGCCGAGAATTAGGTAGAGAGTGTTGTTGTTGTTTGGTGTCTGTTCGAATCGTCCTGTAAGTTGGCAAGTTATGATGGTGATTGTTGTGATGATGGCCATAATACAACAACAACAACAACAACAACAACAACAACAACAACAACAACAACAACAATAATAATAATAATAAAGATCGACCAACCGAGTTTAGCGACGTAAATTACTTGAGATATTCTAGAAAAGATTGACGGAGCGATCGAATGCACATCCACCTGATGAATATCAGATGATGATGCTGATGACGATGATGCTGATGACGATGATGATGATGATGTTCTATTTATAGGCACCCTGTATACAGATCTGCAAACGCATTTTGTTGGGAAGATGTTGTTGCTGTCGTCGTTACAATAAATAATGAAGTAACAAAACAATAGCCATCTGCATCACCAATTTTATTTACCATCGTCATCATCACTACTATCATCATCAACATCACATCATCATCACCACCACCATCATCATCATCATTACCATCATCATCATCATCACCATCATCATCATCATCATAACCTTTTATTAGAGGCGGCAAAGTAGATGTATATTCCGTCCGATGTGATGCTGTTAAATTTGGTACCATTTAAGAAGTAAAAGGTTCCGAAACTCGTATTATTATTATTATTATCGTTATTATTATTATTATTATCATTATTATTATTACTATTGTTATTGTTATTATTATAATTATTATTATTATCATTATTATAATTGTTATTATTGCTATTGTTATTGCTGATTGACGTGTTGATTAGGACGATACTGTGGCCTTCAATGTCTGCCAAGTAGACAACATCATCTGGAAAGATTGCGGTTCAATTATTATTATTACTGCTTTTTAATGTTATTATTAATATTATTTTATTATTATTATTATAATTTTATTATTATTATTATTTTATTATTATTATTATTACAGTTGTGTTGTGTATGCAACAGACAATAGACATGCATACGTAAACCAATTTAATGTAGGCTAATTTATTTTCAAACTTATGCATGGTTATAGTAAGAGTAGAACAACAACAACAACTACTACTGCTGCTGCTGCTGCTACTACTACTACTACTAATAATAATAATAATAATAATAATCATCATCATCATAACCTTTTAAAAATATGGACGTTATATTAGAACAGCAATTCCAAACTGTGACGTCATATTTTGACGATGAAGACGACGCTTCAGCTGCTGCTGTTGTCCCTGCTGTCGCTAGCGATCGTAATGTTATTCGTTTAAGTTTTCCACTTTCTGTCCAATACAACATCCTGTTGAGTAATTTTACATCAATGTTCATCAAATTATAATTTAATAATAACAATATTATATCTATAATATCACCACCATTATCATCACCACCCTCATTAACATCATTATTATAATTACTACTAGCAGTACTATTAATATCAAAACCTGTTGGAAGAGTCCACTTGAACTGCGAAGGGGTGATCAAGTTTGTCCATGACAACATCAACGGTACGGTTTGCTAAATATAGCACCATTAGTTTACCGGCTATGACGTCAGTCATGAATAATTCATTAGCCCCAATGTCAAGGCCGATCTGACTAATTTGCATATTTGACCCTGTAAAATAACAATTTATTTATAAACAATTATATTTTTGATGTTAATTATTTATTTTAAAACCTTCTTTCGTATTGGTTAAATCGATGAGTTCCATTTTTCTGTCAGCCAATCGGAATGCTTTAATTTGACCTAGATCCAGGATATAAATGACTCCTCTGATGTCATCGACTTGAAACTGGGTTGGGTGAATGAGTGAAGAATGGGGAAAGCTGTGGATGGTGGAGAGCTTGTTGAAGATGTTGCCCCTATCATCACCATCATCACCGTTGTTGTTGTTGATGTTGTTGATGTTGTTGATGTTGCTGTTGTTGTTGATGCTGTTGTTGTTATTGCTGTTGATGTTGTTGTTGTTGATGTTGTTGTTGATGTTGTTGTTGTTGCTACTCAGCGACAATGATGAAGTCAATGGTGATGATAACGATGACGACGATGATGATGACGATGGTGGTGGTGATGATGATGACACAGTTATCTGATATATTTGTTTATGGAACGTATCTAAGAAATAGATGGCTGGCTCTTGTAATATATCTGTATTGATGTTGATGATTGTGATTTTTGATGATGATAATGACGTCATAGTTATTATTATCATCATCATCGTTGTCATCATCATCATCACAACCTGTTTCGCATTTATTCCCGGTCTTTATGTAGCCAATAGCACATCTACACGTATAGCCGTTCGTAATGGTGACGCAAAGTTGATCGCATTTATGATCGTTGGTTACACACGGCGTGTGCTCTGACGTCATTATTATTATTTTTATTATTGTTATTACTATTATATCACCATCATCATAACCATCATCATCAAAGTAATAATAAAAATAATAATAATCATCATCGTCGTCATCATCATCAACCTACCGTCATTGATCGGTTGTAAGTAATTACCGAACATCGTCACGGCACCGCTTTTATTCGACATATTTAACCGACGGTTTTCCAACGATCCAGATATTTCGGGGACGAATGATGATGATGATAGTGATGATGATGATGGTATTTTGACGAATTTAACTGGTGATGACGATGCCGATGATGATGATGAGGGAGTTGTCTGCGTGAGCACGATAATATCCTGAAGTTTGAAAAAAAAATTTCTAACATTTTCAACGTTATTGTTTTTATTAAGCAAATAAAAGTCAAAATTTTCATAATAATAATAATGATAATGATAAATAATAATAATAATAATAATAATAACTAGCCCTACCTCGATTATAGTGAACCTATTAACGTTAGATTTCAAGTCCAGTGATTGGACGAGTCCACTCTTAAGCTCCACCCACCAAATCTTATTGGCTGATGGATCGCTCCAAAATAACCTAATTGCATAATAGATAACTAATTACGTGGCAATTGAATTAGTGTTGCTGTTGTTTAAAAACGTAATTAAATGAGTAAACCAATTTTAAGCCAATTAGAAGAAATTGATATGTATAATAATATACTAATGACTGAATGGATGAATGAATGAATACATGAATGAATGAATGGATGGATGAATGAATGAATGAATGAACGAGCCAATGAATGAATAAACAACTTTAAAAGTTTACCTTTGCTGACGAACAACTAACACTAAATCATCAATCGTCTCCTGCTTCAACGTCAAAAAACAAATGACGTCATAATTATGGTTGTAATAATTATTATTGTTATTATAATTATTGTTATAGTTATTATTATAACTATTGTTATTATTATCGATGTTGTTATTATTGTTGAACTGGAGTTTACATAACTGTCGTTTTTGCGTTGTTCGATTTAACTGGCTCCAATATAAAATCCTGTCAACGTGATAATGACGATGATGATAATGATTAATAATAATAATAATAATAATAATAATAATAATATTGTTTGATTATTATTATCGATCAACCCTAACCAACCCTTGATATGGATCAACAACGAGGCCCCTGCCAGACTTGAACCCCCCATGAACGATGGAATGGTACGACCCGTCAAATTCTGACGTCATCAAGTATCCGCTCCGACTATCCATCCAGTATACCGACTCGTCGATCCAATTCGTGGCGAACCCTGACAGCGATGACGACGACGATGATGATGTTCAATAATATTTTTCATAGCCAGTATGCCGATGAGATGATAAGAAACATTTCTACCTACCTTTCAACGAATCATGTTGGCTTGTGATTTCCTCAATTCTGACATCATCATCATCATCATCATCATCATCACCTTCTCCACCATCGCTTCTTCTAGTACTATTGTTTTGATTCACCGATATCACGAATATCGAGCCAGTTGAAGTGTCGGTCCAAAATAATCGCCTATCTTTAAAACTTGTATCCATGCCGAACGGCGTTTCGTCTATGGAGGCCAGTGACGTCAGAGAGATGGACAGGTTGAGTTTGAACATGTATGGATGTGGTATATTCGTATTGGGGATGGCCAGCATTAGATTATCGTCGGTAGCGAATATTATAATCGATCGGCTGGCTGTTTGGTGAATGAAGATTTTCGTTATATGTATTTATTGTGTTGAATTTCAATTCAAGAAAAAGAAGAAGAATTTAAATCTATCCGTAGACTACGACTTACGACAAATACATATCCGTATGGCCCAACTGACCTTCGCACGATACACCGTCCAATGCCAAGTAGTAGCCATCCCTGCAAGCACATCTCCCTTTTAAATGGCCGACGTTTAGGCAGAAATCGGTGCAAAATTTATTGTCGCATTCTGATGGAATGAAACAATTTCAAATGAAATTTTTTGCGAAATGATTCACGAATGATTAAATTAGTCATAACAATTCCCAAATATAGCTCACCGTGTTTTATGTCTTTGTTTAATGTGTGCATCACAATTAGGTCAGTGGGCAGGGCGTCAATTTCGATTGCATTTAATAATTGGCCGCTTTTCATGTCAATCATCTCTACCGTCAATCGTGATTGATCGGCTAAAAATAGATTATTCTGAAAATTTTGAAGTTTTAGCAGTCAAATTTTGTGGAATTTGAACACAACTCTAGAAAATTTAACCTGAAAAGCACCGATTCCTCTGTAAATTCTATTCTCGTCGAAACGGTACATCTCTCTGACGTCACGGCCATTTGCGTCAGAAAACATCACTCTCCTGCTGACATCCTCTATCCAAACGATGAAGACCTCATCGTTCCCATCGTCACCTCTGCCGCTGAAGTAAGTAGTGATGGCCGATAATCTTCTCGATATCGGTGATGTGTTAATGATCGATCGGTTGCCGCCGAGTAAATTCGATTTTTCGATTTTGTACAGGCCTTCGTTCGCGATAGTGTCGAGCCAGAACATGAAACTTGAGGAACAAATTATCATAGCCATCAATTGAATAGCAATTATCGACATATCGACAGCATATAACTTCGCAACACAAATAAATAATAAAGTTATGATCGAGTACCGACCCGTTAGTTGAATCAAGGCACATCTCTATCGGATGTGTGACGTCATCGATGTGAATGACCTTGACAGTCGGATCTTTGTACAAGGAAATGACCTTGAGTTTAATAAAATAAGTATCTTGAATAATTTAAAATCAATTTTTTAAGTTTCATTCAATAAATTATAGATAAATTTCTAAAATTAGTCCAGAATATTTATTCAAACACACCTCATTGTAATTGTCAATGAAATAAATATTTCCCGTCATCCAATCAACGGCGAGCTCGTTGACATAAACACGATGACGTGTCAAGTTATAAATATCTAGGTCCTCGTCAAGCCATTGGAAGCTATTTTTAGAAACTTGTCTATAAATAAACGAGGGCTGTGATTCGTCAGACCAGTAGATTACGTCATTTCGTGGGTTATAATCGACCGACCAATAAGAAGCCTTGTTTTTTGGCTGCGTGTGCGCGTATCTTAACGCTGATTGGTTGGCCCAGTTATCTGTTTGGCCAATGAGAGCACGGAATTTGGACCACGTGCCGAATTTTTGCGACCACAAGATGGTTGGCGTTTGTTCATTGGCCGCTGGCATTGGATGGAAAGAAAGAATGACTGATTAGATAACAGATGAATGAATTTTAATAAATAAATAAATACAATCTTAAATAGCGACAAGTTTACAGCAACGATAGAGCAATTATAATAATAATCAATGAATAAATAAATAAATAAATACAAGAATGACTCTACAACACTGTACGTACTACACGAAATGCGGTGAGATGCGGCCAATGAACCATAACATTATTCATCCTAATATACATACCATATGTGTACAACATAGACACGTACGTACAAAAAAACACACACGCGCGCGAACGCACGCACACACATACATACATACACACATACATACATACATACACACACACATACATACATACATACACACACACATACATACATACATACACACACACACACATACATACATACATACATACATACATACATACATACATACATACGCCAACGTACGCGCCAAGTGTTGTATTGATTGAGTGCACGCTGTGGCCATCATTATCATAACCAATTCGGCGTTGCCAATGACAACTAAATCATTAATAAATTAATTTAACATACATACATACATACATACATACATACATACATACATACATACATACATACATACATACATACATACATACATACATACACACACACATACATACATACATACATACATACACACACACATACATACAAACATACATACATACATACATACGTACATACATACATACATACGTACATACATACAAAAAATATGGCATTAAAATTATATTACCTCATGACATTGTAAACAGACAGGAACGATAATCAAAACAGGAATTTTTGCTATTATCATTTATTATTACTAATTAATAATAATAATAATAACAATTATTATTTATTACAATTATTATTTATTATTACTAATTAATAATAATAATAATAATAACAATTATTATTTATTATTATTTACACATGTTATTATACTAACCAGTCGAGAAGTGCAGAGCAAACAGGCTATAGATAACTAAACAAGTCATCATCATCATCGTCGTCGTCATCGTCGTCCTCTTCATCAACATTAACTTCCTCACCACCACCACCATAATCATCATCATCATCATTACTGTGTCCATCATTTTTCCGTGTAATTCCACTTTTGCTTTATGACTTTTGGTGCAGATCAGTAATTATTAATATGGCGGAGGACCAAGTGGGAATTATTCTATTTAAATTATAAGGTGATGTTGGATTGTTTCGTAATAACATAACTGTAGTAATTGTAGTTGTAGTAGTAGCAGCAGTAGCAGCAGCAGCAGCAGCAGCAGTTGTAGTAGTAGTAGTAGTAGTAGTATAAGTAGTAGTGGTTGTAGTAGTAAATTGTAGTAGCAGTAGTAGTAGTAGTAGTAGTAGTAGTAGTAGTAGTAGTAGTAGTAGTAGTAGTAGTAGTAGTAGTAGTAGTAGTAGTAGTAGTAGTAGTAGTAGTAGTAGTAAGTTGTAGTAGCAGTTGTAGTAGTAGTAGTAGTAGTAGTAGTAGAAGTAGTTGTAGTATTTGTAGTAGCAGCAGTAGTGGTAGTAGTAGTACTAGCCGTTGACGATGCCTTATATCGCTTTCTGGCTGTTGTTGATATAGTATCAGAAGGCTATCAGTTAGACTTTTCGTTGAACATTCCTCGTCTTAGAGTATCATATAAGATGAGATACAGTAATTGCATAAATTACATTCTATAATTATTATTAATATAAAATTATACTT